CTACTAGATATACTTTCTTAAGATAAGAGATAAAGTAATTATAGTAACTAGCGACTTTATTTAGTTTATTAAAATATAATTCGATTAGACTATTAAAGTATTTAGATCTAATAACGGCGGCGAGTATAAGAACGATAAATTTAAATAACTCTTTAAATAGTATAGAATTTTCCTTTAGCTAATACTACTCTATAGCTACTAAAGTAACGGCGTAGTAGAAAGATATAATAAAACTATCGTAACCGATATAAGGGCTATAATAGAGAAAGACGAGTATCTACTATTATAGGCGAAGACTATTACTATAGTATACTATCTTCGAAATCAAAAACTATATTTTACCTTATCTATTAAGGTTATACTATATAAAGCGTTACTCTATCGTAAGCTATCTATCGACTATCTTCGTCTATTTATATCCCTATACTACGTCTATATACTAGTCGAAGTAAGGAAACCTAGAATAAAACTATTAGATAGAGCTAAAAAAGGTTTTCTGGTCGAATACTATACCGATAGTATCTTAAGAATATTTATACTATAACGAAATACTATTATCTATTCTAAGAACGTACGTTTTCTACTATAATAGTATACTATTTTAAAACTCTAGTCGCTACTTACTATCTATAAGATAGATAACCTAATATCGACTACGGAGTCGATATCTACTACTATCGAATAGATATCTCGGCTCGATAGACTAAAATTAGAAATATTACCGTCTCCCTTACTAGTAAATAAAATTAATAGAATATCTACTACGCTAAAGGCGAAAAGTCCCTTAAGATTATCTATTCTATCCCCGGCTATATTAACTCTCTCGCCCTTTAAATCGCCTACTAAGACAAGAGCTAGAAGAATTATTAAACTAATAGCTAGAGCTATAGGCTAGATAGTATAAGGGGAAATATTAGAAGCTAACGATAGCTAAGACGAGATTAATTATATTATATTACTAGTATAAGATACTAATATTCTATTATCGTTTACTATCGCTTAAAAGTTTATTAAGTAGCTATTCTAGAAAAAGGCTATCGAGTATAAACTAGTATTCTATTATAATAATAGAATATAGAAACCTACTACGGAATAAGATATCGATTTATAGTATATTATCGATTCTAGATAGATATTTACTAAAAAGTATAACGCTAATAGTAAACTCGTTAAGTATAAAGCTAGGCTTATTACCCGTAGCTTTACTTAAATTTATAGTATAAATTACGACGATATATATTTATCTATAGCGAGATACAAAAGCTTAAGAATTATTATTAGACTCGCTACTCTAAGAAATATACTACTATACTAAATAGATTTCGATATAATCTACTTAAATTTAGACCTATCTTATCGCGTATATATACGCTACCCTTAAGGATTACTTTTAGCGGATCTAAATACTATCCTACTTATACTAAAAGTATTATATAGACTAAAATAGTCTAGACGAGAATAGCTTAGTACGCTAAGAATAACTCTACTTAAATATAGTCTAAAAGAAGTAAGCTTCGATCCGTATATTTTTATTTTAGAAAACCTAATTATTAGCGTTTACGTTAATAATCTACTAATTATCGAGTACTAAACTAAAATAAAAAACTTTAAGAAAATAATCTTAATACGATTTAAATATAAGAATCTTAATATAGCTAGATACTTACTAGGTCTAGAGATTACCTAAACGGATTCTAAAATTATTATCTTATAGTAGACTTATATATATAAAGTATTAGAAAGATTCTATATAAAATTATATAATATAAGGTAAACGTCCTTAGACTCGACTTATCTATAAAAGACTACGAATAACGATAATCTCGCGGATATAAAAGAGTACTAGTAAATTATAGGATCTATTAACTTTCTCGTTATAGAAACGCGTATTAATCTAGTATTTTCTATTACTATATTAAGTATATTTAATTTAAAGCCGAACACTATATATATAGCCGCTATATATTAACTACTAAGGTTTCTTAAAGGAACGCTAGATATAAAGCTAACTTTTAAGCGTCGCCTATCGACGTCCTATAAGAAGAGCTAGCTTAAGATATTTATAGATATATCGTTTACTAATAACCCTAAAACTATAAGATTATATAGCGGTTTCGTACTACTATTTACTAGAAGCCTCGTATATTAGAATATAAAGCGATAATCGAGCGTAGCTAAATCTATATACGAAGTAGAATATATAGCCGTATTCTATATCGCCTTATAGCTAATTTAGATAAAAAATATACTAAAAGAGCTATACTATAATATCGATACGGCCTAGATCCGCCTACTCTATAATAACTAGCCTATATTAAATCTTATCTAAAACTATCGCTTCTTAACTAAATCTAAGTATTTAGTAGTTTATTTCTATTTCGTGCGTAAAAAGAATAGAATTAACTTTATCGTCGACTATATTATATCGGGTAATAATATAGTAGTAGATATATATATAAAAATTCTAGCGAGATCTCTTTTAGCTAGATATTATAGTATAATTTACGAAAACTAAAGTAGAAATAATAGAGATAATATAATTATAATAGAAAATTTAAGTATTAATAGAATATAAGTATTAATAGTATTCGGGGGGTGCTGAGGAATATAGTTATTGGGGGGTGTGTTAAGAAGGAATGCCTGCGCTCCTACGCTGCGCTCTTGGCGCTCTAACGCTCCTACCCCGCACTAACGTGTTACACCTTATGTACTTAGTTCTGTCATCTCTACTTACTCTCTCTCTCTTTTTACTCAATACAATCATACGTTTCTACCATGCAGCAAGGACAATAGCACCATGCGGCCGTGGTGAGCATGAGCGCCATTCGTCGCGAGGCGGGGTGGCTCCAGTGCATCTTAGAACTATATGATAGTGTGCAGTAGCTGAGCTCAACTAGGTCGTGGACATTGGAAGAGGAGGGGAGAGTGGATGTGGCACACAACGATCTACCAGATTGCTGCGTTTCGATGGATATTGGGCAGAGAAGGTGTATAAGCGAGGGACACGGGAGAAGCTGAGGCACCCGCCACACACCGGTACTCTTAAGCCAAACCGGTCGAAGCACGTATCCGGCCACAACTGGCGAGCTGGTAGGCACCAAACGATGTCACCCACGGTACTAGTACCTGAAGACTTGGGTACAGTAGCAACCAAATAATGCAAGTAGTATAGCCCTTCGGACGCTAGAACTTAGAAGCATGGAGGAAAAGTGCTGACCATATGATGGTGCTGCTGATGCAGGATACCGAATCTACATGTCCATAACCTCCAAATGCACACCTGGGCACTGGCAGATTAAGACACTGACTGGCATGGAGACGGGTACACTCGGTTGCACAGCTTCATGTCAGCCGACGGGTATCAAGCTCGAACAGAACATGCCTGCAGTAGGAAGCTGTCTTCACAACATTTATGTAAACCTCCTATTACTCCCATACAGTGCTAAGGCTGAGCGGGCTGACTGACACTGGCACTGACAGGCTCCTAAGGCTAAGCCGCCGCCTCATCCGTCATTCTTGATTGGCGTACGGGGCTGTGCAGATCACACTGCGCCGTCACCCATTGGCCGCATTGCACGAAGATCTTGATGCTTCACAATATTGCGAGGTCAATGATCATCAAAGAAACACGTGGACTACTCGAACCATTCTGACCGGAAAGATACTCCAGGTAAATTGAAGACAAGACTAAACAGAAGTTAGAAGACCAAGGATGAAGTAGGACAGTACCTAATGCTCGTGTGTCTGAAGGGAGGAAAAGTAGCGAAAACGATCAGTAGTAAGACCCACATCCGGGGTTGTGCATTGTTCTATCGATAAACTGCAGATAAAGCGCAACAACACCAAACTGAGCTTCAACCTTCAGTACCGACAGATGATACCACGAGACTTGCGTCCTTCTTCTTTCTATCTTCATTTGTTGTCACAATGCCATTCACAATGGGCCGGGAGAGTGCCCAGCACTCTCAACACAGTTGATACATAGTTTGCCGGTGACGGGTGAATGCTCCCATCAAATACAGAAACCAGTAGCTCTTCTTGCTTGCCACTCGTCCATGACATTCCCTAGAGCAGGTAGGTCTTCATTATGTCCAAATAGGCAAAACCGTTGCAAACTCCATGTCCACCAGGGGGTCTCCAATCCATAAAACTCCATCCTAAAATAGCATAGTCCTCAACCAGTTTTCAAATCGTCCGGTTAGACGCCGAGTAAGAGAAGCATTGAACCATGAGGCCAAGTATCGGTTATCACTTCCACCGATTGTTCGTCATGCCGGATGTTCGTACGATATCATCCTGAGTGGCAGTGTTGGGGTAGTTGATGATGACGACTTCTCGTTTGGTGACCGGTCGAGGCTCTTTGCCGTTGCGGTCTTCTCGTCGGGAATTGTAGTAGATTCTCTCTGCTCCGCTGCTGGAGCCAGAGGAGCTGTGGTAGCGAGGCATTGTAGTTGGTACGATATGTTGTTGAGGTGACAATTCGTGTGAGGTAAGTCGGGATGGTGAGTGACCTTTTATTGTGGATTCAGGAGGACCTCATGTAATGATATCCAAGATAAATCTTTTCGATGGCAAGGTCTAGAAGCAACGCTCTGAAATGGTGGCGATGTCCAAGGTAGCGATGGCAACAATGGGTGGTGGGGTCAGTTGCCAGAGAATGCTGCAAAGGGGTAGAGGGATGTTCCGCAAAGGTGTACTTGGATGGTCTGCAAGGAATGTTTTTTGTTTGATGTGCCGCAGAATGTTAGCGAGGAGGAAGAAGTGAACCGAGAAGGTAGTCGGGCTGATTTTATAGCATAACAATGGAGGGCAAAGTGAATGAGTCAGGCTTGCAAACAAGTGAAGCCTGGCAAGGCATCAGGCAGAGAGAGGCTAGCATCAGGCAACTAAACCTAAGCTCGGGCGTTGACTCAGATGACGAGGACGAGAAAAGGCAAGCAGAAGTAGACGAAAGTAGTAGCAATGGATCTTGGACATCCATCCAGGCACGTAGGAGTCTACCACCTTGGGGCTTGCGCGCCCACAAATAAGGCGCGGTGCAAAGGTTGTTGGAGGGTGGAATCAGAAGAAGGCTGTGGGATTGCAAAACGGGCGAATGCTAGTGGGAACCTTCAGGCAGCAGAATCCATCACCCTGGAACCAGGGCAGGGATGGACGATGGAGCAGAGGAAACGTGTGTGCAGGACGACTCCATACTATCTGCCAGCGGCGGCTGAAATGGTTTTCGGAACGGAGACTCCAGCATCACTGCCATTGGCACCGGCACCTGGAAGCAATTCATGGGCAGGGAGGGATTAGAGTCCCATAAGTGGGCAGCCGATTGATCCTCGGTGCGATTGGAACAGAGCTAGGAGCAGGAGCAGCCGCAGGAGGCGCGCTCATTGTCACCGTAAACCTGAAGTTGAAAACAACCGAACATGAGTGGGAGGAAAGGAGAAAAGGCACACGACGCAGGCTCCGAGGGAAGAAGGGACCCAAGGGGAAACTGGAACTGGAAGGGGATGACGTGCGACAAGCATGCCACTGGCACTGCAACAAACACTGGCGGCCACTGGCAACACCCGTTACAATTATTATTGGCAGCATCCAGGCGCGGTTTTGGGCATTTTGCATCCCGAGATCTACAGTTATAGTCAACAACAACAACACAGTTAGGCATGATGATTACCAGATAATTCGCTTCCTGAAATGCAGTGTCAATGCAGCCCTGCAACCGGGAGATTCAGGATGACACTGATGTTCCTGATGCTTCAGTTGCAGGCATAGAATGCACTCAGAAAACTGGAAGTCATGATCTTTGACCAGCTGGCGCTCAGCTTCCCAAATCTCAGGCCTATCATAATGCCTTTGTTCCTGCATCAGGGTGTTACCTTCAACACGTTCACTCGTCCTTCTTCTCTCCACTACTACAATGCCCTCGTCGGCATCGTTGTTGCCCCGTATCGTAACCGATCCTCCGTATTTCTTTTGCCACCGTCATCAGCGCTTTGAGCGAAATTGTCCAGATGACCGGAACCCATGAATTGGAGGTGGGCGTCGGTTTCTGAAACTGGCTTGCTGCTCCGCCGCTGACTACTCGCAAACATTCCCGGCTGCCACTGTCTCAAACACGCCAGAAACAGAGGAGCTGACCAGCCCACAGGCGCTATTCTGGGCACCGTGATTAGGGATACGGCTTCTATGTTTGTGACAAGTAGTCGTAAACATGCACTCAAGGGTTCCCCGACCATTTGGCTGAGCCTCGTTTGAGGCCCAGTAGAAGGAGGTGCAGAATCCACTTTGGTTCCTTCCATCCACTCCGAGGCAAGCTTGACAGTGCCTCATTCTTCTGTACCTGCGCCTGCGCCACATCTGCTGTCTGTTACACTGCCAACCTCGTCTCCTGCCAGAGTGTTGTCGTGCCCCATTAGAGCCCAAAGCTCTCAGCCTGGTCCTCTTCTTTACACGTTCAGGAAAGCAAGCACGGCGCTCGTCCTCTGCATAGGACAGCCAACACAGTTTTTGGACTTGCAGATCCTGTTCGGGAGCTCTTCTTTTTCTTGAAGGCTGGTGTGAACCTCGACGCCCAACTGTGGATGCTGACCCGCTGCATAGCTCCCGCCGCTCACGCTTGACCCGTTGACTCCAATCCACCCTTCAAGCCTTATTTGGAGGTCATCCTTTCGAGCGATAGTCGAACAGACTCAACCTTTTCCATGCCGATCCATCCAGGGGTAATCACGAATGAGGCGAGAATCCCGAAGCGTAACCTCAGCCGGGCGTCCTGGCTACGCAGTATAACGTCACGTGCATAAAGGCTCGAGCAATGACGGAAATCCGAGTATAGCCGTGGCAACCGGACAGCGGTGAGCAAAAGGGCACGAAGACTAATCATGCGGCTATCAGACGCTTGTCAAATCTGACCAGATATACTGGCGGGACACCGACAAGTAGACCGAGTTTGTGCCCAACAAGCGTGCAGATCTTGCTCGGGTTTGACCTCCGCACATCAGGTTCGTTTCCTTCAAGTATCTCTTCGTTCAGACGACTGCTCCTGCGGACGATACTAACCTGTTGGCCACGTTAACGGGTTCAAGACATGCGGTTAACTGCAGATGGAAGTGGATGTCAATGTGCCACCTGGCAAGGCTGTTGATCGGCCCTCGGTTGTGCTCAAGTCCCGTGCGTGCTGTGGCTGGAAAGCTGTTTGCCATCATCCTGGTATTGCTCCATCATGTCTCCTGCATCCTGTCCGTCAACCCAGGGCTTGCAGAGAGTGTCTCAGGTGGCGAAATGGCGGTGTCGTTGTGCGTCCCGGACGAATGCCTTTGCATTGGTTAGTTCGTGACCCGATATTGATTCATTCCAGTCCAATGATGTGGAGGTTGGTGTTGGATGTTCTTCAGGGCGCCGGCATTATAGACATGCTCTCCACGCGGGGCCGCCGCCATCAGAGGGTCCTTCTGAATGAGGAAATTGCCTCGACGATACCAGTTCGCCTGGGGCTTCGAAGCGACTGATGTTGTTTGAGATCTTCATTCTACGCCACAAACTAATCTCTGCAGTGTGTGCCTAACCACCATAAGCGAAGCGGTCGACGATCCTCATCTGTCGAGGATGGCGTTTCCCAAGGGTGTTGAGCCACTAATCGTCCATCAGGCCACTCCTTGGACCAAGCCAGTCGGAAAGGGTGCAGCGTCCTATACCAGATAGTCATGGCATGTCACCGGCTGCATGGAAGGGTTCTGTAGCCGCTGCTCGTGTCTGGGGACATACAGGGCCGTTCTGCAGTGGCCGGTGATCATGGTACACTCTCGGGCGTTGCAGAGTTTGCCTCTGGGCAAACTAGCATGAAGTGAGGCGCGCGGTGGGTCAGCTGGCCTTAAGCACTTGAGGAGGGTGTCCACACTGGAGCGCTCAACTTGAACCATGCCTTGCTCTTCCGTTCAAGGCGGTTGAGGAGAACAGTTGTGTCTGTCAGTTCAAGTTGTCCTTCTGGGAGTACCAGTACGATCCTTTTTGGATCTCAGAAAAGCATTAAGGGAATTGGACTTTGGTGCGGCTCACCGTATTCCTTGCTACCTAGGTAGGGTGGAATCGAACTCATACAGATACTGTCCCTATCCTGTACACTCAGTACTTGGACTAGATCCAGCAATTCAGCCATTTCTGCACTGTGTACCTATGTACGGACGGATGTTCCCAAGGTATTACCTATATCCCGAGGTCCTCTGGACACAGAGCCCGAAACGAAGAGTTGACCAATCCCCGTAACGGCACAACCAACGCCAATCTCTTGAACAACTAGATGCGCGCACTCCATCCCTAATCATCCACCGATTGCTATTTAAGACGCGAGTCCGTATACGTGGGCATAAAGACCGTCTTCGACGCTCAGAGAGACAAACGCAATACAACGGAGAAAATTTGGGAGGCCACTAGTAAGGTAGGTAGAAGAATTGAACATGACATCGTAAGAGCTATTCTCAGCATAACTATTTGCAGGGTGACGCTGCACCTGGTGTTCTTTGATGTCGCCGGCTGGCATGTCGTCCATGTACCAGGTACCTTCTTAACACTGTGTCAAGCTATGCAAAGTCACATTTGGGGTGATGGTATGCAGGCCGGTTCATGTTTCCGGATGCATTCAAAGAAGAGCGACAGCGCCCAAGAAGACACCGCCCATAATTCCAGCTGCAGGAGCAGCATATCCAGCAGCAGCACCATTTCCAGACGCACTGGTAGCGGCTGCGGATGCCTTGCTAGAAACCGATGAGGTGAGACTGCCAACTGCGCTCGTGGCCGAGCTGATCAAGGAGCTGCCTGCGGCAGTGGCACTGCTGACGAGGCTGTTTTCCCGCGAAGAGGCACTGGCCAAGACACTGCTGATGCGGCTCGACAGACTGCTCTGGGCGGACGGGGCAGCTGTGGCGGCTTCGGACCGCAGGCTGGAAGCCACTGACTCGGCGTCGGACTGGATAGAGGCAGCGTCAGATGTCAAGCGAGACACGACCGAGTCGGCTCCCGAGGGGACATTGCTGGCAATGGACGAGGCTAGCGAAGCGGCAGATGTGACCAACGATCCTCCCACCGAAGTAGCATCGGAAGCGATGGATCCTGCCAGTGATGTTGCGTCGCCGGCAACCGAAGTGGCACCTGAGGCGATGGACCCGGCGACAGATGTGATGTCTCCGGCAATGGAAGTGGCGCCTGAGATGACCGAGTTGACCACGGAGCCGACGTCTTGGGCGGAAACGCTGACGGCGAAGGCCAGGAGTAGAGTCTTGGAGAGATGCATTGTGAGGTGTAAATGTGTGTCGAAGAAGAGATCCGGCTCGAGTTGGTTGGTGAGAGGTAGCAGGTATGGATGTCTGTTACTGTTTGCTCTGGCTATGTACGGAAAGCGAGAGAGTTGCTGATGGGTGAGGGTGTTGTGGTGGGCGTGAGAGAGTGATGGTAAACAAAGATGGTAAGTCTAGAGCAGTGGAAGAGGGATGGATGATGTTATTATAGTCTCTGTGTTTCCCCAGCTGCCACTGCCAATGCTTGGTTGAAACATGATTGACAAAAGTCAGTTTCCGTCCTACGTCTGGCACCGAGGCTAAGGAAAGGGGCGACGGGCGATGATCGCGGCGATGACGAACTAATGAGCCACGATCGCGACGTGCGACAGTCGCGGCTGCTCTAAGCCTTGCAATAATATGGGTCAAGGAAGGGGAAAGTCAAGCCTTGTGGCAACGGCAGGGGCTGGGGCATCCTACAGTGTACAACGTACGGTGTGGTTCAAGTTATCCACGACGCGGCCTTGAAGCTGGGGCAGCTTTGCCTGCTGCCTGCTTCGCCCCCAAGCATTCCGAGGGACGGCGTTGTTACTACTGTACGACTTGAAAGTAATACAATGATTGCTTGATTGCAATCGACACTGGCACTGTGTGGAGCACAAATTCGAGACATTGCGATGCCAGCCTTGTCGAGCAAGGGGCCCGAAGCGAGGACGAGGCCAGTGTTGCTTCCAGGGCGACGCCTGGGGAGCGTGTTGATACTGTAGGAACCCGCCTGCAGTACTAAGCTTAATAATAAAGGTGGCTGAACGCTTCCCTTAGGCGAGCCCCCAACTTCCACTCGGGACGAAACACCTCTGCATCGACGTCACCGGCAGACCACCTCAGGCTAGTAGTACTACCCTAGGTAGGGTGAGGTAGGGTGCTGCTAAGCACTAAACAGCCACAGAGCCACGCAAGCTTGTCTAGCTCACGTACCAGTTGTGGTTCCCACAGTACCTTAAAAGTTGCCTGGTAGGCTCAAAGAAATACTGTAGAAAACTACAACGAGGTACTGCGGCACTGTATTATTGCATCTCACACGATTGCGATCTGGCAGCGCTTCTCTCATGCAGCCCTTATACCTAAGTATAGGGCAGTACAGGTAGATCCTGCAGAATCACCTGTGCCGGGTGAGGCGGATATTGTGGTACCGGTCCGAGGTATTTTTCCATATTACAGTACTTGTGCAGTACAATCCGGTACTTTTGCGGCGTTGTTAGTTGAAGCGAACTGTGAGAGCTATCTGACGGCACCACTCCATAGCTTGGTCTTATTAAGGTAGTAGTGCTGCAGTGTGAAAGGCTTGTATTCCCAGGTAGTATGTACTAACTGCCGACCTTGCGACTATCGACTCTGACTCTCGAACCGACAGTCAGTCGCGATTGGTTTTCTCATCTTATTGGTTGCTGCTAATTTTATAAACAGCGAACACGCGTTCCCATCTTCCATAAACCGTTGGAATTTCCTGGCTGAAGATTCTGCTGCGACTGAGGCTGCTTCGCATCCGTCGTTCTGCCTTGGTCTGAGTTGACGAACAGACTGACCATCCTAGAGCCTTGTTTTGCGGGATTCTAATCTTGGTGGCCCTTGAACTGCTCGCTCGGTTCAACGGAGACTGCATCCGGATTGCACTGGCGGTTAGGACGCCTCGAACCTTCGGTCTGCCCTGCCTTCACCCTGGTGTCATTTAGGTTCAAGGACGCAGAATCACCACTCGAAAAGTCACGCCCTGCCAGGCTCTCGCTCGCTTGCACGCACAGAAATGTTAACAATTGAAGACCGGACAGTCCTACCGCGTTAGCCGAGGTCAACATTCCAATGGAGCTTTTTGCTGAAGCCTTACAACTTTGACCGCCGCTATTCAACCTCATGGGAGCCCGTGACCTGCCGGGAGCAGCAGGAGGACGCTCCCGACATGGCTCGCAAGAAACCGATAGTGAGCGAACTGGTTCGCCGAGCTCGTCTGGTGGTTCATCATCAGGACAGCTGTCCACCAACATGCTCGTACCTACAACGCTCGATTCTTATCGCCGCGATTTGTTCACCTCGTATCCAGCCATGACGGGAACCCACAGGATGGAAAGCGTAGATGAGTGTAAGTTGGTATCAACCCCGGAGGTGGTGTCTGCCTGCGCTCACCCGCTGCAATGCAGACGTGTACATCCAGCGAAACGAGGAGCTTCTGCTCAAGGTTCGCCCGGATCTGCAACATCCTGTCCTTTCAGTCCTCTTTCCGATGTCCATGCAGGATCCGAGCCTATTCAAGTGTTTCCTCGTCGGCGCGCAGAGCCTTTACGAATGGCGCCGGTTCCCGCGGCAAGCGAAACCCTCACAAACAATGATGTGCCTCCAGAGCGAGGCTATCACATCGCTTCAGAAACGCCTGACCTTGCCGGCTGCTCATCTAGATGATGGCCTGGTCCTGTCGGTGCTGCATCTCATGGTCGCCGACGTACGCCAGACCCACGTCCTCCTGGTGTCGACGCCAAGTCAAGCAATCAAATCAACTAACGATGTCTCTAGGCTTGTCTCAGAGATCTACCATCGCTAAAATCACACTTGAGAGGTATAAGGCAGATTCTAGCCTTGCGCGGAGGCCTGGGGGATTCGCCTTCACACTTGTCAATTCGCGCTCTGTTCACAACGTGAGTGTATTGACCCCTTCAGTTAGACCTCGTTGGACAATACATCTAATATCCGTCATGGCCAGGGTCGAATTCTACATCGCACTCGGCCAATACCTCAAGGTCAGTCCCGACGACCTACACGCTATTCCCAGTGAGCCCTTTGAGTATGTACCTCACCCCTTCCCACCGGACGTCTGTCGGTACGTCGCCACGCTTCCCATAGGTCTCGCCGAGGCTGCCCTTTCTGCACAGTTGAGTGTGCAATGCATCAAGCTACTCGCTTCAGTCGCGCAATGGGCTCCTTTGGTAGACGACTCGGATGTTGAGAAGGGCTCTTCACCCAGCTCAGGGTCTGCTCTGGATCCTAGGGTCAGGTACTGCCGGCTCTTTTGTGAGCCTAGAGAGTTCTGCCGCAATGCAATCGTTTTGCTTCTCTCGCTTCAACGGGCTGGTCGGCCGACTGGCCTGGAGCACATCATCATGCTAGGGCTCATCATCACGGCCCGTCATCTGAGCGGGGAGAATCGTACAAACTTTTTCGACCATGCCACACTTAACGCATTGCTTAGCGACATCAAAGCCATCGATACGCCCACTGTGGCAGAGACTGAAGTTATCGTATGGCTAGGTCTAATCATCAATTGGCGGAGTCACTTTGCCGCCGGACCGTTGCCCGTTGCCGATGCCCTACTTGACCATGTTCTAGAATCTTTCCCGGTCTCCAGGAACTGGCAGTCTGTTGCTACCATCAGTCGCAAATTCTTCTGGTTCCAAAGTTTCCAAGACGAGTGGAAGGTGTGCTGGCACCGAGGAATGCAGAGGTTCCACCTCCGACAGCGGTCGACTACCGTATCGTAAAATAAGCTGGATATCACACATTCAGGTCTTTTCCGCAACGAATATCAGGCGATCCAGAACTAACCATCCTGATGGAGACAGGACATGATTCGGCAGAGAGCTTGCCTGCATCAGCTGAACCGTCAAGTCAACTAAAAACCTGCATGTTTTGCGAAGGCGGACAAATAATCAACGATGACATACTTCCGCCGAGTGGTCTCTTGGAACAATAGCACACGGAGCCTCATGCAGTCTGCGCGATGCCAAAGCCAGAATCCCTGACATCTGAAAATGTCACCTTCCGGAGCCGTGATCGATAATCCGAGCAGGCGCTCAAAGGCACGAAACCGCTACGCCTTATCTCGATTCGACATGTTTTTGGTACAGGCACATGCAAACGAGCATAACACCCGAGGTCTCGTCAACCCCGGATGGCAGTGTTGAAAGACAGTCAGATGCATTGAGCCCCTAGAATGTCGATGCCGAAAGGGATGTTCCTCTGACCAGTCACAGTGTTGAACGGAACCGGTTGGAGGTATCAGTGAGCCTCAAAAGAACCAGTACAAGCTACGGTTCACTCGCCTATTCGACGGTTCATAACTTAACGAGGGAAAGGGTAAACAGGATTAATGCCCTTAAGAGCCATCCTGCATGAGGAAAGGCCAGAGGCAATGAGCCTCTGCCGAGAAGCAATGCATGAATGTGCATTTCGATCCTGCTGTGGCCTCGATTCGAGACTACCACAGGCGAGGAAGGCTAGACTAACTATCTGCATACTATCTAAGAGAGTATCTTTCTGATCGCATCGTCTGGATGCGCTATCTCTCTGCAAGAACGTCCTTCAGCTGCATCGGCGCGCCGAAAGGGTGTCTTGTCGATGATTGACAGTTTCATGCTTCACCGACAGCTTTGCCAGTGCCGTCACTTCGATCACGGCAGTGGTTGTGGATTTTTCTGGGACGGAAAGAAAGTTGTTGTACCCTCTTGATTCTCATCTTGAACTCGCTTCGCGCGGCAACCGAGTTTGAGGGACATCATAACAGCAATGGGTAGTGGTATCTCAAAAGGACAACGGAACGCCATTCAGACAGGACGCAAGAAAGCACAAAATTCCAACCCAAGCCCAGAATATGGCCCTATGATTCCCAACCTTGCTCCAACGCTGAAATGCAACGATGTGGGTATTCATGTCTGAATCCCTGGGCCCAGGGGCCAAAAGCAGTCACACCATGATCCTCCTCTTTCGTTGTAGCCGAAGGCTGGTTTTCCCTCAAGAGATCGTTCATTTGTTTCGTCATTGGTTTTGGTGGTATTCAAGAGCAATGAAAATTGCCGTGAGGCAACATCTTGGAAATAAGAGTCCGAAAGTCATGTGAGTTTGGTTTTCTGGTGGTGGAAAAAAGGAGGTGATTTGTACATCCAGGGCCGAGGCCCGCGAGAATGTCAGCAACGGGGTTCAGATTTTACCACTGGCATCGTTCTTCTTCATGGCCTTTGCCAGCATCAGCTTCCTCATCCACTCGACACGCTCCTTTGAACTGTCGACGGCGAAGTGATGAGACTTGCTCTTGTCAAAGAGCTTTCGACTCGACACGGTCTTGTCCTCGGGGATCAAGGAGAAGGCAAATGTCTGATCGCCAGATGGCGTCTTCCCCTGGCCGAGGAGGCTTTTCTTGAACGCAGCGCTCAGCTTGGAACCTGATGCCTGACAATAAGCATGGAGGGTGAAGGCATCAACGTCAATGGCCTCGAGGGGAGTGGCATTGGCGTAGTGGGTCTCGTGCATGGTAAGTTTGGAGCCGACCAAGGTGCAGTAATTGTCCTGCCACTCGTGGCGCAACATGCGCGTTGTCCGGCGCTTACGCATCCATCCCTGGTGATGCGCGATGTCGAACTCTGCAATCCCAGCTGCCTGGCGCCTTGTGACCAGAGGGTCGTTCTCCTTGACGGGAGCCACAGATGGGGTAAAGGACCCTTGGCGAAGGTGCCGTGAAGGATGGGCCGGTGGCGGTTGAGGTGACTGTTGAGCGGATACACATCGTTGAATCGGCTCAGAGTTGGAGGTCTCAGGAGCGCTACCATAGCGCATTTCTGGGGGGACCGACTGCGAGACATCTCGTTGACAAGGGTCTATTGCCATTGCCGTGACGGGCATGTCTGTCGCCGACATTGGGGTCTCGGTGCGGTAGATATCCGCAGGGGAAGCAACTCCGCCATAGTGATACGGGTCTCGCTGCAATTGGGCTTTGAGCTGAGCCTGGATGTGCGTGGGGCGATGAAGAGAAAATATGGGTGTGCGCATTGGGCTGTCGTCGTCCCTTTCGCCCGCGGGAATGGTGAGTTTGGGTAGTTCGCGAAGATGCTCGTCAAGGTGCGCCGACTTTGCGACAAAGGAGCCAGATGGCGCCGGTGGAGGTGATGGGTTGGATGACTGAGAGGGACTTTGGATATGCTGGAAGCTGAGAAACTGCCTGACACCATCCTGGGGGTCACGTGGGTGGATCTCGCTGAGGGTTTCAGCAGTGATCTTGAGTGCTGAAGGGCCAAGGACATCTGACGACCCGACGATGGAGGGAAGTGCTTCGGACGGGACCTCGGAAATGGGTCGCCTGGCTTCTTCTTCAAAGGTTCTCTGCACTCGGTTGATCCTCCGTTGTTGCCTTTGCCATTTGGGACAGTCTTCCCCTCTATCGCACTTGTGCTCTTTGGGAAGGACCTGCTCAATGCCCACGATGGAGACCGACTCGGCAGGGGTGACTGTGTCAGCTTGAGCGTGCCGAGCTCGTCGATGACGAGATTGAGACCGATCCTCAATGAACACGTGACACTCATCTGAACGGGGAGGCCGTTGCAGAGTCACCGGACTTCTGGTGCTCCTGGAAGGTGTTCTGGATAGAGGAGAATCCAAGGAAATCATGCTGCTGTTGCGGAGCTGGTGGATGGAGCTCATGACCCTATGGCGCTTGCCAAAGGAACTGATGTCCAGTTCTTTTAGGTCTTCGAACTGCAAGTCGATCAAGACGCTCCCGGAAATATCGTGGATCAGAAATTTCTCGACCACGGCGGGCTCAAAGCCAGCCTCGGCCATCCACTCGGCCACTTGACGAGGCGTCCAGTCACGAACCTGGGACTCGTCAAGCTCGGCAACAGCATTGGTCAAAGCACCGATGGGCTTCCTGTCGGTCTTGTTGAATTGCCCGGCCGGTGTTGTCATGCTGTGGAAGACATCGTCCTCCGGATTGCTGAGGATCTCCGGTGTATGTCGAACCAGGTGAGGATCCTGATGGCCCAAGACGGCAGCCTTGCCATCGAAGTGAAATTCGAAGCCGCCCAGTCCGCCGGAGCTGGGAGGCGTAGGGAGCTCCTCGGGGCTTGACAGTGTCGACTGACTATCATCATCGCGGCTGAACCAAGGAGACAGAGCTGTATCGGAATCGTCCTCGTTGTCTGTGTCGAAGATTTCAGTGGCTTCAGACAGAGGCCGAGGCAACATTGTATGACGGCTCAAGAATGAGAGGGTGGAAGGTTTCTGCAGCATCTCAACAGACTGCAAGTGCAGCTGTTGGAATTGCGAAGACCAGTCGTCCATGCTGGAAGAGTCAACAAAGACAACGTGTCCGTGTCCTGGTTTACCAAACTTGAAGTCTGTCTGGGACAAAGGGATGAAGAGGGCAAAACCATGGGTGGGGATGGAGGTTTGAGCGGGAACGAGGTATGTATACAACGTCGTGAAGGAACATGGACGTGGGCGGCTACAACGGTCGGGGCCAATGTGACAAGCCAAGGGGATATGCGATATGCGAGCCAGGATAGGTGCAGGAGAGGATAGTCGAATCCTCTACTAGTGAATTGGGACTGCATGCTCGAAGATGTGAAACGCAGCGGCAACAGCCAGTGAAGGTGTCGACAGGAAATGCATGCTGAGAATGGCCTGTATAGGCTGGCGGTAAATCACAGCAGATCCAATCGACGGCCATTCTATGAAAAGTACGCGCCGAGATGGAGGAGGGAACGAGCGCACCTTTGGGGAACAGACGGCATCATCCTTGTTTGGCAGTGAACGGCCGCCCGCAGTGGATCCCGCACTAAATCACAAGCCAAGCATCGCCAAGCATCAAGTATTCCCCGCGTCTGCACCAATGGCCTTCAATAGTGAGCGGTTGCCAAAAATACAACAGCTCTAAGCAAGCTGAGCTTGCCCGCAATCGTGTTAGATCGTGGCCTGGAATAGCTACCGCCGCACTTGACTCGCTCTTTTGTAAGTGGCTCGAGCCGAGTGCCTTGCGGTTGCGGAAGGGCCTTCCTTCCCTTTAGCACTCCGCTAGGTACTAGGGACTGTTCGCTACGACTGCTACTAGTAGTAGTGATTATCTAGTAGCTCCCTACTGCTACAGGACCTAACAGTAGTAGTAGTAGAATGGGTGATAGTAGCGATCGTGGGGGGGTCTCGACTACTCGGATAGGATTAGTACGGGCACTGGTGGTGTGGTGGTGCCAGTGGTACAGCACTCTACAACTACAAAAGTTAGGTACTCTGCTCGTTGATCCCTGTCCGCGCCGAACCGCCAAACTCTCCCCTCCAGGTCTCCAAGAAAAAAGCTGCCCCGGCCATTTTTCCCAACCCCGTGGCCTATTTTCTCTGCCGTCCATTTTACCTTGTTTGAGGGCTTTGATTGGCTCGAGAGCAGAAATCACTTCCCTGCCCCCTCGCCTCGTCTTTCTTGAACTGGAGGTAATGGCATGGTCCGTGCTCAAGCTGGATTGCCTGGTCCCAGGGGAAGGACGGAAAAGATCCCTACCTACCTTCTATTGCTGCCCTGCTGATCTTTTCTCAGACTCGAGCTCTCTACAGTAATAGGTAGGTACTCGTTTTTAGCTGAGACCCTGAAAAGCCCGGGCATCCGTCACATTCAGGTTGCCAGTAGTGGGCTACCCTACCTAGAAAAGCTGTCCCCGTCACCATCCGTCACAATTGATGATCAACAACAACGATCAACAAGATCAACAGATCAACAGGTCACTGGCAGCCTGCAGCTCAAGGTGCATGCAGGAATAATGTCATCAACTTGAGCTCTCTTAACTCTAAACTCTAACTCTCCGCACTGCATGTATGTAGTTCAAGTCCAACTGTACTTGTGTGTGTGTGTTTGTGTTTGAAGCACATGTCATCCGCTGCAGTGGAGTGCCCGCGCCGACAGGTAACGGTAACGGTAAACGGCCACACCAAGCTTGGAGAAGACAAGATCTTCCCAAGGATTTTGCTTTTCACAAAACACAAACCGCAACTTGAAGCACAACTTGAGCACACAGCAGAAAAGCTGTGCGTGTGCGTGTGCGTGTGCGGCCAATTCTTGTCCACCACTCCCATCACCATCGCCCCTCTCCTCTCCTTGGCCTGCAGTGCAGAGCCAGAGCTTGACTCTTGAGTTGGGAATTGAATCCAGAGCTGCGGGGGTTCTACACTGTAACTTGTCACTGACTGCCACTTGTTGGTGGTGGTGGTTGGACCCTGGAGGTCTGGTCTAGCCTAGCCTTTGAACTGGGCCTGACACTACTAACCTCTTGTACGATAGTAGTAGATGGTGTGACCCTCGACTCGAGTTGGGCGCGCAACATGCCAGTAGTAGTGGGATGTGCAAAGCAAGATCAAAAGGCTATCAACCTTTCTTTTTCAGGGTCTTTTGAGTTTTGCGGAACAGTAGAGCGAACTGTAACCGTATGAGTCTCGCCTTGGTCTTGGTCTTTCCAGACCATGGTCTCCATCTCAACGCGGCCCTTTCCGAAGATCAACGGGTCAACTTGAACTTTGATTGTCACCAGGCTCGCTCGCGAGTTGTGGGCACTGGCATGTATCGGGCAACTATTGAGTTTACCTAGCACCTAGGTGCCTAGTGTGGGGGGAAAGTCAATGGGGTCTCTCCTCACATGAACTGCAAGTGTGGTGTTCATACCCATCTCCTAAAGGTGATCACCCACCTTACCTACAGGTACCTAAGGCTTTAGGTGCTGTTATCTCATGTAGTAGTCTAATGTGCTGCAGAGTAGCTCTCTGAATAGTTTATCTCGTTCGCCTTCGTACAAGAACGGGTCCTCGCTTCAACTCGGTCGCTTTCGGCTTCGATGTGTGATATCGCGAGATTAGTTGCATATGTGCCCAGTATGTATGCGAGGCGAAATAGGGAGACAGTTGCAGGAAGTCGGTCGGTTCTGAGGTCATTCTTGTCCCATATCTCGCATCCCATCACATAGCCTGTCCCCGTCAAAAATGAACTGCAGTGCGGAACCAAGCGTGATGTTCCCCGCCACGCCTGGTCTCTCCGAAGACCAGAATTATTATTATTGGGGCCGGGACAGGATATACCTGGTTCAGGCTTTCGTGAGAACCTTGGAAGTTGGTAGTAGCCAGCTCTGCACATGGCCGCCACTTAATGCTCTTAATGCTCTTTTCCTTGGCGGTGAGCCCACCGCTACTCGCCCGCCGGTACCATGGCACAAGTCTGGCATGCATACCTTACCTCACGCAGCTGCGGTACCTATCTGTTACACAGAAAGCCTTTCTCCAGGGTCACGTTGGCCAATGCTGTGGGCGGGTTATCGTCACAGAAGCAATATGTGCTCACATGTAGAGCAACCGGAACCAGCTTCGAAGGCATCAGTTGTCGGAGATGCGGGACATGACAGGGAGTAACGGCATGGAAGTCGTGCAATAAGAACGCTGTCAGAGGCTTGCGAACACTCTTCCAAAGCATATCAAGATTAGGCTTTCTGCATAAAGCTGCCCGAAGACTCGTTCTTCGAGGCTCATTATGCAGGTTTCCGGTGCCGCCTGTGGAGACGGCTTCTCAGTCTCAATGCAATGACAAACTGCGGTGCGGTATTGCATGCTGCCAGTGTGCACCAACTCAAGCGCACCTCGGACGTTGCAAAATATTAACGTCAGAGAAATGAAAAGCAGGACAGCATCCATACCTACCAAGCATGGATGTGCTTGTGAAGGAGCTCGACGACGCGAGTCTGGACAGGTTGAGGAGGAGGAGGAGGAGGAGGATGGAGAGGAGGTTGGGGTGTGATTGTGACAGGCAATCCGTGCCGGGGCATTAAAGCGTGCTAGAAACGCTTCCACCCACAGCCATCACGTGGGACGAAGAGGACAGTCACCGACAGCAGGCATGCATTGGGCAGCACAGCACCGTCATATCTCTGCGAATGTTTCCGTAGATGATTCTCGGCGGTTGAGGGGTCACAGCAATGTACTGAGCGCATGAGTCTCGAAGGTACCTACCTGGCAGGTACCTGGAATGGAAGGATCAAGGTGAGAGCAGCACGTGCTGTACATCCCTGTTCAAGTACTGCCAGTAGGTGCCATGATTGTGTGCTGCGTTTGGCCCTTGTGGAGCTGGTCAGTGACCGGGATACTCCCAGTTGTGTATACTGAGCAGTGTCCCCCCAGAGCGTTGTTCGGCGAATGGGCCTTGGATACAGCATACACTACTGTACACTCACTGCGCACTTCCGAGACTGATTGTGACTGCTATGGCCACACGGGCATGAGAACTGAAAGTGCTAAGAATAATGATCGATTTCGAGGAGAAGCCAATGTTTCCAAGAAGGAAGCTGTTGAGATAGACAGTAGGTATTTCGGTAGATGCCAGTTCGAGTGATGATGGGAAACATGCAAGGCGAGAATTGATGGCGGGAAGCGTCCTCTGGTCCATTCCGCTTGCCTCGACAGTAGAGGTGCCTTAGATACCTTAGGTACCTAATAGGTAGGTACGGTAGGTAGTCGTGCAGTGGTGGTAGCGATGGTTTGTAGTGCTAACAGTAGGTGTAGTACTAGGCAGGCTAACGACATTAGCCACCAAACACCTTGTATTGCAGCTGTCTAACCAGCAAGGGGGTGAACAGGATCTAACCTCTCTGCGACTAGCGGCTGTTGGACTTGGCAGGGCGGTTGGTCCGTGTTCCTCCCGAACGCTTGTCCAGACCAGATTCCACCTCCCTCCAGCAAGGCATGACGGGTATTGCACAACTGCTATCTACAAGGGTAGCTCTGCACCAGCCCGCCACCGCGAGACGGTCCTGACCGCCCTTCGGCCAATCGATTTTCCTCCTGGGGCATCTCGCTACACTCCATCGGCTCTTCTGAACCCTTTGCCAACGTCTGCCTGGCAGAAATGCCCTTACTGGAGCTGCTGCCCCCGGACCCCAGGCACCGAAGCTTCAGAGGAATCATGGCACGTTGGGAGATAGGACAAGAAACGTGGGTACATCCCAGACCTGTACACTCACGCGGTCCTTCTCTGCAAGCCGAGAGGTAGATGTACACTCGTTTGTGGTGGGAAATCTCGTGGATTCGACCAACCACGACAGCAAATGGCAAAGAATTCCCGTCCACGATTGATATCCCTTTGTCGGAGAAACCGGCCTCTGCAACATACCGTCCAGTTACCGACCGAACTGCATTCTAAGCATGCAGGCAAGCGAGATACCCCTCTTCCACTGTTCCTTGCTGCTCCTATTGTCGTTGGAGTCCCCCTACCAAGAGCTGTCCCAACCTCGTGCGCTCAAGCTAGCACGGTCAACCGCATGGCATTGTCAGAGCACTGGCCACGGATATGGGCGTGGCTTCAGTGACTGTCTGCCGGTATTCCCTGAACATCGGTACCTGTCGGGTACGACCGCAACCAACATTCTCGCATCGAGCGGGATGTAGCTTACAAGTGCCACTGCATGGCATGCTTGTGTCTGGAATTCCAACACCACATGACTACTTCGCGAACTGCAAAACAGATCGGGCACATCTTGCGCCGGTCTTTGGGCTGCTATGATTTTCTGATGCTAATGCGCCTTGCCCTCGCCAGCGTTCCGATATGTCCTCCCTTTCGCTTGAGCAGAGACGGTCAGTAGGCCGGTTCTTGACCCGGCATCCGTCGGGGGTTGGCAGCTGATCTCCAATCGACCAAATACAGATTCGGCCAAGGCAAGAAAATCGCATGACCGGCAACAGACAGGGGTCGATATGCAGCCATGTCGATGGCGGCGCTAACTGACCTGCGTCCAGGACTCGTCGAAGTTGTCGAGGTCTAATCTTAGCCTCGAAGCGCCATTGCGACCCCCACCATCCAATCAGCAGCTTAACCTCCCACACTTCATGCTGATTCCTTCTTGCTTGCTGCACACTATCAATCGACTCCAATCGATCGAAATGCTTGCCTCTCTTTGAACTGACCCGTCCTTCAACCACCTTACCAGATGCTCAACTCATGCGATGCCCCTCCTCCATCATGCCTCCCACCAATCCGCGAAGGGCGTTTCCAGACACAGTCGCGATATTCATAGATACAAGTTCTCCAGCATGTGCCGGCCCTTTCTCCCATTCGTCCCTCATGACACAGAGTGTTCTCCTACGATCTGAGCCTTTACCAGACCAGCACGGAGCCTCATCCAAGCCGCATGGCATTGATCTGTGTGATCCAAATATAGCTCTCACGCGTGCTCGAGAACAACTCCAAGCATCTCATAAACAACCTTCCTCGGCCAATGCGGCCGTGACTCTCTTCAAGGCAAACCGTTGCCCTCGCTGTCGTCCCTCTACCTCGTCGACGAGTACCTCCATAGACAGTCGGATACTGCTGGCCAGTGTTCGCGACCACTCCCTCGTAATATCCTCACAGCAGCATCGGTTACGGTTATTGCTTCGTGGTTACCGGCCCACGTCTCTTTGTCTTTCTGGCCTACGTTACATGCGACAACTAAAACATTTGCATTGTGGTATCAGAGATGGCCTCCACTTGCGAGAAGAAGGCTGCGCCTGCCACCAAAGAGTCACCATCCTCAAAGTCTTCGAAGATGCACAGAAGGTCCCGTTCTGGTAAGTGTCCTTGAAGGTCCAACCACGTGGACACATTTACTGATGGACTACAAGGCTGCTTCACATGTCGTCTGAGACGGAAGAAGTGTGATGAGGCCAAACCGAAATGCAAGGCTTGCCGGCATCTCGGTCTCGACTGCGAATATAAGAGGCCTCATTGGTGGGGCAACAATGAGAACCGAAGGAAACATAAGGAACTCATCAAGACCGTTATCAAGAGGACAAAGACGAACGAGAAGAGTCTGGCTTCGCAAAGTCAATGTAAGCCTGTGCCTCATCATATCCCTGCCACCCCGACCGTGAGCCAATGTATAACTATAACACGCACCACAGACATCTTGGGCAGCACAGGTAGAGGGACTTCGGAAGACTCGCCAGACGATTATGACACTGCTTTTGACCCACCCTTTGCGACCACTCCGGGTATGTACGATCCTTATGCTGCCAACCTCTATATGCCTCACCCAGAAACCTGCGCAGCCGGTTACCCTTGGGAAGTAGACGTAAAGACGGAACGTCACACCTACGTGAACGATGAACTCACGCGCCGCGACTCTTCAATATCGACCTTCAGTACTCTCGTTCCTCCACCTGCGCACTCCTTGTTACCAGCGTACCCAAGTGACGACTGGGTACAGCACGACTTTTGCGAGACCCGACAAGATTCATGGAGCGGAGAGGAGAACCTGGACTTCAACTTCTTTGACTTCTCTTCCCTCGCCCCGCAGCCTCGGCCTCAATGTTCTATTGTTCAGCTCGAAGACTGTGACCGTCCCCTGTTCGATTACTTGCTCGACGATGTGCTGCCACTCTTGTTTCCTGTTCTGGAAGCCAACCAACATGGCTCGGTCCGTGCCGACGTCATATTGCCAGCTCTGGAAAACAACAAGGCGTACCTCCACTCCTGCCTCCTCGCTGCCGCCACGCATTTGAAGGCCACTCAACCCACCTCCGTTCAGGGAGCCGAAGATGATGCCATGCGCCACAAACTTGCCTTCGTCTCGATCGTTGTCGATGCCCTCAACAATGACACTCACCACGCCGAGATGTTGGACGCTTTACTTGGTATGATCTCACTTCAAGGAGTTGTAGGCTCAGCCAGAGACCTCGAAAAAGAATTCCAAATACCCTGGCACCAACATTTCCAGGCGGCTACGGACATTGTGCAGAAGCTTGACCTTCCAACGATCCTTGAAAGTCACTGTCAGACAGGCGGTCACCCGCCGTTTAACATGACTTTGACCTCCTGGATAGACATCCTCGGCGCGACTATGCTGGGAAAAGCTCCCAAGTTCTCCAACACCTACCGAAACCTCTTTTTCACCGGTGCCTCTATGGGGCTAGAACAACTAATGGGTTGCAATGATCTTGTAATGTACCTATTGTCGGAAGTCGCCTGTCTGGACTCGCTGAAGGTTGAGAGTAAGCTTGACGACATCGGAATGTGCAGCCACATCACTTCCCTGGCCCAGACTCTGGACCAGATCGAACCCAATGAGCCTCTACAGATTCCCTACTCTAAGTCCGGAGCCCTTCGACCGAAGCAACTTTCGAAGAATATAACCGCAATCTTTCGCAAAGCCGCGCGCATCTATCTCTGCTCCCTAGTCCCTGACCACAACCGCTACCAACCGGCCACTGTTAATCTCGTCTCGCAAATGGCCGATCTCCTTCAGTACATCCCCTCTGGACCCAACGGTTTTGATCGGTGCCTCGTCTGGCCCCTGTTGATAGGCGGTGCGAACTCTATACCTGCATCGCCCCTTCGCAGAGCCCTGTCCGAACGATGCGAGATGCTAGGAGATGCCGCCGACCATGGAGCCTTTGGTCGAATGGTGCGCCTACTACATGAAATGTGGAGACGGAACGATGACATGATTATCTCCGCAGGAGTATGTGAAGCCACTCCAGTTACTACCGGAAGCCCTGGGGATTCGACATCGACGCCGATCAACGCATACGCAGCCGGAGCCGCCCTCGGAACAGCTTCAGCCAACTCAGCCTCTTCAACGACCACGGTACCGAGAACCCAGAATGTCCACTGGCGGGACGTGATGCAGCAGAACGGATGGGATTTTCTTCTGCTCTAATGGCCGTTTGTCTCTCTTCAAAGGGATTCTTTCTCTAGATGTGCAAGCGGGTCTTGATGACCAGTTTTGCCGAGATTGATTCCCTGGGGGATGTTCAACGCCTTTAGCAGAGCAACTACACTCGTTTCCGAAACCTGGTAGCTCCCCTTTATCAAGGAGCGCTGTCGGAGTTTTGCCATTCATTTAATACACCCCAACCCAATCCACTGCTCAAAACTTTGCTGGCAAAGGATTTAGTTTCTGCATCCTGGTCTGGGTTACGACGGTCACTTTTGGGATTACCCGGCGTTAGAGAAGAGGCTGGACGGGGCTGGTGGCATACTTTGGCACAGCAGCAAAATGCATTTAGCGACGGCGCAAGGCGCGGACATTTGGTCGTATGGAGCACAAACGGGTTGGCCACTCTACAGTCAATGAAAGGACGGTCAGAATATAATGGGCAAACCGGCATGATGTGTGTGAAGACCAACCTGGGGCGGTTGTGTTTGATGAGACTACCTAACTAGGTACCTGTGGCGGCAAGGAAGAAATCCACAACATACTTGATACCCGATGAAAGGCTGGAGCACTAACGAACAGAAAAGAATTGTTTGTCGTCCAGACGGCCTGACGTGACTAAATCTCTTTTCGAGCTTGCTGAATATCATCACGTTTGTCAATGTCCAGCATCTTTTTGATAGGCGTCGGAGGCCCAACGGACCGGGCTTGATCCGGAGGAATCTGATCGCCTTTTCCGTTTTTGGACCGTTTGAAGGAAGAGTAAAGGGAAGGATAGGGGTGTATTTCGACTCAAGGGAGCGATCCGAAACGTCCTTGGATATCAGACAACCGTTCATAGGCCTCCATACGATGAAAGCGGCCGATTCTACTGTACAGGATCGGATATTAGGGATGGGTGTCTTCCACACATTGTCGGGAAGGGACGAGATTATGGGAAATGGGAACCAAGTTCTTTGGAGATATACCGAGAGTCAAGGGTGAATCCATCTATACAGTGGCAGCAGATCGCTCTGGCCTGCCATGGGAGAAAGATGGAATTATGATAATTTCTGATATGAATATTCGGACAGAAGAACATCACTTGTCGCGCTGCACGTGAAACCGCGTAGAAAGTGCTTCAAAACTAAAATCCATACCACTGCAGGTGAAGACTCAAAGATACAAAACCGAAATGAAACTCGACCGAGTATTTTTATGTCTGGTTCCTTTCCTTTCCACGAAACGTCCGACGGCATGGCCCAAGTTGCATTGCATGAGGCATCTTTGATGGGTCTACTTTGCTACAACACCACCCCCATGGCTCTCCCTGTAAGCAGCTTCAGTCAAGATCTCAAGCATGAATGATGATGCACCTGCCACGGCTGGCCTAACGAGGGAATAGACTTCTGTCCCCGTCTCAGTCGGACCACCATGGGCAAAGCCATATCATATCCCCCACGGGCGACTCTGTTCGCAACCATATTACCCACCTAGTCTAGTACACCTCTCAAAAAGCAGGGCTGCTAGTCGACCTTTGTCCCGGGGTACTAAGGCACATGACACGGACCATGTAATGCAGGATCGCGACCTCTACAAGTGAGGCGGTAAGCGGATCCCGACCGGGGCTGGTGGCCCTCGAATGATATACTTCAGCAAGGGCCTTTCTCTTTCCGAAGGGGTGTATTGCGCGCCTCGATTTTGGATCCGGCTGTCTGGGGCTGTTGAAGAGGATGGACGCTTGTTTCGATGTTCCAGCATGCATTGAGCCTGGCGCCACTTGTCGATCGCTCTGGTCTGGACCTGGGGCGGTCGGGTGAAAACGGTTGGCACAAAACACCCCGGTCGTGTCGGATTGGAGACTGGGGAAACTGGTGATTTCCGGGGTAGATAGATAGCTGGCCTCGCACTGCATATGATCTTTTGCTAGTCGAAACGAAGAAGTACAATAGCAGAGCCGCTCCAGATTGTTGGAAATCTGCTGAAACGAGTGTGTGCAATCTGGACACGCTCCTAACGCTGTCGTGGAGGACACCAAACCCGGCATCCCGATGGACGCCGGAAATGATCACGAGCATGACACTTGATTAAGCTCCCTAGCCCTGGGGCTTGGGGCGCTGCATTCCCGAGACGCCACACGGTCATAGGCTCGGGAACATACGAAGGCAGAGGGAACTCGCGTGCCTGAGCCTGTTGCTGGTACAAACCCGGTCTTGTTACCCTTGGCACGGGTTGGAGTAAATGTCACCTCGTATATGGGCCTCCCGCTCCACGCAAGCAGTAAAGGAGGCCTGGCAACTGCACGACGGCCGCGTGCGTTTTGCAAGGAGGTCCCTCCGGAGAATGCACACCGAGCAGCAGCAGATCGGGTTTCCCGCCCGCGTGCGGTGCATGCCTCCAATACAGTCCCAAATTCAGCATCTTCCCGACGATACTTCGTCAATTAGCGCGGGGGGTTCGTCAGATTCGGCCTTGCAAGCAGCCCTCACAGACGGGGAACGGGAGACTGCAGTTCCAACCGCGACAACAATGTCAAAACTGGGCGTTAGATTGCTCGACAGGATAGCGTTCGAAGAAGACTCGCCGCGTGGGATGGAGAATGACTCAAAGCCATCCATCTCGGTTCCGGAGCAGAAAGGTATATAAAGGACAAATTCTTCTCCCATGAATGCCACGAGTATGCTGAGGCCATGCACAATCTACCCAGCATGAACAAGTCTCAATTGTCTTGTACTCGGCTACTCCAGCAACAACAATCACCGCATAGCACTTACAATCAGCATTAGCAATGGCCCAAGCTCACAGGTAGTTCTCCCTCCCCGAAGATTGCCGTGATCTGACGGGGTTTCAGAACCTACAAGAAGATCACGTTTGAAGGAGACCGTCCCAGACGAACGGAGCAGAGTGGCATGTTGGAGGCGTACCTCTACAGCAACCAGACTGTATTCGATGCCGTCCATTTCGAGAGAGGCCAGCATCGAAGTGCGGCGACCCAACAGCAGGGAAATCTGGAGACAGACCAGAACGAGCAAGACAGTATCGATGACCTGCTCGAGACCATGGATGCGTTGACAGATGCCGAAATCGTGCGGGATGCATTGGCGCTGCGGAACGCCAGTTGATTACTATTGGTTATGGTTAAGGACCCCAGATGAGGCTGAAAGGCGCATAGGAAAAGGACAGTGCATACTTATGGTCAACTTGAGTGGGCGCGGATGGATAGAACGGAAGCAGGTCCAACTCGGAGGAATATTTTGATTTGTATTATTATTATTATTATTACAGGTATTTGTCGTTAGACGCTGGATGACACCCACCTTCCTAGATACCTACAGTGCAGTGGCCTTAGGCAGGAGTGCATCTGCTCCTCCAATTTCGACGTCAGACGCTGCTGCTGCCAGTACCACTGGTTATCAGGTACTTACCCGAGGTAGCCACCTACATTGAAGGCAAGATACTACAGTACAACATCGTACATGTGTGTAAAAGTACTATACTTACCTGCATGTCCCAAAGTACAGCCAAGCGACACTACTACCTCTACCTACCTTGATATCTACTTATGCATGGGACAAAAGTTGAACGCAGGCACATGTTTTGTTGCCGTTTCTGACCAGCAGCCTTTGACCACTACAGGTCGTTGCAGATGGCTGCAGCACAATTGTTGGTATGCGTTGGCGGTATGCGTTGGCAACGGGAGAGGAACATGGCGCATGCCGATATGATCTTTGCATCTTCATTGCCATCTGTGACAGCTCCCATTTTTTGGGTCTGACTACTTCCGCTTCCGTGGCCGGAGTTGGCAACAGAGGTGATATCGTCTCTTGCTGCAGTAGTCAGACGTGAGTCGGCGGCTGTCGGCACCGATAGCATGTAATGCCTGCCATCGGGCATTGTATGTGCCAGGCTGAAGACACACACGTTGATAGTTGGACATGGCGACGGAACTCTGCAAGTGTAGGGAGATATACAGTCTAGGCAACCCAAGCAGCAGAGTCAGAATACTACTAGTATGGTACTGCAGAAATCCTTTGCAACAAACATATTTCGCGGGTTACTCGGCAACTCCAAAAGGGGTATACTGCCACAAGACCTTAAACAGCACAAGACACGTCTATTGTAGGTTCCTGCCACACCGAACATTCCATAGTACTTGTGCCACGACGAGTATCTTCCTTCTGACAATTTTGAGAGGACTCTAGCAAGCAGTATGCCATTCCTCTCATTCCAGACTCTCTTTTCTTCAGGTCTCCCATCTCCCAATCCACAGACCCGCAAGCCGCCCCGCGCTTTGAAGACTCTCCAGCATCCCTCCGCATTCGCCTAAAAAGCTAGGGCGTCTTCTCCGCAAAGACAGCCATGTCCTTCCCCGGGCTCGGTCGACATCTACCATGTTTGGAACTCTGTTTTCTCTCCCATTCGTCCAGCGCCAGCCCGGCAATCTGAACTAACCCTTTGACTTGCCTGAGAAAGGCAAACTTTACTCCGTCACCAGGACGCCGCGATCCGTGCCTTGACCCAAAGAAGCGGACACGAATCTGCCTTAACTAGATGAAGCAACTCCAGAGCCGAAGGTAGGTCTTTTTGATCCAGGGAAGCTTTTCTCATGCAAAGAGCACTCGAGCATTCCAGAGCTATAAACACCATGAGCTTCTGTCTATGCCATGATGCAACAGTCTTGTCTGTCCTCGAAGTCCTCGCATTCGGGCATCCCCTTCTGCCCGCCAGCCGTTGTCATTTTGTTACTTGGACTATAAACCATACTTTGGTGTGATCTCATCTCTGGACCTCCTTTTGTGCAATTGAAGGGCGCACACCTCAGACCTTTGAGCTTCCAAAATGCGCCTCTTCTCACTCATCGCCGCGGGCATCATGTTGCATTGGCGACTGGCGACCTCGCAAGAGCTATCGGATATCCCTGTGTGCGCTGTACGTCTTCCGCCCCGGCCTTGATTGCCATATGGCCACATCCATTGATCAATCCTAACCCAACACCACCACTGCAGCAACAATGCATCGTTACCGCCATCACCGACACAAGCTGTACCGTCACAGACGCGCATTGTATCTGTGCCAAAGACTCCTTCACCACTCAAGTGGCAGGCTGCATTCCGAGTGCCTGCAGTGCTTCGGACCAGGAAGGTATGTCCACAATCCGCCACAATTGTCATCGCTCTTATGCATCGTGACGGGGTCATATGTTGGGGTTCCTGGGAGCCAAAAACAAACGCACGATTAAGCCGGGAAAGATTACATTCGATGCACTTATCTGGCTTTCCCCAGTGACTGCATCTACTTGTTCCACCGGTGGATTGATTGATTGCTGATGATTTACTGACACGATTACCCTTCAATCTACTAGCTACCCTCACCTTCATCCAGAAATACTGCGCCAAAGTCGGCGTCACCGTGACACTACCCTCGTCGAGTGAATCTGCTTCTGCTTCTGCCTCGGCCTCATCCAGCACAGCCAGTACAGGTGATAGCGGTTCATCTTCGTCTGGCTCTGCGGCTGCATCTGCAACATCATCAGGCTCCGCGGCTTCCGGCAGCAGCAGCAGCAGCGGCTCGGCTTCTGCGGCCGTTTCCCCCGCGACATCATCTGCGGCCGCCGCGGCGCCTGCCAGAGTGTCGGGCCAAGAATGGGCTGGCCTGATGGGCATGTTGGGCCTCGGAGTGGCAGCCGTACTGTAGTAGATGGAATAGTGGTGCTACCACAGAGAGTAGCTTGGTCTAAATCCCCAAGCCACTGAGCAATGTACATAGGATGCGAATTAAACATCTAGGAATCCACACCCTGCAATGAAAGGTCCAGTCCTCAGCTGTTGAGCCCCGCTGGAGGCAGAGGGTCGGGCCGTTGCGGCTGATCCATCAGCATTCATAACTCCTGCCATGATGACCCGGGGTGGGAAAAAGCCATCCCAAGGGCGAGGGCCGCCCTCGACGATATCGATTTTTAAACACCTAACAGCAGTGTTGCAGGGATGAACCGAGTGCTCTGGATGACTGGTTTGACTATTGACATTATGTCCCTCGGCCCTTTCGAAATAGCTGGGCCTTGGGTTCGCCAGATGTCTATTCATGGCGGGGGTGAAACCCCGTCCTCTATAACTCTAGTGCAGACGTAGTGGGTACTCTTCAAAGGGTACGGCAATTCTAATCATGTGGTCATCATCGACATCGGCCCGTTGGAACAGCCAGGCTGCTTGATCTCTCTGCATGCATTTTCCGAATGACGCTTCTGCATACCCTATTGCATGCGTTCAACCTTCACCATCAAGACTGCTGCGAACTTCTCACCAATTTCTCGAGGATGGAAAGCACGCCTGTAACCGAGTTAGTACGAAAGCAAGCGGCGAGAAATATTGAGCAGATACTTACCAGTTACTCCTTGAGTCAAGGTTGCCGAAGCCTCGGTGCTTCTGGCCCCCAGTGTGACCGTAACCACATCTCGAACCTTGCCAGCCTTTTCCAGTTTATGCGCCCAGGCGAAAGCATATTCATCCTCTCGGGAGTCGCCAATCACCAAGAGGAAGTCAGGCAATGGCACACCCCTCTTCTCCATCCGGTCACTGATCACTTGGGTGGCTAGTCCTTTGTTGACGTCCATTTCGGAGATAAACAATCCGTCTTCGATGGGAACAGCACTGACATGTTGTCCGCGACAAGCATCATTGATATGATTGGCACATTCACCGGCTTGTTTGAAAGCTCCGGCTCGATCCTCGGCATCGCTGTAATCAAAAATCAAAGAGCAGTGTCGTTCCTCGATCCGACTACCCTCGATTCTCTCGACATAATACTTAAGGATGCTTCGGACGCCGTCTTTCCAGTTCTTGAAGTTGTCGAGGTCGGCTAACTCGTCCCATTCATCCGACCCAGGTTCCATGAGGAACCCGCCATTCTCGGCAATCATCCCCAGGCCGCTAACTGGACTGAACAGTCGTTCCATTTCTTCGGGCATTCGGGAACTCATGACATAGACAGTGTTTCTCTTATCCTCGATCAAGTCATTCAGGACATCAATGGATCTCTTGGGTGTGGTCAAAATAATGTCGGTGGGAGATCCCCAAGACGCCAAAGTACCTTCGTAATCCAGAATGATCAGCCGTTTTGAGGCTCGGAGGTATTTTGGTTTCAAAGAAGTCAGCGACAGGCGTGGCACTGATGTAGAATCGCGGATTGAATGTTCTTTCCAGGCGTGGTCCAAGGCCTTAGTGTATGTATCAAACCACTGGACGGCGTTCTGCTTGACGACAATATCGTGCATGTTCTTCCACCGTCGTTCCCTTTCATCAGGTTGCATATCAAGGGCAGTCTTGATGGCTTGTGCGCATTGGCTGTAATGCCATGGGTTGACCAGGATGGCGTTGTGTCCGAAGACAGTAGCTGAACCTGTAAACTCACTAAGAATCAACGGTGCATGCTTCGTGTCTGCGAATTGGCCATCCTGGCAGATCACAAATTCATGACTGGTGAGATTCATTCCTTCGCGTAAGCTGGTGATCATCAGACATTCCGCCACCGTAAGTAAGGCCAGATACTGAGCAAAGTCAATGTCCTGCTTCAAGAATACCAATGGCTGGTGAGCCAGAGTTGAATGGATCGAATTGACTCGCGTCACAATGTCGGCCACGGTGGCGCTAAGCTCAGGATCTTCCGTGGAAGAAGTGGCAATCTGGATCAAGACTACCTTGTCCTTGTACTCCGGGTACTTGTTGAGGAACAGCTCATAGGAAAGGATCTTCTGACGAACGCCTCGAATGTTGTCCAACTTGTCTCGGGCAACAATGATTCGTTTCCCACGGTATTTGTCCGTGATAGTGTTTACCCATTCGGAGACCTCGGGCAAGCGGCGTTGCTGGTCGAGAGATTTGGGGTCGATGCCAACAGGGCAGGTGCTGACATGAACAAATCTTCCGTCTTCCAGGATGACGCCATGTTTGGTTGCTTCGACGTTAAGGAGACGGCTGCACGTCTGCAGGAAATGGTGACAATATTCGTCCGTCTGGAACCCAATCATGTTCGCACCCAGGATGCCTTCCAAAAGCTCCGTTCGAACAGCAAGGCATCGGAAGATCTCCGACGATGGGAAGGCTGTATGTAAGAAGAACCCAATCTCCGCCTCAGGAAGTCGTTGCCGGAGCAAGCCCGGAACAAGGAGGAGGTGATAGTCATGAATCCAAATCACATCGCCTTTCTTCCAGTTTTTCGCAATGCGGTCGGCGAAAGCCTCGTTGACCTTCACATAAAACACCCACGAATGATCCTCATATGCTTTACTCTTGGGATGGTCGGGTATTTGATAGTGGAAGACCGGCCAAAGGATTGTTTTGCAGTAATGTTCATAGTGGCCGTTGAGATCACTGTCACTGACGTATACAGTCAGAGAATCGTAGTCATTCTCCAACTTCTCTGCAATGTTTTCCTTGAGAGAGTCGTCCAACACATCGATGGGGCACCCCAGAGTTCCGACCCAAGTCTTCTCATCCAGACTCCCTGCTTCAGCAGCAGCATCAATGGCGTTAAACAGACCGCCATTGCCGAGCAGCGCCTTCTCCACGGTGTAGCTATCTTCCGAGAACGGCCGCTCATGTCCATGACTGAATGTCCGTGTTCTCTTGTGTTGCCGTCCCCACTTATTCTGGATGGTATTGGACACAACCGCGGCGGCCTTGTCCATCTTGTCCTTGGCCTCGGCAGCGGCGTGCTTAAGGATCGAACTCGGAGGAGGCGACTTTGCACGGGAAGGTGGCTGGTTCCAGCCAAAGGTCTTGCCCCATCCTGGGGAATGTAGATCATGGCGTGAAATCGCGCGGGGATCTCGTTGCAGCGCCGGCCGAGACTGCTGGTTTGTACGCGGTAATGTCAGGCTGATCGGTCGTTCGACATGGGGAAGGAATATTTTCTCATGATCGGTTGTCGCACCCGGCGTCTGGATTAAAGAACCCGGACTCTGGGTAGCGGCAGCTCCGATGCCCGGGGCAGGGGTGAACAAGCTCACAGTCTGACCGTCGGTCAGAGGAGTTGGAGGAACAGGAATCTGCGAAGCGGCAGACTGATTCCTCTGCAGGTCGGGCGATTCTGGTTGAGAGCCCGCTGCATCGAAATTGATGGTGTAGGGTAAGAAGAGGGTAGCCACAAAAATAGTCATCGTGGCATACGGTGTTGTTCCTGAGAGCAATGATCTAGGTCAGGACTTGGTGCAGAGAGGAACAACAATGACAACCAAGAAGTCGGTCGGGCAAAGTATTGGTCTCAATGCGTGAGTAGCTCAGCGCTTGTACCTAGCGGCCAACTCGGAACGTCGAGGAGCACCGCGCAACGGCTGCGGGGTGACCTGTCTAGAACGAGAAAGTAACAGAGGATTGAGCGGCAGTCAGTGTAGAGAAAGGGGGCAAGCAGAGGTAGAGAGATTCGCCGGCGACCAACTACACAGGACGACGGTTCCTAGTAGAAAGTACGTTGTAGTTGTACTGCTTCGTAGCGAGGGAGGAAGAGGGCACGACGGGTGACGAGCGGGAGAAATCTACCACTGGCTCAGCAACTGTCACTGTGCTGGAAGTCCAAACCCGCGTGTCACGCAAGCCGCTATTATTGGACCGGAGAGAGGCTACTCTGGACAGTTGTAATGACCGGATGCCTCTTAGTAGGATCCCGGCTGCCCTTCCTGATCTATTCACTTCCTCAAGTCAGACCAACATGCCACCTAACAACCAGCAAAGTCCCGTTGAGACCATGACCGCATTCTAGAGATTTCCAACATCGCGATCTCGCAGGTTTGCTGAGCGACTACGCAGGTTATTGTGTACACTAACCACAAGGTCTTGCCTTAAAAAGTTAGCATCCCAACAGCAGGCGTGAGATTCCGCAGGCAGAATCTCTTAGGGCCGCGGGGGGCTAAAAACCGCGGTGGAAAGTGACGCAGACGGTGGAAACTGGCCGCCTGCCTAGCATTGTCATTGGTTGACGGCTGGATACGGTTGGAGCAGGCTGAGGTCAGAGGCTGGAAGGCTCAACCTGCACATCCATCAAGGACGTCGCGACCAGTGAAATGCCCTACTAGTACTGGTATTGCTGGATGTGCACGCTTGCTTTCTTCAGCTCGAGCCTCACCCAATTGCGCTCTCCAATTGGACCGGGATATCATCCGGAAGACTAAATCCTTCCTAACAATCGTTAACGGCTGCTCGTTCTCTAACCTCAAGAATTCTGGACACAACTTTCGTCCGCCAACCCTTCAAGTTACCATCAACCACCACCCTTCAGCCCGCTCTCTCGTGGTCTCTGCTCCATTGCACTCTGCATCCAGGCGAAAATTTTCATACCCAATCGGTCAAGTGAAGAGACGATGTTCAATTGAGTTGACTCAAACGACATTTGGGTCGACGCCGTTCTCAAATAATGGTGTTGAACAGAATATATCATTTTCCACCATCGCTCTGTCACCCTTGCTCTCTTTAACTCCCTGCCATGCCTCTCTATCTCACCGCGGCCCACTCATCACGCATCACTAAGCCGGCCCAGAGATCCGACCCCTTTAGTCGTCGTCATTCCTCCTCGCCTTTCGCGAGCGTCCCCCGGACCAAGGCGTCGTCGCAAAGGACCAAGTCTCTATCCGATGCTCTTGGCAAAGACTTGGATGAAGAGGACGACGAGTCGGAGGATAGGCTTGTGCCCAGCGGCAAGATTTTGACCACCATCTCCGTGGACTCGGCCAAAGATGTCCTATCTGCTGTACAGCACGCCCGCGCGTCCATGTTCGCCGCTATCCCGGAGAGGGCGGGCATGAACAGCGTGCGCATTTCCGAAGTATTGAACTTTCAAAGGAACATGCCGCCTATCGTGACACTGGCACATGTGCATGCCTTGATTGCCGCCTCATCGAAGACGGAGCGCCAGATCGCTGCTTTGCAATCAGCTGGTAAGCTGCGCAAGATCAAGGTAACCGGTCGTGGTAACGACATCAGCGGCACCAGCGAAGTTCTGATCACCATGAATGATCTGCAAGCCCTGCTTGAGCGAAGTGCCGTTGCATCAGACATTGTAACAAACCTCTGCAATGTGCTCCGCCGTCAACCTCGTGCTACCTCCATCTCACCCCGAGACCTCCCTCCTTCCCATGTGGTTGCTCTTACTCGAGCAGGTTTTCTCGTATCTGCAAGCCCTTCCGGTTCCCGCAATCTGTCTCTTGCCGGTTCCTCGCTGGTCTCCGCACCCAAGATCTCCCGAGCGGCTTCAGGCACATCGGATGCCGTTGGCGGCGACGCCGCTTTCGAAAATCTTGGTGGGGTCGGGACTGCCAGGAGGCATCAACTTAGTCTCCGCCCCATTGAGAGCATCCAGGGAAGCGAACTAAGCTTATCGGTACCGAATATTGGTCCGTACCTAAGACTTCTAACTGCGGGTCGTGCACATCTACTCGAACTGTTAGGGAAGTCGAAATACAGGGAAGGGCCCTTATACCTCCTGCGCGAGCGTTGGGACGGTGCTGTCGATTCCGACAACCGCATCTCCGTCGCCAAGCGCATCAGGGGAGAGTTCTCAGGGGTGATGCCCGCCAGAACGAAGAAGTGGAAAGATCTGTATGGTCTTAACTTTGACTGGGTGGTCGAAGAGTGCCTTGGCGCCGGCTTGGTTGAGCTTTTTGAAACTCGAAGTGTAGGATTGGGCATTCGAGCCTTGACATGAATGCAGCAGGGACAAAGTCGATTGAGCTATTCCGACGTCTTTGGACCTGCTCTGACACTGTCATGGGCTGGTCCTGTTCCATGCCGCTCAGACCGCATATTGAACACCTCAAGGCTTTGGTCTCCTCGAAGGCACTCACTGCCACGGGCCATCATCTTCCTCAGAAGCCAGATATGCGGAGCTGCAGAGATAGTTTTACTATCGGTTCAACAGAAAGCGACATTGCGCGGTACAGCACTTGAAAAGCCTGCCATTGCTCGAATGCAACACACCATGGGCTTCGCGGCGGGGCGCAGAATATGGTGCGCTGGGATATTTACACCAAAGATGTAAAGAGAAATCCCAAAGGTTCAAAAATCGCTCCGCAAGTTGAAGCGGCTGTCTGCAGATTGACGGAGGCTTCCAGACCGGCAGATGTGGCCTTTTTTGAGCGGCAAACACCCGCTGCTCCGGACCAGGTCCCAAGAAGAGGACTTGGTCATCCATTGTGCACACTGCGGCCGTCTCTGCATAGCTCCTATGGAATATAGGGTAATGATATACGACACCATGTTACATTGGGTGGCGGCAAACATTCCTGATACATAGTCTTGCAGAAAAATGGCTATGCTCAACATGGACGGTCAATAAGCAACGAAGGGGGACCTTTGCCCCAGCATATATGACATTGAATATACTCAAAGCAGCGTTAAGCACTGCCAGAATAATTTGTTTGTACGAATAAGTTCCATTGGTTTTCTGCTTTGTGCCCGTCGAAATTCTGTTGAAACACACTGGCAGCCCGAGTCACCACCCAAACGCTGGGTTCCAGAATAAACGCAAAAGAGGCTTAGATCTTTCCGCCACTCAACTTCTCGGCGATCTTCTTCATACGTTCTTGATCACGTAGAGCGCGCTCGTTCACATCTGTTGCAAGCATCAGTCCACCACGGCCTTGGTCGGCCGTCCTGTCTCGTCCACGCCTGATCATCTCCTCCACGGTATCTGGCTTCCCACTGCGCCAAATGCTCCTGGTCGTAGTGAAGGTCTCGTCAATCGCCTTGGCCAACTGCTCTTTGGTGGTGATGAAGGAGCGAGCATTCATGTACAGGGCGTGAAGCTTGTCGAGGCGGTCCTCGTGCTTAGCAGCCAGTCGAGCCTCGTGGGCAGCCTTGCGTTCGTTGTAAATGGCCAATTCTTCCTCGACGGACAGCTGGAGCATCTTCTGCGGCTTCATGGCCGAAGGAACCGAGACCTTCGTCAAACGCTCATCTTCACGCTCTGGCTGCGCTGCGAGTCGGGCGGTTTCTTGTCGCTTCACGGCACTTCGTTGTGCGATGTGCGAGTCGATTGCCTTCTTTCGCTGGTATAGCTTCTGCAAACTCTCGCGCAAATACGACTTCCGCAGCTCGGCCATCCGGCGTCTATATTTTCCAACCTCCGATAGCTTCTCCTCCGGCAGCACATTTTTCGGCAGAGGGTCTCGCGTCACATTTGCCAGATACTCCTTGCCTGGCTTGTCGGGACGGCGGGCCGGGAACAGCTCCCGGGGGACAGGGAGGATGCCCTTGACCGGAGCAGGTCGTTCACGTAGTGATTGATGTGGTTCCGGAACGTCGACAAATACTGGCGATTCAGGTGGGATGTATCTGCGGCTCGAGGTGGTGGTGAAGGTTCGTGTCTGTGAGGGCTTCAGCAGCCGCAGGCGGCACACTCGACACATGGAGCTGGGAAGCGCCTCCATGTCGGTTAGCCTCAACCGCTGGACAGCAGAGAGTATGCAGGCCAAACGGCTGCGTGCAAGATGCGGATGTGTGTTCGATCCAGATAGTTGAAGCCGTATCAGCATTGAAGTTACAACTTTCAGAAACGCAGTTTGTAGACTATGCCAAATTCGGAACATCGCCGCCGTTGTGCTTGGCTCGAGTTGCTACAATTTGATAGGGCGGCAACAGTTAAAAGTGCGGAGCTGACCAAGGCTGAGGACAAAGCAGCAATAGATTATTTCTAACAGGGCAACCTGGAACGAAATTTTGGCGCGCCTCCAATATTTTTCTCCATATCCCAGCACTCTAGGTTTTACCGAGCCCTCCATCTTTGCATTTCCTCTTCATTGCTTGCACTTTGCCCACCCTTTCCCAGCTGGTTGGGGCAGTACTGTGGTAGTCAGTGATCCACCAGCACCATGGGGGCCAGGAAGAAGGAAGCCTCCCGCCGGGAGCGGCAGGGCGTCTCGTCCGACGGGATGGGAAATGTCAAGGTGAAGGGGGAGAACTTCTACCGGTAAGTTGAAAGCAAAAGGCTATGACTACTGTGTAACTGACATTGCTATTAGAAATGCCAAAAAGCTCAAGACGTTGAACATGCTTAAAGACGGAAAGGCGCAGAGAAATGCGGCCGGAGACATTACCAAAGCAGCCTCCTATCAATCTCGAGAAATCCCCAAAGCACGGGTAGAGCCGAATCGGAAATGGTTTGGGAATACTCGAGTTATATCCCAAGAGGCATTGGAATCATTCCGACAAGCAGTGGCTGAACGGGCGTCTGATCCGTACCAAGTCTTGCTCAAGACGAACAAGTTGCCGATGAGTCTGATCAGGGACAATGAAAACACCAAGAACGGCATCAAGCAGCATCAAGCGAAAATCGCCGTCGAATCCGCTCCATTCGCAGACACCTTCGGTCCCAAGTCGCAGAGGAAACGAGTGAAACTCAGCGCCGCTTCGGTGATGGATTTGGCCAATGAATCGGTCAAGATGCACGATAACTACCTGGAGCGGTTAGAAGAGAACAAGCTACTCAGCGGCCAGGCTGCCGAATCGATGCAGGGACAAGAAGAAGGCGAACTAACAACTGCTCGCGAGCCGATTTTCTCCAAGGGCCAGAGCAAACGAATTTGGAATGAATTGTACAAGGTCATCGATTCGTCTGACGTTGTGATCCACGTTCTGGATGCTCGGGATCCTGAAGGGACAAGGTGTCGTAGTGTGGAAAAATACATCCGAGAGGAAGCGCCACACAAGCACCTGGTCTTCGTGCTGAATAAGTGCGATCTGGTGCCTACCAAGATAGCGGTAAGTTTTCCCAGAGCCCCATGCTGTTCGCTCACCACGCCGCGCGCCTATCCCCTGCACCACCTTCCATCGCTAAGTCAAGGCGCCTTTCTGCCTCGTTGCAATTTTTCTCCATGAAAGTGTGCCTGTTACAGCTTTGGTACATCAAGCAGCGCTCGCCGCCATCTGGCGGTCTTCGACCTGGCATCCGTCTTGGAAGCCTTGTCATTAGAGCGCATGGCGTGTTTCGTTTGAGTTGAGGTCTGCTTGGAGCGGGAATTTCTCGGTCCTTCAACTCATGGCATACCTCTTAGTAATGTCTCACACATACTGATTATATTTCTATAGGCCCAATGGGTGCGATTACTGTCAAAAGAATATCCCACGCTAGCATTCCACGCGTCCATGACCAACTCATTCGGAAAAGGCTCTTTAATCACACTGCTACGACAATTTTCAACTCTTCACGCCTCCAGAAAACAAATCTCGGTGGGCTTTATCGGATACCCTAACACAGGCAAGTCCTCGATCATCAATACACTCCGGAAAAAGCGGGTCTGCACTGTCGCTCCCATTCCTGGAGAGACGAAGGTCTGGCAGTACATCACTCTGATGAAGAGAATCTACCTGATTGACTGCCCTGGAGTTGTGCCCCCGAGCCACGGCGATTCAGAAGAGGATATCTTGCTTCGGGGTGTAGTACGGGTGGAAAATGTTGAACATCCTGCACAATACATCGAAGCCGTCCTGCGGCGAACTCAGACACGCCACATCGAACGAACATACGAGATGAAAGCCTCCGAATACAATAATGACCCGATGGAATTTCTTAGCATTCTTGCTCGCAAAGGCGGCAGATTATTGAAGGGTGGTGAGCCGGATGTAGATGGCGTTGCCAAGATGGTGCTCAATGATTTCCTGCGTGGCAAGATTCCATGGTTCACGCCTCCGCCAAAGAGAGAAGGCACGGAGGCGGCTGAGGAGGATGGCTCGGCGCCACTCGTGGAGGGGCGTGAAGGTCGGTTGGGAGAGATGCCCAGCAAAAGAGGCGCGGAAACCGCTCAGTCAGAGGAAGACGAGGAGGAGGCTGACTCCGAGTCCGAGGCCGAGTCACAGGACGAACAGGATGCGGATCAAACGCATAAAGACGACGACTTTGCGCAATTTGACGATGACGATGACAACGACGATACGAACGCTTCGGAAAGTGGGGATAATGGCGGGACCCAACTGTGATCTAATCCGCCTTATTGCTGTCTGTAACTGGCAATAACGATGGATTTCTATTCCTGCAAACTTTAGTAGCATACATTTGAACTTGCGATTCTCTCTTCTTCAGTTATCTCGTGATCGAGCATGGTGGTAACAGTCGTCTCGAGGACAAAGAGACGGAACCGTGTCAGTCGCGTGTGACATCAAATCAGGTGACGACCCCAAACTTGAACATCATGATGTTCTTTGATCGCTCTTTGCCTCATAAGTCCCGGGCCTCTTCCGGCCTACACACTCATTCATCATACTACCTGTGCCTATATCGTTTCGCTGCAACCACCTGAATTTTACCAGAAATGATTCTCCTCTCTAGGATTACGACTTAGGGGACAAAGTCCAATGCTCTTCTTGTATGCTAGCCTGTACCTGTGGTTATGGGGGGTGGTAGCGAGTGCGCTTCCGGCGCACTGGCGAGCCAACGACAGGGAGATCTCTCAACAAACCTTTGAGTCTCTTGAAGAACTTGCGCGAATTGTGGACATTTCCTACTGCGTCGGCACTACGGGCATACAGAAGCCGTTCAAATGTCTCAGCCGATGCAGCGACTTTGAGGGATTCGAGCTCGTCACAACGTGGAATACAGGGCCGCTACTCTCCGATTCATGCGGCTACATCGCCGTGTCGCATCCTCCCTTTGAGAAGCGAGTCATAGTTGCCTTCCGAGGAACCTACTCCATAGCAAATACCATCGCCGACCTCTCCACGATCCCATCCGAATATGCGCCCTTTCCCGCAGATGCTGACAACAATTCGGTTTGCGCATCATTAGTCGAATCGCAGAATGACAAGCGGCCGTTGTTGCCACAATTGGTGGCCCAGCAAGCAAAGAGAAGTGTGCAGGAGGTGGAATGTCCCAACTGTACAGTCCATCTCGGATTCATGACATCGTGGAAAAACACCCGCTGCACCATCGTGCCACATGTGGAAAAGGCGTTGGAAGAATATCCGGACTACAAGCTAGTCCTGGTTGGCCATTCTTTAGGAGGTGCTGTTGCTGCTCTCGCAGCTCTTGAGTTCCAGGCCCGCGGTTGGACTCCTTATGTCACAACATTCGGCGAACCTCGAGTTGGCAACCAGGCTTTGAATGAGTTCATCGACAAACGGTTCAAGTTGGACACGACCAAGCCGGAAGAATCGATGTATCGCCGAGTCACGCACGTTGATGATCCAGTCCCTCTCCTCCCGCTAGAGGAATGGGGCTACAGAATGCACGCCGGCGAAATTTACATCTCGAAGCCTTCCTTGCCTCCAGCGCGTGCCGACCTTCAATACTGTTCTGGCGACGAGGACCCCAAATGTATTGCCGGAGGTGCATCTCCTGACTTGGAGAGTGATTGGTCGGAAGCAAACGCCTCAGCTGATCTTGATGTCAAGACTCTTTGGGGTATCGGCCGGCGGTACAAGTTGTGGGAGCTTTTCTTTGCACATAGGGACTATTTCTGGAGGTTGGGGCTTTGTGTCCCAGGGGGTGACCCCTGGGACTGGTCTAGAGGCAGACACAACGAGAGCATGAATGATGAATTATAATGTGTTGTGGCCCAGACGGTCAAAGAGTCTGGTTCGGGCTGATAGGGCCAGGGAGGGAGATTCCTGATTTTATACCTAATGACACGTTGAGGAGCACGGCGATTCGGTCACTCCTTGTTTATCCAAAGGGCACATTGTCCCTAGATACCTAGGCAATCAATCATGATATATGACGATAGGGAAGAAGTGCCTTTCACCATCCTTTTTTTGGCTCTATAGGTAGTGTGTCTTGGATTTTCAGTAGGCCTCCTTCATAATTGAAGCAGCAGCAGCTAAAGACAGCTGTAACAGAGACGCCGCTGGCACTCCTACGAGGCGTTGTAACTTCGCACGAATGTAAACCGTGAAGTTCACTGCCACCGGCCGTGGAGATGAATTGAGCCATAAATTACGGTGAACCAGCCGGACCACTGACGCCGAATGATATCGCCAGTTTTTATACTATCGCGAACCAACTTGAACAACACCACCACTTTCTACAGTATCTCGAACCTACTCTGACTCGCGTCCCATCAAAAACTTGCGTCGACGTTCTTTGGGGCAGTGTTGATACCCAGAAATCCATTCTTTAAAGGGTGTACAGCGCCTCCACCCTGACTGACATCGTGCGGCACCACAACGACGACACTCTTCTCCTTTCCAGTATTTCAAATGGCCTCACAATTATTACCGCTAGGTCAGTGTGAAAAGTGCAGTTGGACACTAGAAATGGTCTTGGGTTAACAGGACCAATACAGAGCTGATTGACAAATGTGTCGGGTCGAGGATCTGGGTTGTGATGAAAGGCGACAAAGGTAGGTTGTCAGACCCCTCTCTCACTTGCTCTCAATGCGAACTGGTCGCATCTTCAACCAGTGCCTTGATGGATATCGAGATTTGAGATCAGGGACTATTGCTGATGAGACCACACAGATTTCGCGGGCACGTTACTCGGATTCGATGACTACGTCAGTAAGTTTGCTTTTTCCCTCCGTCATAGGAATCTTCGGCCGTTGCGGGTAGTGTGGATCGTGGCGATGCTAATATGTCTTCTTACCTGCTGAAAGATATGGTGTTGGAAGACGTGATTGAATTGTAAGTGCATAACAGTTGGAGCCCAGTGTTGTTGGAGTTACGAGTACTGACCGGATTGATCCAACAGCGACTACACAGGCGCACAGACGAAACTGCCTAAGATCTTGCTCAATGGCAACAACATTTGTATGGTAAGTACATACATGAATGGCTTGACTGGTTGTTGCGCGGGCACCGATGGTTCCATTTACGACTGGACGGGGGCCAAAAATGTGTTCCTTGACTCGACGGCCCGTTGCAATGCAGCAGTGTCGTTCGGAAAATGGTCATTGTATAGCTAACGTCTTGTCTCTTATTTGAACAGTTAATACCTGGCGGAGAGGGTCCTGTGCCTGCAGCATCGTGACAGCGGTCTGATATAGCTTGAGCGGTGTGGTTGGCATGGCGGAAAGGCAATTGCAGCATGACACGAAGGCACTAAGCAGGTGGCAGTGCTCCTTTATTGTCTGCGACATCAGCGTCGAGCCATTCTGAATTGCTGTAGTAAGCAATTGAAACTAGAATAGGGTGCAAAAGCTGCGGACAGAATGCCGCCCGAACGTCTAAACAACAGAAACCAAGCTACCGATATCTGAGACCATCTCTCTCTTTCCTTTCCGCAACCTTGGTCATTGTGCAAATAGCGCCGCCGACTTCCGTAAGACATCGACGGCCTCGACTTGTACACGTCGCACGATTTCAGCAGCAGGCAGGACCTCTCGGACGAGCCCAATACCGGTACCGGCGTAGGTGGTCATTCTCCCTTCGGGACCCCATCCAGCGTCCCCCAACTTCATTGCCTCCTTGTAGCGGTCTACGTTTTCCTGCTCGGGCATGCCGTGAACAGCATCAAGATACGTTCGGTTCACGACACCTCGTCCATTGTAAGTTTTGGGCCATCCATGGATTCCCCGGACTGTATCGTAGATGGTGGTGCTGACGGTATTTGCACCCCCATCTGTGACCCTCAGCACCTCATTCTGGTAACCTTTGGAGATGACAGCCTCTTCGGCGGCCAGAAACCGCGTTCCCAACGCCACACCCTGAGCACCGAGCGCCAACGCCGCCGCGACTCCTCGGCCGTCAGCGATGCCACCGGCCGCAATGAGCGGGATATGATTGATGCCTTCAGCGGCAAGGGCGTCGGCCGTCTCGGGCAGAAGCGTCATCAGACTCGCCCGCTGTGCCAGGCCGTGTCCGCCGGCATCGGCGCCCTGGACCACCAGCACATCTGGCTTAGTGGTCTTTGCGACCTCGATGGCTTCGGCCACTGTTCCAATCTGGACCCAGATCTTGGTCCGTCCTTCGCTCACTGTGCGGATGGCTTTGGCCCAATCAATCAGATCGCTCAATTGCTTGGGCGCGAAGAACCACACGGCCGCCACGGGATGTGCTTTGAGCGCGTCGATGGCTAGTTGTAGATCGCTACCCCAGTTTTGAAAGCCAACACCAATAGGGAGCACGCCGTTGTGTAGCGGCACGTTCTGCGACTTTGCATACTCGGCGGCTTCGGCCATGCCGCCGGCAAGATAAGACAGGTCGAATCCGCCGGCGATAAAGCCAAATCCACCTCCTGCTGACACGGTCACGGCCATTTTGCCCAGGGTGATTTTCATCATGGGCGCCGAGACCACCAACGGCGCGTCCGGAGTTGTCCATGGGTAGTCATTGTGAAGGGTGTTAGGTGCCATCTTGACGTTTATCTCGTGGCTGTATGTTGGCAGGTAGACAAGATGTAGCGATATGGATGCCTTGGACTAGTATGATATGACACAAATACTAGAGTATAGTGAAGGAATCTCAGCCTTGGGGCAATAAAAAAAGTATAACAGAACTCGGAGGACCAGGAGCTGCTGTCACATTGGAAAGCCCGATAGAGCAAGATCCGGAGAAAGCTGTATATGTATCTATGTGAGTCAGTAGCTAGCCGACAGAATGCCGCTGTTTTCGTAAGCAGATAGGATTAGCCCTTGGTCCTCGTGTAAATAAAGGTTATTGAATCTCCGCGGATATCGTCTTGTACTGACCATGAAGCCTATGTCCTCGACTAAGTGACCCATTCAACCACGACGGAATAAACCTGAACCAGTCCGCTTTACATAATACGTGACTGACACCAAGCCCGCCAGACGGCTTAGGGAACCGATGCTCGCATCGTATTCGCGAATTCATGGTGAGCTTCGACATCTGGGTGGGTAATCATAATGCCTCGGATGATGGTCGCTGCGCCAAATCAGGCCCCCGGTCGCACGGATCCCCTTCACGTGGGTTCGCTTGCTCTGCCCTACAATGAAGGTACCGTGCCAGTGTGGTGGTACTCTGGGTTCATGTGCGCCACACTGCAGTCAAAGCCACAACTTGAACACAGCCACAGATCGTGTTCGGCAGACCTTCCCTCCGTCACTTCCAGTAGTAGAATATCACTGGCAGACTCACTTCGCGAACTTCATGTGAATTCAGGCTCGTCGACATCAACTTCAAGTTGAGGCGTGATACTTTCGGCCGCGCCTTCCTCACCTCCTTCTTCTTTTATCAATATCCTTATCCTCATCACAGCATTTACTTCTTTCTTGGATAACTCAGTTTGACCAATTTCATTCTTCTGCAACCCTTCTCAGCCAGGGTTATCGCTTTCTGCAGCGATCTTTTCCATCTTGAAGTCGACAAGATGAACGCCCCAGATCGGTAAGTGTTGCTCTCTAATCTACCTTTGTTGCTTTTTGTTGTCTGCATGATGGAGGTCCACCGTCCAAGATGTGCAACCAAGTATGAAGAGGAGGAAAATGGCCATATGATCACCATCTTAACCTGGCGACCACGCACCGTTCACTGCCAGGGGCGAAGCCTTTCTGTTTCTGGATCTTTTTCCTGAACACAATTACCTTGTTTCGCAAATGAGAGCGTTACCATCCTTCACGCTGTCATTGGCGACGATATCATTGCCGGAGTGTTACGCAGAATATTATATTCACCATCTCTGCCTGGACCCGGCCATTGCCTCGACGAATATGTTGGATATTCGAGGCTTCACCTGGAGGCGACTGCCAACAACATTTCCGAGTCGCAATTTCCCAAAAACCATTCACAGCTTGCGCTCTCCTCGACTTTCTCAAAACATATAAGTTTTCCTTCCCGCTGTTGGTTTTCATTGTACATCACTTTTGTCGGACAAAACATGGGCAACCAGGCTTCATACAATATGCCGGAAGCAGTCGAAGGGTCCAGTATCCTTGCGGGTACCACTCCTACTCCTTTCCTGGGTACTACACCCCCAAGCACCTCGCAGCGGCTCTCTGTTGGCAAAGACATCAAGGGCAAGGGTCGTGCAGTCGAACCACCCGGTAACAACCTGGGCTCCGCCGACGATGATGTTGAGGGTGAACTTTCAAGGTGCGCCTCAAATCCACTCTCGGAAGATCCCTTGTGCCAACCTAAATCCCCACAGTGAAGCAGCCCTGGCAAAAGCTATACAAGACCTCAAGGACTTAGACGACAATAATGCCGCTGAAATCAAAGAAAACGCCCCAGCTTCCACCAAGCAACATCGCCAAGGAAGTCCGCGGGAAGGCTGCACACAACCCCGCGAAGGCTGGACACAACACCCTAGCCGTCTGGGGGACCAACTTGGTAGCAAATGGCGCAGTGCTGGAGACAAGAACGGATCCAGCAATATACCCGATCGGTGCGCATCTGGGTAGACTTGATTCAGTGCCGCAGACGACTTGGTTGCACATCTGGTCGTCTTACATCTCATGTTTAGGCAGATGTCTTCTGTTTCTACGGCACCTCAATGATAGTATGTACTGACTTACTTTGTTATAGTACCGAAGCCTTTCTGCTTGATCCTGGCCAGAAGAAGGTCGAGCCCGGTCATGACACCCGTTAGTACTTCAGAACCCGTCCTTTCCTCCTCTGCTAACCCCCCGCTTGCAGGCACTCCCAATACTATGATCTTCGTCTACAACAAAGAGGATCATACTCTCGGAAATGCGCTTGTGGACCAGTTGCACAAGAACAGCCATGTGACATATGCCGCATACCGAGTAAGTTATCGAACATGTCATGGTTGCAACCGGATCAATTGACCGGCCACAGGTCCCGCATCCCCTGTTTGCCCGCTTTGAGCTGCGAATTCAGACCGATGGAGAGATCACCCCGAAAGAAGCTCTTCTGGCCGCAAGCCGTGATGTCATTCGGGAGCTGGAAGTCATCAAGGTCAAATTCACCCGCGAGTACGAACTGCGAAAGATGGTGGGCAATACTACTCAGAACAACGAAGTCTGAGAAGTGCCTAGTCATCATGACAGCAGACCCAAACATGAGAGGCATGACTACGGACGTATGATACCCTGTACCAACACAAGGGATGGCGTGAAGGCGTTTCCGGGAACAAGAGGCTCTGCATTGAGTCAGATTTCTGCATGTGGACTGCTACTTGCATCGGAGCGGAGAAGCTCAATTTTGAGCCATAGTAGAGGCACAAAGGCCGGGTCCTGAGGGTCCATTTGACTCTAAAATTGATTTCGGAAAGTAAAAGAACAGTTCCGCTTCATGCTTGTTGAAGGTTTTACTTTCCCACGGGTTGTGCAACCAGCCAGGCCGTCGTAGCCTCGTAGCCTCGTACCCAAAGTTAAATAAGGTAATAGCCAAAGACGCCGGACGCCGCTTTTAAATTCGCCGTGGCGCCAGGTGAATCGACCCCTGTCACGTGCCAGCTTAATCTCCAGGCTGACCTGAAGTGGTATCACTATCAGCCACAAGATCCGCGTCATTGCAGCGAGCAACTCAACGCCGGGGACGCCTGAACTCGTCTTACTATCGGTTTGCATTTTTTGGTAGATTCAGCTCGTTGTCTTTCGTTCATTGCCCATCATGTATTCGTCGTCAAATTCATTCCTGGGCAGCGCCAACAGTGCTCGCCCCGGTGCTGGAGGTTTTGGCCAGCAACAGCAGTCGTTCGGCACTTTCAATCAAGCTCCCCAACAGCAAACCCCTTTCGCTCCCCAGCCCACCGGCTATCCCGGGCAGTTACAAGCCCAGCAAACTGGGTTTCCCGGATATGGGGGACAACAGGGCTTTCAGGCTCCGGCTCAACAGCCTCAGTTCACCGGATACCCTGTCCAGAATCAATCGCAGCCGTCCCAATTTCCTTCGGCACCGCTATTCCAACAGCAGCAACAACAGCCGCCGCCGCCGCCACCTTTCCAAGCTACGTCTCAGGCACAACAAACGCAGTCCTTTCAAGCTCCGTCTCAATTGCAACCACAGCCTACGGCCGCGCCAATTCGACCTCAGCAGACGTCCTCGCAGATCGCACAGTCTTTCAATGTCGGGTCTACAGGTGCCGGGCCGTCAAACAGACGTGCCAGCAAGAGCTCGAGCAAAATCCCAAACATCCGGCTATCTTTCATAACTGCTACAGACCAGGCCAAATTTGAACAACTGTTTAAATCCGCGGTCGGCGACAGTCAAGCGTTGGACGGAGAAAAGGCCAGGGATCTGCTTCTGAGGTCTAAATTGCCTGGGAGTGACCTATCGCGAATATGGGTATTGTCAGACACTACCAAGTCCGGGCAACTGTTGTTTCCGGAATTCGCCTTGGCCATGTACCTGTGCAATCTGAGATTGACTGGCAAGGAGTTGCCTTCGTATCTTCCGGAGAAGATCAGGAACGAAGTTTCGAGCATGGTTGACATCATCTCCTTCGGTGTGCCAGATGACAAGCCGCTCCCGCCGCCTCGTACCAATGTGCCAGACTTCGACGCCCCTTTGAGGCAGAATGCCGTCTCCCCTCCTGCGCCGCAAGCACCTCAACCCAAACAGCCGTCAAACCAGCAGCTATTATCACAGCTTACTTCTCAGCCGACCGGCTTCTACAATCAAGCAACGGGCTTTCAACCTGGCTTACAACCACAGCCGACAGGGTTCCCCGGACAGGCACTGGGTATGCAGGCACAGCCGACTGGTTTCATGAACACCCCTCAGCCAACGGGGTATAGTGGTCCTCGGCCACCGCTCCCTCCGATGCCTACAGGCTTTGCGAGTAGCATGTCGCCACAGCAAACTGGCGCTCTTCAAGCCCAACCTACAGGTATACCCGGCCAATGGGGTTTCGTGAATACGCCCGCAGGAGGCTTGCCCAACATTGAAGCTCTGCAGCGACAATTGATGCCGCAGTCTGGTCGTGAGGGTGGTTATACAACTCAAGGCTTGTCTGGCAGCGCCAAGATTCCATGGGCAATCACTAAGGAGGAGAAGAAAATCTATGACCAGCTGTTCCGTGCCTGGGATGGACTGGGCAGAGGTTTCATCTCCGGCGACGTTGCGATTGAGATCATGGGCCAAAGTGGACTCGATCGGTCCGACCTGGAACGGATCTGGACTCTGTCAGACCCCAATAATAGGGGTCGCTTGAACATGGACGAATTTGCTGTTGCTATGCATCTCATTTACCGAAAGCTGAATGGCTATCCCGTTCCTGCTCGGCTGCCCCCTGAACTGATACCGCCGTCGACCCGCAACATCAATGAATCAATCAACACGGTCAAGTCGCTGCTTTCGCACGATGCTGAAGCAAGAAAATCATCAGGTGCATTCCTGCAACCCCAAAAGACAGGCATCAGCTACCTCAAAGATCACTCCTTCCGCAGCGCTTCCAGCTCCCCCGGCTTTGGTCGGAAAGACGCCACTGTCTTCCGGAACAATGACGATGACATTGGCTACCGTTCCAGTGCAAGACGCCGCATCGGAGCCGGTGGCCGAACCCCTTCCCCCGCCCAGTCGTCTGAAGTGTCCGAATCGTACGATGATATGACCCCTGACCAAATCCGAAAGAAGATCCGCGAGAAGAAGATTCTTTTGGAGGCTACCGATTTTGAAGACGAAAGGCAAGCAGAGGATGAGGACGTTTTGGACCGTAGGGACAGAAGAGAGGCAGAAGATTTGTTCCGCCAGATTCGTAATGTACAGGATGACATTGACACTCATCCCAATTCTGCTTTGGTTGGCTCAGATACCGGCGCCGAGAGAAGAGCCTTGCGCCGAGAGTTGCAACGATACCAAGACCGTCTACCTGCCTTGGCGTCGGATGTTCGCAAGGTTGAAAAGAGCATTGCTGAGGCAAGATTGCAGCTATTCCGTCTGAAAGACGCCAAAGCTCATCCGAACAGCGCATCGAATATTGTCGGAACTGGTCCAGGCGGTGCAGTAACAGAGGCTGATCGTATCAAAGCACGGGCGAGGGCCAGGATGCAAGCTCGAGCTGCGGAGTTGGCAGGACGACCGATTCCGGCATCTGATGACGAAGGCGCCGCACAGAGGCGTCTTGAACAGGAGACATCTAAGATCAAATCTGAGCAAGAGCGTCATGAATCTATGACCCGGGATGTTGAGGACAGCGTCAAGGACTTTGTTTCAAGCCTTGAGGATAGCCTGCGCGAGCAAGGCGGAACTGCATCGCAGGAGCACGAACGCAGGAGATGGGAGGAGGCCCTGGGTGTAGAGGACGAGATCAAGGAGCTCATTTACGATCTGCAGCGAAGCAGCAGGACTGCAAGAGTTCGCAAAGAGGAGTATGTCAATTATTCACATGAATTTCAAGCAGCAGACTAACATTTCCTAGGCAATCACGCCCTTCCCGACAATCCGAGTCCCAACATACTCGGGAAGAACCGAAATCCATAAATGGTGACTTGCCTTCTAGACCGGCGCCGTCGACTGCCTCGCCGTCATCCCCGGTGACGGCTGGCATGTCTCACCAGGACCGCATCGCATCAGCCAAGGAGAAGGCGCTGAGACGCATACAGGAAAGAATGGCGGCCGCTGGTCTCAAACCGGCTGGTGAGACGGGCGAGACGGCGCAACAACGACAGGAACGAGAGAAACAAGAAAGGGCAGAGCGGCTTCGTAAGGCCGAGGCCGAGGATGCCAAGCGCGAGGCAGAAAGACAACAACGGCTGGCTAATGAGGGAGTGGCACCTCCCAGTCCAAAGGCCGCAAAGAGACCACCCCCGCCACCCACCCGGAAGACCAGGCAAGATAGTGCTGATCATTCTGACCGAAAGGCGGAAGCGGCAGAGGCGACAGCTCGAGCGAAAGCCGAGGAGGAGGCGGCGGCACAGATTCGAGCAGAGCAAGAGGCCCAGCAGCATGAGCGTGAACAGCTTGAGTAAGTGAATTCTGATTAGTGGGGGCGTCAGAAACTAACAAGTGATTAGGGTACAAGCTAAGGAACAGGAAAACGAGCTTGAAAAAGAGCGCCAAGCTGCTCAAGAACGTCTGCGAGCCCTTGAGGAGCAGGTCAAGGCCGGCAAAATCAAGAAGCAGGAGGAGAAGGCTCGAAAGAAGGCAGCCGAAAAGGAAGCCAAGGAGAAGGAAGCCAAGCTTGCCGCTCAGAGAGCGGAGCTCGAAGCGGCCAGAGAGAGAGAACGACAATTGCAGCTGCAACTCGAACACTTGGGTGACTCTTCCTCGGACGACGATGAGGGTCCTGAACAAGTCACCCCTCAAGAGAGCACACCGGCAACGAGCCAAGTCCTGCCCAGTACGGTCTCATCTCCTCCGCCAGCGGCTCCTCCTGTGCCTTCCACGAGCAGCGGTCAGGAACCTACTCCTTTGTCCAGTCCGCCGGCAGAAGAATCGAGGAATCCTTATTTCAAGAAACGTACACAGTCATCGGAGAATGCCCCACCAGCCTTCTCACCACCGTCTGTCCCGCAAACTCAACCATTCTCGCCTCCGCAGCAGCCAGCAGCACCAGCAGTGCCGGTTGATCTACCTTCCACCAACCCGTTCCACCGAATGGCTCAACAAGAAGCCGCTAAGCCTCTGACTCCCAGCTTTACTGGGGCACAGTCTCGTCGTCGCCCAGAAGAGGATGAATGGTCCGCAGCTGGGTCGGACAACGACAACTCCAGTGACGAGGATGAGCCTCCTGCTGGGGGGTCCGCAAAACAACTTGCGTCGATCCTCTTCGGCACGATGGCGCCACCGAGACCTCTTTCCGCCATGGACAGCAAGCCTGCCACCCCGGTTCAGGATTCTGCTCCGGCTTCTGCATCCACTGAATCTGGTCCGCCACCTCCTCCACCAATGCCAACAGGTAGCGCGCCGTCAGCACCTCCTCCACCACCGCCTCCAATGCCTGATACAGGGGCACCAAGTGCGCCTCCTCCACCTCCGCCAATGCCTGGTTCTTCAGCCCCAAGCGCACCGCCTGCGGCACCACCGCCACCACCACCCGTGCCTGAGTCAGGAGCATTCAGCGCTCCTCCTCCACCTCCACCTTTTCCTGAGGTTGCCGCCGCACCAGGTGGCCCTCCTCCACCACCGCCAATGCCGGCGCCATCTAGTTCGGGGGCGCCCGGTATCGGAGCCTTATTGGGGGAAATTCAAAAGGGGAAGGGTCTACGACATGTGCAGACCAATGATCGTAGTCAAAGTTCGGTGGCGGGGAGGGTCTTGGGTTAAGCAATAGAGCATAAGGTTGAGTTACAGCATATCGTTTAGTAGGGACTATGCTGCAGAATATTGAATACCATTTCCTTTGGCTGCTGAATGATACAGCTCGTCTTTAACACGCTCGTGTCTACTATTGGCAGATAGAAGGTCGAGCATGGGGTGGTGCTTAGTAATATTATAAGGCTGCGTCGACGGCGCTTCACGTGATTTGGCGCTGCCGAGTCTAAGCCGTTTCGGGAACAAAGTAAATACAACTGGATGGGAGTACAACAACATTTGCTCCGCGGTTGCGCACGTCCAATGCAAACTCACCCACGCAGCGCAGATTTAATGAACGAGTATTCTACGACTTGACGAGAAGGAAAGCATTGGATGCCGTGAATAAGTCGTTTGGAGGCTTGAGCAGCGTGCGGGACAGTTAGCATCAACGCGAAACAATACACTGCCAGTGGGCAGACTTTCACGATGCCTCGTGTGGCAGGCCAATCTACCGGCGGTCGACCTAGTCGGCAAGCAGTGGTAATGAACATGGCGCGCGAGAAGAACAAGTCGTCGCCGGTGAAGTGAGTGGCCCAGCCTAATCCTGCGCGCGGAAAGTGAATTATTTGGATTTGCGACGAGGCGCTCCAAGGACGAGACGCATTTTCATCAGCTGAATTCCGAGCGCATTATGGCCATCGACCGAAGCTAACTTGTTTTGCTACCTTTCAGGCTCGCACTCAACGACGACCGAGGCGAAAAGGCAGCACGGCTACACTCGCGACAAGCCCTCCAGGAAATCCATATGAACGAAATACGCGCGGCGGCGAGCCCGGTGCGAAAAATGCATCCGCATCATCGGCGAAGATCGACGAATATGACGAGTAGGAGCAGCGCCGCAGGTAATGAGTCAGAATCATCGCCACGGACACCGCGGACATCGTCGGTCACAACAGGACAAGGTCACAAGAGACTACAATCACAATCACAGCGCAACAATATGGGAGGAGGACGGGACAGCGACATCGTGCCCGGAAGTACAGTACGGCCGAAATGCGTGCCAATCCTGGCCAATTTTGAAGAGTGGATGAAGATGGCCACGGACAACAAGATCAACGCGGCGAATTCGTGGAATTTCGCGCTCATCGATTACTTCCACGATATGAGTCTGTTGAAGGAGGGCGATGGGGTCAATTTCCAAAAGGCCAGCTGTACGCTCGACGGCTGTGTCAAGATCTACACTAGTCGAGTTGACAGTGTCGCTACGGAGACGGGCAGGTTGCTTAGCGGTCTAGCGGACGGCGCGGACGGCAAAAAGAAGAGGAACAAAGATGGTGACGGAGAGGAAGATGAAGAGGGCGATGAGGATGGTGAAGAAGGTGAAGGAGAAGATGGCGAAGGGAGAAAAAAGACCAAGAAAAAGCCCGCTAGGAGCCATGAGGCGACTCTGGCGCCTAGCTTTGCTTCGTTCCAAGGCAAAAAACTCGAACTTGAATTTGCGGTCGATCCGCTGTTTAAGAAGGCTTCGGCGGATTTTGACGAGGGCGGCGCTAAGGGCCTGTTACTCAACCACTTGTCCATCGATTCGGATGGCCGCATTGTCTTTGATAGCAGCGATGATGCGGGCAACGCGGCACTTTCGGGAGATAAATCGGATCACCATGGACAAGAACACGGCGATGAAAATACGGAACAACTCGAAGACGCGGCTATTAAAGCAGCCGCCGGCGCGGAAATTGAAGAAGAACCTGGCCAGGTGGGAACTGCTGATCAGGATGAAGGAGATATTGACCTCGGCGCCCTCGCTGCAAAGTTCTTTCCAGACCTCAGTGTTTTGGATTCCCAGGATATTTGTCCGTCGATGAAGACATTTACTCTCGGCGACCCGTCGGGAGACCTGAGCATTCCTTTCCTCAAAGCCCCTGACGACTGGCGTGGTGACAAGAAAGCGGCGGCAGCAACACCTCAGCATGCTGCGATCGGCTCCAACCTCAATCTGTGCGATCAGACGGGGATCTTCCTCGACGGAAGCAATGCTATGGGCTTCGATGACGATGATGATGACGACGACGGTGGTCTGCTTGGAGGGTTTGATGTCGCCGACAACGTTGGGTTCGGCGAAGGCGGTGAAGCGTGGGCCAAGGATGCCGCCATCGAGGCTCAGACCCGACTTGCTCGGGCTGACGGTGTTGATGTCGACGACAATCTGATTGAAGGAGACAACATTGCTGGTGGATATGCTTTGTCACTACAGCATAGATACCAGGAAGACGCGGAGCATGAATCGATCATGGCGTATTTCGACAAAGCGTTCAACTCGCGGGCCAAGGGCAAAACGGCGTTCATGACATTAGAGAACTGGCGGATGCAGAAGATCCAGAAAGCCCAACAGGGTGAAACGAGCGCCCCCACAAGACAGAGGAAGGAAAAGGAACCGTTTGAGATTGACTTCCTTGGACCCATGTCGGAATCCTTGAAGGAGTTGCTCGAGGCGCCTGCGGTTCTCAACTCGCAAATCAGCCTCCCTAAAGCGCAGTGGAGAACAAAGGGGCGCAATCTGCTCGACAAGGACGACGAGGTTGTCGATCCCAGAAAACTCATGCGATTGTGGACGAAACCAAAGTGTCGAGTTGGTCGGAGACGTCAAGGCGGCATGGGTATCATCGACGAAGGGTTTGGTGCGCGGAACCGGTTCGGCGCAATGCCCAATGCCAACAACAACGGTGGTGATGGTTATGATGAAGACGACACCGACGCCGACGGAAGGCAGGGCGACTATGATGCCAACTTTTTCGCGGATGACGATCAGATGCCTTTCTTTGATGGACCCTTGCCCATTGACGATGACGAAGATGATGGTCTGGGCGAGGAAGGCGGTGTTGATGACAATGCCCAGCCGTTCATGGATGCGAGAGAGATGCTGAGTCCACAGCCCGAAGGTCAGCAGCCTAATAATCTACTTGAGGGTCTTGACGGAGATGGAGGCGACGGTGGTGTCTTTGGCGATGGCGGCGTCGATGGGTCCCAACAGCAGCAGCAGCGGGACGGAGCCCAGATAACTGACGGGCAAATGCCGCCGCAGCAAACACAGAATGACCATCTCCTTCCCGGCAGTTTCGGCAGCCAGCTAGTCACCCAGGCCGGCCGACGGTTGAGACCAGAGTATGTCAATTACGCCAGGACCGCGAAGAAGGTCGATGTCCGCCGACTCAAAGAGAACATGTGGAAGGGCATGAGTCGGAAGTTGGAGAGCATCAATGTTTTTACGCGGCCGGAAACGTCCACTGTGGTTCACCAAGATAACAATGGAGATGATGTTGATATGATGGACGTCGATGGCGATGGCCAAGCCGAAGAAGCAGCAGCAGCGGCGGCAGCACAGAAACAAGAGGACAACGTTGGTGGTCTTGACCGTGATCTTCAAGCCCTCACGTTCACCGATGTCATCCACGACTTGAGATCCGTATACCCGGAACCACAGATGAAGGATATCAGTACATCCTACTGCTTCATCTGTCTCCTGCATCTGGCCAACGAAAAGGGCCTCGTGCTGCAAGGCGAGCTTGATGGTGACAAGGCCATGCAGGACATTCGGGTGTGGAAGGATCCTAGTGTCGGCGAAGAGTATGAGGGTGAATGAGTACTTTAGGCAAACGCTGTTTGTATTGGATTCTATTCTTGAGGTTTCTTGATGAAATTATATGAGCGGCTTTGCTTGGATTGTGATTGTTGGCTTTTTTGGGCTTTTGCATTTGGTACATGGCACTGCCAGTGGTTGACGGATGCCGCAGAACGAAAGGGACGGCAGTAGCTGCAGTGGTTATACGTATCATTGATTGATTGATTGATGGACTACCTTACCTTTAGTAGTGAGCGAATGAGTGAGTTGGTGTCTACTCTTCATGCGGTCTACAATTCGCAGGAGCAATAAATGCCCCAAAGACGGGAGTTCTTGGTGGTTGCCTACTACACTCGCATTCTCATTCTCGTTCGCGTTCAGCCTCTGGCTCTTGGCCGCGTGAAGTATAATCAGGCAAGGAGCTTGGAGTCAGAGTTGACTTAGGTGTTGTACTCCACTAGTACATACCCAGGTAATATATATCGCTCCGTATCTATACCCATAGAGTGCTCTAATGTCTTTTCTATGCATGCAGTGCGTCTTGTTGAGTTGGAACTCCTAGTAACCAAAAAGGTTGATATACACCTCGGCAACCCAAGTTAATTTCCATCGCCCGAAATTTGGGGGACAGCACTGATATCGGTCGGGCAACCTCTGTAGCCCTCGTCCTTTTGGCAGATCTTGTCAGGCGAGCATGGCACTGTAAGTTCTGGCGTAGAACCTGGCATTTGACCCCAAGAGATATGCGCTGGCTCTGGTGTACAGTATATGTCGGTCTATGTTATATCTTCTCTTCTCGCTTGGCCAAAACCCACATGCCTTCCGCTTCGGTCATGACCAAACCGTCTTTATCAACTATCTGGCCATGGGCCAGCAGTTTCCGTCCTTCTTTTGCTATCAACCACGTCCTGACCAGAACGTCGCTGGGCGTCGGTACCGGCGCACGATAGGTGATATTAAGATAGGCGGTAAACAGAGAATCCCGCGGACCGTTGACATTGCGACTGTGTAGCATCAGACATAGGCCGATCATCTCGTCAAGAATGGCACTGGCCATCCCGCCGTGAATCACATTGGGATGCCCATCCAACCCCGGCCGACTTAGCCTCAACAGCATTACACAGTCTGGCTTTTCGGGTACTTTTGTAACTGCTGATTGAGTATCTTTTCCCTTCAACTGTCCCCTAGGCACCTCGCGTGGGGATGGCCATACTTTTAACTGTAACGTGACCAGGTGCGGAATTGTGGAGGGGCTGTTGACGGTACGGGAGAAGAAGAAGTCTTCGCCGGATTCTTTGAGGACGCGGGAAAAGGTGGCAATCGGTTTGTATGCAGGGTCGTTTAAATATTTGTTGGTCCATTCGACTCCCGCAAAATATTTGCGAGACTCTTCGGGCACTCGGTTCTTCGCGAGGAAGTCGGAGATAAAGTCCATTTGTTCACCCATGGTGAATAAACAGTGGCCAGCGCAAAGTCAGGCGGTCACAAGTGGGTTGGACTGAGTGTATCGTCACCTGTTACACATTGTTTAGACTCACAAGCAGGTAGGCAGAAGGCAGCAAGTTTTATCTGGGATTTGATGGATGTTGTGCAATGTGTTTTGTATAACTCCAATTCCGCAATCTTGGGGACCGGACGCGAACCTCGGCAGAGCCCGAAGTCTGGCAAAGGTACCACTAGAGACGAGAAACAAGTATCGTCGCAGTAAACAGCGAGTGGTCAGTTGTCAAGGCGGATCTTCGGGTGGGTTTTGGAGGTGCTCAAAAGCCAAGGTTGCATGGTTTACGTGGATCTGGAGGTCGACCGGGTGCTGCCAGTGGCTACAAGAAGCAAAGAAGCTCCGGTCGCAGTAGCTCGTCCGTCCAGAACAGGCCGGTGGAGGATGCGATATCAAAGCGATTGGAGGGCGGCGTTAATGTGTTTCAAAGCCGGCGAATGCGCGGGCGAAGTTTGCGTTTGCTCCGCCTGTCACCGGCTGGTCGATGATAGCTTGTAGCTCACACCAGTTAGCGGAACGAGATAGTGAGAAGATGCAGTACGTGGCCGGCAACTCGGCGGAAGACCAATCGATGCAGTGCACGAGGCCCGGCGACGCACGCTTTTTTTCGTCTGTGAAGAGACGATAGAGGAAGAATAAAAAGCCACCAGAATCCCAGCCATCGACGACGGGGAAGTTAGCTCACTGCACCTCAACTACGCCTCTCGCTCCAACTGCGGTGAAGTTCACTACCATTCCTCGTCGACATAGCAACCGGGCTATTCGACCTCGACCTCGACCTCACCTTCGCTTCAAACGAGAACCAGCCTCCCATTACAAAGGTAGCTCCTACCCCGGCATTGACTCTGTGAGGTTCGTTCGAGCTACGCAGAGCAACTGTTTAACCCTCTCACCTGCCCACTTATCACTCCAGTCTCGCCACACCTCTGACTGCCACTGCTTGCACTCTGCTCTTTTCTTTCCTCTACTCACTGCCCATCGCACACGTCTTTTGCCCGTATCAGCTTTTCTCACCGATACATTGAGCATAATTGACACTGGTCATAGCCAGCACTCACACCTCTTCTACTTCCATCATGATGTCAAGATTCGTCCTCGCGGCTTCGGCCTTGGTTGCCCTGGTCCAGGCGCAAACCATCGAGACTTCCAGCGCTGCCTCCGTGGCGGCGTCGACCACCGTTTCGCAAGTCATGCCCCCGATTGCCACGGCATCCTTCAACCCAGCGAGCGTCGACACGACCACTGCATGTAAGCTAGAAACCACAGAAGAGCAGGAGGGAAGCAAGTACTGATGCGAGTATAGTCAACTGGTGCCATGCTCAACTGAACACTTGCCCTCAAATCTGCGGTGGTTCTGCGTCTCAAAACAAATGTGATCAGGTAGGTTGCATACAAGCCATGTTTCTCTGTGGCATACCGATTGACTTCTCTCTCCAGACCAGCTTCACCTACACCTGCGTCTGCGCCAACGGAACCGTGCCTGACTGCACAGCATTCACCGAGACCCTGCCTTTCTACATTTGTCAAGAGACCTATGTCCAATGTATTAACAACCATCCCAACGATGCTCAAGGACAGGCCACCTGTGCTTCGAACGAGCAATGTGGTACTCGCAATGCCACCGCCGAAGCCCTTGCGCAGACCTCCGCCGCTGCTTCGTCTTCTGCGGCTGCTACTAGCAGCGCAGCAGCCTCGTCCTCTGCTTCCGGCTCTGGTAGTGCCACCGCTGCCAGCAATTCCGCCTCTGCCACTCAAAGTGGTCTCGCTGCGCCCGGTTTGTCCCAGCAGATCTCCACCGGCGTCTTTGCCGCACTTTTGATGGCCGCCTTCAAGCTTTTCTTGTAGGCCCGCACTATTAGCGGAGCTTCGACTCACACGGTTAATATTGGACATACTTCTGCCTCACGAGAAAAAAAGAAAAGCTCGAAGGACAAAACACAACCAACACACAGATCAATTCTGGCGAAGAAAATTTCTACGCATTGACGGCATTGACCTGGTCTTGAATCACATGGTACTGGCACGGGAATGACGACTTTCACTGAGCAATGATTTATGGGAGTTTTCCAGCGATGCGCTATTGCTGTTGGGCAACAGCGCTTTCAATCCTTTAGCAGGCGCGTGGGTGCTGCATGGGCTCTGGAGGGCGTCTGCACAGAGGAGAGCGGATAGGTCGCTCGACCAAAGGTAATAATACGATTGCTGTCCTTAATGAATGGTAGAAAGAATTGTTCTTTTTTTTAGCGTTGCGGTCTGATCTGATCTCCACGGATTGACAAGATCTTCATCTTGTTCCTCGTGTTGTTCCCACTTTTATGATGTGCCACTGTGGGGATTGTGATGTGCATCTCGGATCCTTACTCAGCGCTGACTAACAGGCTGTCAGCCTCATTGTGGCGTATCGGTTGAAGTATGGCGGTGCTGCTTGCTATCACGTGCTTCACGTGATAGTCCTGGAGGGCCCGCCATGTCGCTTCCGTCGTTCCGACATCGATCCGAATGCCGCGTGCCAAAGCTCCTCCAGACCCCTCCCATGGTCTCTCCACTGGCTTGGGTCAGTCCCTCTCAATCTATCAAGGACACAAGCTATCATTCGTCCTGGAGCTTCTGTGGCTGGCAGAGTAACCCAACGAGGCATGGGCTCATGAAGCTTGTCGGTCACGCTACCTGGTTACCACGTACCTAGTACATCACAACCAACTTCCCTCAACTGTGTTTCTTCAAAACTACCACAAGCATTGCGAGTCAATCAACCCCGTTGGTGGACTTTTCCATTCCGGTGGATGCTGGAATTTCGTTTTTGAACTGGCCTATGACATATTACCCCGACAGAGTGGGAATCGTGAGAAATGAATCATAGCATTATTCGGCACGGCAAAAGACCTGCTTCCACGCTCTTCCGCTCGGCCGTGAAAGCAACAGCCGCCAGACCCAGCATTCGAAGAGGGGGTTTGACTGTTGGTGTTCCTTTCGTTGCTGCCCTGAACCATAAGCTTGGTACATCTCAACAGATATATACCACTGGTAAGTTGTTGCCGTCCCAGTCCTTGCCGGCCTAGATTCTCTGGACCGTGTACAAGTCCGTCACAGTTTTGCGTCGGTATAAGAGTGATTTTCGACTTTCTTACCAGCAGCGGGAAACCCAACAGGAGGAGCAATCCGTTCTTTTGCAACCGTCGTATCGTCTACCGTCCAGCAGAAGCCCACGACCGCCACCATGAGAGCTCTCAGGTACCACGGCGTCAAGGACCTTCGTGTCGACAATGATATCCCCGTGCCTGCGTGCGGGGAGCACCAGATCAAGATCAAGCGTTAGTAGTTACCCCTTACCGACCCGAGCCTGACGAAACAGATGTCTGTGCTGCTTTCTGTCGTGGAGTGGCCGGAAGCAAGATCGTGGGCTGATTGATAATGTGTCTTGTGTACAGCTGCGTTCTGTGGCATTTGTGGAACAGATTGTAAGTATTCCAGATTCCTCTTTCCTGTTCATTTTCCCCTTATCGTGAAGTTGGACAACTTCTGCCCCTATCGACTGGCAAGATTGGGACTGAGGCAGCTTCCGATTCCAAAAACCAATGCCCTGCCTGTTGATTGATCACTCCCCGGCGTCAGGAGAGGCTGGCTAGCTGTTTCGTTCCTGTATAGGATCAAGACTGGCTGCCTCGCAACGACTGCTGTGCACTCCGAACACAAAGGACAGGAGCGGCAAACCTACACTGCCCTGCCATACCGTCAAAACATGCCCAGTTATCAGAACATCCCCTTCCGTATCCTTCCGACATGACTTACCATTCTAATTGTTCTGTCACACTAACCAGCTGTATAGTGCACGAATACTCGTCTCCGACATTCATCCCGGCCAAGGACCATCCTCACCCCGTAACCGGTGAATCCATGCCCGTCACCATCGGCCACGAGTTCAGCGGCGAGGTGGTGGAGATTGGATCCAAGGCCAAGAACCCCAAGGGTCTCAAGGTCGGAGACAAAGTGGCCGTCCAACCGACCGTGGCCTGCTTCCACTGCGGCCCCTGCAACGAAGGCTATATCAACTGCTGTGACAGCGCCGGGTTCGTGGGACTCAGCGGTGGCGGCGGCGGAATGTCGGACTACGTCAGTGTTGACGAGCAGTTTGTCTTCCCGTTGCCTGAACACATCGGCCTCGACGTCGGCGCCCTGGTCGAACCGCTGGCCGTCGCATGGCACGGTGTCAACCAATACCCCGTCAAGGAAGGCACTTCGGCCATCGTGATGGGCGCGGGGCCGATCGGGCTGGGCGTCATTCAATGCCTCAAGGCCCGCGGCGCGTCGACCATTATCGTCGTCGAAATCGCAAAGGAGAGACAGAACTTTGCAAAGGAGTTTGGCGCCACTCACCTCATCGACCCCAGACATGAGGATGTCGTCAAGAAGGCCAAGGAGCTCACTGATGGTCAAGGGCCTCATTTGGCTTTGGACGCTGCAGGTGTGCCCGCGAGTTTGAAGACTGCCACTCTGGCTGTCAGGGCCAGAGGGACGGTGGTCAACTTGGCCATCTGGGAAAAAGAGGTAAGCAGAGCCGGAGCAAGAAACGATGGCGCAAAAAGTCATTGTGAGATACAGTAGCTAACAGCATTTTGCAAAACTAGGTCCCGTTCCAACCCAACAATTTGGTGTTTGGAGAGAAGAAATACGTCGGAGGTAAGTCGAAGTGTAGTTGTTTACATTCACATTGCGGTCTTTTGCTCTTGTCATGCTATGCTGCGCGCTCAAGTCGAACCTCACGTGCCTTACCGCCCGCCTACCCCGTGACAACTATACTGCCGTGCCAAAAAATAAGTGCACGCACCGGGAATCGAACCTGCGGCCTAGCCACAGAGCAAAAAAGAAATGCACGCACTACGACTCGAACCTAGGACCTGGCTACAGAGCAAAAAAGAAGTGCATCTACTGCAACTCGAACCTGGAACCCACGACATTTTGGTTCAAGAGCAAAAAACTCAGCCTGGTCGAAGCTCCGATACCCTGAGGTACAGGAGGTCCGATATATAGGCTTGAGAAAACCCCCGGTTGTTGGAATGGGTTTTTTTCGGTTCCGTCGTATGTCGATACTCGTCAGGTTGAACCCCTACCATAGGACGCCTCTCGACCGGTGAGGGACCATTGTGGGTAGGGAACCATCATCCAGGCCTCTGGAGTCTTCACTCTGCCGGGTCCCACCGGTAAGGTGTCGGGGAGTGCTTGACTGAAGAGTTCTGTCCGGTTCAGGGGTCTGCCTCAAGGATTCACGGCTTTGCCCAGATTCAAATTGTCTCATGGCTGGTGGCCACGTCCCTCACGCCCCGACTAGCCCAGGAGGCCAAGTCGACTTGGCCCAGCTGGGGTCGGAACCCGGGATTAGACATGAGAATTGTTGGGAGGAATTCTGGGGGTTGGACATATAGACTGTATTTTTTGCTTCACTATCGCCTTGGCGGGGTGACCACTTCACTGCCGGGGGCACTGTCACGGGGGGCATCGCAGGCACGGCGCGGCTTCACTGGACTGGACTGGACTTGACTCGCGTTTGCTTTGCTTTACTTTGCTTTGCTTGCACTGTCTGTTGCGTTCTACGGTTGAGCCACTCGTTGCTCTCTCCCTACATCCCGATTTGCTCTCTCCAGCATCAAGATACCGACTTCTCACTCCCAAACTTGCATTGCACTACAGAAGAAAACTCCTATGAACAAAAACTGACATGTTTGTCATCTAGTCCTCGGCTACGTCAAGGAAGATTTTGCCGGCGTCATTGGCGCCCTGGCCGACGGCAGCCTCAAGCCCGAAAAGATGATCACACGCAAGATCCACATTGACCGCGTCGTCGAGGACGGGTTCCGCGCCCTGATTGACGAAAAGGACAAGCATGTCAAGATCTTGGTGGATTGTCGGGCCTAGATGTTGACTTCACTTGACTTGGATTTCAAGGATACAGAATGAAAATCGTGAACAAGAAAAAAAGGAGGTGTGTGTCGCACTGATACTGGGTACTACTAGAGGATACTGCAGTATACCATGGTGGGATGGGGTGTGGTGTATATAGTTGAGACTTTTGAGTTGTGTATACGTCGTGTAGTCGACCGGAATCGGAACCGGAACCATATACAAAAACAGAAATCAATGATTGCGGTATCTGGTCGTCTCTACGTGGTGGTTATGTTGCCTGGTTCCCACTGCATTCAGATTCAAGATCAGGATCAGAGAGTTTCTGTAGACTTGAGTTTCCTCCTTCCCTTCAAGTTGTGGAGAGGATGATTAATGGAAGGAGCAAAATGGCAGGCCAGAGAAAGAAAAAGGATTGGGGGAGAATAGCTGGACTGAGAATAATAGCTGAGACACAAGACGAATCTATATTAGGGTTTTACAATCCAACTGCTAGTCATTATATTCAGGGCCCATGCTGCCAGTGTGCTGTACTGAGCCGAGGCGTGTTCGCCTTTTCGTCGCGAATCCTGATTCTGCTTCTGGTTTTACAGCTCGGATCTCAAGAGCCTTCCTTGCACCGAGCGCCCCTGGCCCCTGTTCCACGCCCCTGCCCTGCCACCCCGACATTGATACGGTACTCACTATCCGTACGATTTGAATTGCTTCCCGTTTATTTTGGTCAATGCCCGATACATCTCTCATTAGCACGATGCCGAACCAGGGGCCTTGCAACTCATTTTGTTCGTTCCTCTTCCTAAAAGTCGATAATCATATCCCTCTGCAACAAGCTGTATAACAATCAACCTTGATCTCGGTCATGTGGTATGCCCTCGTATATATATCCCCCTCCCATTTTCATATCCATTTCCATCTCCAGTGTCCCCTTTCTTATCTGACTTACGCATCCGTGTTTCCCTCCTAGTCCGCGAAGCCTGCTTCAAAGTAGGCACCTTGTTCGCTCGAGCAAAGGATATAGTGCGGGTTCCGGCTCGCTCTTGAGATGGCTTCTTCTTCTTCTTCTTCTCCTTCCCCCTCTTCTGCCCGTCCTCGTCCGCATCCTCGTCTTCTTCAGACGTGGTTTCTGGCACTGGCACAAGAATGTCTTTGACGGAAACCACACTAGTAGTAGGAGGGGCAGTATAGGCGGGATAGGCAGCAGAAGCTGTATTAGTGGTGGTGGCAGCAGTGGCACCAGTAAAACTACCGACCGTCTTCATATTCTTGTCAATGCCTCTGAGTGTTGTGAAAGTAGGTGATGGCATGCTTTTGCTTTTGTGCTTGCGCTTCCGTGACTGGTCTGGAATGGGCCGTGGCTGCGGCTTCGGCTTCGGCTTCGACTCTGACTGATGAGACTGTAACTTTGTCCCTGCTGGTCCTGGCACTGGTTCCGCCTCCGGTTCCGGGTTCATGAGCTGGTGGAGGGTCAAATGCGATGTCAACACAAGGGGTTTGCATGGCGCCGGTGCTGATGCTGGTGCAGGGGTCGTTATCCCTACCGGTGTCGGTGGTGTTGGCAATGCCGTTGTCGTCGGCGTGGATGTTGTTGCTGCGGTCCGAGTCGGAGGTCCCATTGATGAGGACGTCGTGTCCGTTCCTGAACCAGATGCACGTGTCGTGTCCGGACCTCCTAGACCAGAAGCCGAAGCTGCATCATCGCCTGAATCATCCACAACAGCCAGATCGCTGGGGAGCGGTTCGTAAGCATTATAATGATCCACCGAGAGTTGAAAGTCGAACAGATACAAGTCCGCCAACAACGACGTGTCTGGATGAAACCGTTCATCAAGTGCGTGAGCAGTGAAATGACTCTTGGTTCGGTAGAACATATATTCGATGCGGGCTCGATGCCCGGCTTCGAAGGCGGCGTTGCTCACACCGAGCTGGGCAATGGCAAATCGTCGTTCATGGGCGGACTCGAGCATGCGAACGTTCATGCTGTCGTCTAGCGGAGAGGGACCTCCTTTGTCGACATAGTGCGACAAATTGTGCTCGTTGAGCTCGATCCGCCAATCGGGGCAGACCTCGCTGCGACACAATCAGATCCGGTGTCAATCGTAACGGGGAAAAGACGAAGCATAAACGAAATGACCTTTATCTCACTCACCTCGAGCTTAACGACGACCATGGGATCATAATTCTCCCGAGAGTAATTGAGTTTGATCAAAGCCCACGACACCCGGTGTCATTGGCAGGTCATCGTCGTCTGGGTCAAGTTCAACTTCCAACGGGCAGAAGAAATCCCAGACCCGAATGAAAAATCTCAAATCGATGAGAGCGTCAGGCCCACATCTATATAGGTTCTGATTGCGACAGGCATATGTACAATTCTGCCTCCGTGCACGGCCACCGAGGATTGAATTGGTGTAGTTCGGAAGAAAAATGGTCTTCGTCTGGACCAAATCACGGCGGGATCCTGGTCAGCCCTATAACTCGTGCGGAAGAGACGAGACAAGCAAAGGCTTCGGGCTTCAGCTGAAAAGCATCAAAATTGGGAGACAACACTGCGGATGAGTTCAGCTGTATGGCACAGTTCTTGCCGTCCACGGAGAACCCCCGGTTGTTTGGCCTATTTTGGAGGATCGCTTGGGTGATCAGCTCGGTAAACTTGATCGTGATATCTCTGGGTTGGAGGGGATTGGATAGACCTCAGCCGCCACGCAGACGTTCAAGGACAAGGGCGGTAGCGGATCGGACAGAGAACAAGCCGACGTCGTTTGTGGGACCGGGGAGACCGGGTGCGTGGTTTGACGTGCCTGTGTCGGCGGAGGAAGGACAGCGGGATGGGTTGTATGTGACACTCTGAAGCTCAACCATGGGATGGGGCCAGCCGGGAGACAGAAGGATGACAGACGTCAAATCGGGGGAGGGCTGATTTGAATCCGACAGCTTTCAAAGACCGTTAACAGGAGGACAGAACGAGGGGGTAGAACTTGCGTCAGAAGACCATTCGGTTGCAAGAAAAGGGCCAGAAGGTTGTTAACATATGGCCGGAAGGGGTGGGCTGTGTGCTGTCCACCAGCAAGACTAGTAGTAGAACAATGCTGATCCCGTCCGATCCGCCAGAATGTGAGACAAGAGAGCTAAAGACTCTGTGTCAACATCAATTCGAAAGAGTGTCGACCTGCAGCGCCGGATCCAACCTGAGAAGCAGTCAGAGCTGACAGGAGGAATGACACTGCAGGGGGGAAGGACTGAGGCATGCGAGCGCCAGCGCCAGGGGAAGGCGGAAGACCAGGGTGGTCGACGTAGAATGGCCAGCAGGCTATGATTCGATGGACTGAAGGTGCTCATGCACACAGACGACGACAGATGATAGGACGAGGGTGTCTAAAGGGCCAGTCAGGACACGACTTGTGTTCGATGGCTTGGATCAATAAGCGGATCGACCTTGCCAGCGGGATGCCATCGCATGGAGTTCATCTCCAGGGTGTCCAGATGGAGCCTGTTGCAGCGCCGGCGAGAGAATTGGCTTTGTTAGTTTGCGGTGATCTTCCATTGACACCCGGGGCAGCTTGGTCTTATTATTAGCGCCTCGACATTGACCAGTGCGAGAGGTTTCTAATAGACCAGTGAACGACACGCGGGGAGGCAGGGGCAACAGGGGGCGAGCGAGAGCGATGGCGATGGCGATGGCGACGCTGAGTTGATGATCTAGCCTTCAACCAGGATAGACGCCCACACTAAACCAACAGGCTGCAACACCATTCCAACTCCAAGGTCTGGGGGCAGACAGCGGCTGGCTCGGACGGCACAGGCCGGCGGGGGCTTGGAGTTCGGTAACGTATTGAGTTTCTAGCAGCACGGCCGTACCAGTTAGTCGTGACTTCGAATGCAGATGCTGATATGGTGAAGGTCCGGACGCTTGGATTCGAGGTGTGGAGTGGAATACCTACAGTGGGCAACGACCAGCCTAGACGGACGCTGTCGGCCGCTTCCTAAGGCTCATATGAGCGTCACATACAGTAATGTGCTTCGTATCGTGGATGAGCCTCGTACAGACAGGCATTTAGTTCAGCCTCAGGCGGCGGGAAGAGCCTAGAGAGCCCTGTTATTGCAAGTTGCAGCGAGCGCAGGAGATTGCGTACCAGGCCTGAGGCTTCTCTGGCAATGACCTGCACTGGCAGGAGCATATGATGATGGGCAAGATACAGGCATTAGCGAAGAACTGTTTGTCTCTTCTGTCGTTTTCGTTCATCTCAAGTCTAGTCTCTGCCACAGAATGCAAATACAACCCTGCCAGTGTACACGCCTTCGTCTGCTCTAATCCAGCTGAAAACGTCAAAAGTGCGCATCTATCGCCATTCGGTTATGCAAGCCCAAGGCTGCTGCAGTACCGAAGAAGCTGTGCCACACGGGGAAGAACAGACGAGCCGCCCAGACAAGGACACGCGCAGACGAGCCGGGGTTCTCTCACCAAAGGTCCCTTCGCCTGCGAGGGACTACCTATGTATGTTGTCTTGTGTAACACTGCGTCAAAGCGAGTCGACCAGGGGCATTGCAGAAACACTACATGCATACAGCATACACTGGCAACGCGAAGTACTAGAACACCACCACACCACCACACCACCCACCACTCACTCCTACTAGTACTGCATCACTCCCCTGACATGATGCAGAGCCGGCATATACTGTACATGAGTGATCGAAGGGCTGATCAGGCTTGCAGTGCGTCCGTCGCCATCCACCCACGCTGCCGACAAAAACCATCCCTTACTTCGGCACTGCATCGTACCATTAAAATCAATCAGTAGTCTAAGGTATCAGCTGTGCAAGGTCCGTCTGCACCGAGTGCATACTGTACGTCAAATGACTGTAGGTACGAGGTACCTCGATAGACACCTGCATTCAGCTGAGAGGTGCCCAAGTCGAGTTGTTTCGTTTCATTCCGCCACGGGCACGATGAAACTGGCTTCGGACAAGCCTGCCTCATCCTCTAATCGAATACATTCTGGCCTCTAGCATACTTGACGCCAATCATTCAATCTCGTAACTTCATATCCATTCATGGTACCAAGGCACACCCACCATCAAAGTAGGGCAGTGCGGCTAGGCTTTTGCACGCTTTGTACCTTGGCAACGGTACATCAGGCATGAGGTGAAGAGCTGGAATATACAGTCATCAAGAGCAGAGGCCATATCCTACTGTACTCTCAAGCCTGTTGCCGTGCCACAGAATTGCAGCCTGAACACAATCATCGCTTTCGTGGACTGCCCGTGCCTTCACTGATCACATCGTCGTACTCGTCTTCCTCCTCGATCAACGCCGGAGTTCGTCGCTCATTCCTCCGTTTTGGCCGCCGTCTTCTGGCACTCGAGATATTACTGGCTGAATCGTCTGGTTCGATCTCACTGTATCCGTCCCACTCGCCTAGACCATCATCCGTTCCTGCATCCCATGGCTTTCCAACTCCCTCGCCGTTCCCGCCTGCACCGTCAGCAAAATTTGGATAGATCCCACTAGCCGGTGTACCCATCCGCACTTCAACTCCCCCGCCCAGATTGCCACGTCGTCGTTGCGCGGCCGCAGCCAGACCAGCAGCCCGTTCACGTAGTGCCCGACGGACCATCTCCGCTTTGTTGTGCAAGGCCTCGAATGCATCTTCGAGCGCCTCCATCCCGGCATAGATGTCGCGTTCCACCTCGGCCAGAGTGGCAAGCTCGGTTTCTTCGTCGAATGCTATGGGAGCGCCATATTGTGCGGTTGCGGCGGGTGGCGGAGCATAGCTGTGGCTTCCTTGTGGTGACCGGTAGCCGTTGGAGTCTGACCCTCCCGTTGGCGCTCCACCAGAGTGTCCGGGTGTGGTCCCTCTTGTGGGAGGCCGGTGTGGTGTCGGTCCTCTCGAAGGAGTATTCACCTCAGGGACCATAGGTACCTCTTCGGCTCCACTCCGTAAGAACCCGTCAAATCGACCGGAAGTCAATATGTCCCACTCGTCGTTGGAGATGGCGGCCAGCGTGGCTAGCGCATTGTGCAGTGTAGGGTTATTGAGTAGAAACAATGCAGTTTCCGAGTCTCGCGGTGCCACACCCAGTCGATACAACCGTTGAATCGCTAGAGATGCCGTGACAATGTGCTCTGGTCGAATTCGCGGGCCAGGTGTTGGTGTTGGTGTCGGCTGGGGAACTCGAAGACCTGCACCATTCTGTGTCGGTGCTTGCGGCGTCGGGGCCCGGCGAGGCGGCTCTATCGATCGGTCCACGATACCCAACAAACCTTTGAAAACAGGTCTTTGCTCCGCAGGAAGATGCGTGAGGATGGCGAACGTGAGTGTCTCATCATCTACTTCTTCTGGTGGAGAACTCGGGCTGTCAGTTTGCCGGTTCAGCCACTTGTCGACGCTTTGTTTGGTCTTGCGCGATTGTCGAATATAATGTTCTCGGTATTCCTCAGGCACGTCAATGTCAAGCTTCTGCATGGGCACATGCAGTTCGAGCGAGATTCCCAATCCAACCGGAGACTGTGTAAATGCAAACGGAGGCCATGGAGGGAGGTCTTTGCGTCCAGACACCAGTTCCAGAACCTCACCCCAGCTCACACCTCGTACATCATGCGAGTGGTCGTACTCACACATGGGACACTGGCAGGCTTCGGAGGAAATATCACGCGCAAAGACCGCCTCAAGCCTGTCAAGCAATCGACGGGCCACAGATCGGTATCCTGTGGCCACAGCAAGAGACCCATTCTTGGACATGACCTTCTCGTAGTCATCAAGCAAAGCAGTATATGGTTCAAACAGGTTTGCTACCACAACTGGCGGTTGATTCATAGATTGAGCTTGTTGGACTGCCATGGGTTTGCCAGCCAGCAATAGTTTCTTCGGGACCGGTTGATTTAAGCCACCGTGCTGAAGCAAATAATCGACCTTTGGAACGGTAGCAGGCATAGGAGGCGGTGGAGGAGGCGGTGGTCCTGGCGTGGCCGAGCCATAGCCTGGTGTCGCGGATAATACCGATGATCCTCCTTCAACATGCACCTTGAATGGCGTAGTCCCACGCGACGGGGGCCGTCCCCCAGGAGCACCATATTGATGTGCATCTGGGGTTTGCGCCGCCGCTGGTGGTGCCTTTGAGCCTGGTCGTTGCATGCTTGGTTGTTCGGGGGCTATGGACGTGGCATCCGAACTCACATTTGTAACTGATTCGCTGATGCTCGTTGCCGTGGCCGGTGACTCCATTCTGGTGGGCTGGCTGACAGACCTCTGAGGAACGGTGTCATGCACTGTCATTGTCGTTTTCAGTGGAGAGTCTGCTGCATCTCGATGTTTCCTTCTCGGGGAGGCGTCAGGTCCTAGCTCAGATGTACTTCGTAGATGGCCATTAGATCTCGACGAGTGTGGCCGTAGTTTCGCCCCGATCTTCGAATCTTTGCCACTCTTTGAAGCCTTCTCTTCTGGTATCATCTCTACCGACACTGGTTTACCAGAGTTAGGCTTCCACTTCCCAAATCCGGAGTTCTTGTCGGTAAGAGGCGGGCTAGGAGGAGCATTGTTGGAGGTAGCAGTCTGCTTTGTGGAGGACAGCCTATCCTTAGACCCATTCAGATCCGTTGTGGGCGGAGTGTAGACATTCAGGCTAGGTCGGGCCGGCCCTCCCACCGCTTCACGGCTGTGTTCTTTGGAGAAGGACGGATATGGCAGACTAGACTTGGAATCGGATTTGAGTGGTGCATCTTCAACTTTTCCAGGCATCGAGGCCCGTCTCTGACTGTCTGCAGGCGAAAGGGAGGTTCTGGAGGACGTCTTCTCCTTCGTAGATACTTTGCGGTGCGACCGATGTCTTTCACGATCTTTATCTCGGTCTTTATCTCGGTCTTTGTCCTTGCGATCTCTTTCTGACCTTTCCAGCCTTGAAGATTCCTTTTTCTGCCGCCGCCGTTCGGCGCTGCTATCTCGAACTTTGAAAGGCATCTCGACCGGGGGTTTGCATGATGCGACCCTTGAGATGGGATTTCTCAAGGCGCTTAGAACGTCGGGATCATTTGGTGTGGCAGTCGGGGGGTGGAGAGAGCGGTAAGGTACCAAGGGCGCTTAGCAGACGCAGTGGCACAGTAGTTGGAGGGAGCGGAGGCTTTTCATGGACCACTTTTTACCAGTGGGTGACTTGCAAACGAACAGTGAAGAAGGGAAGCAGAGATTGTTGTGTGTCACGCTTCAAGGTGTTTGGGTAACTGATGGTTGGTTCAAGTAGTCGTGGTCGTTCAGTGGCTTGAATCCATCCAGACGAGAATGATGTCGTTGGCGCAGTTTGTGGGTTTTTCGGGTGGCAGGGAATTTGCTAATGCCAGCATTTGTCTGCCATCATGCCATCAGCTAACAAGCCAAGCTCACGACTTGCAGATCTGCGAAATGATTGCATTGACGCTGGGGAAATGTTCTACAATATGTAGCTATTTAGAGCATGCCCTCAGTATACACAACACCGTCCATCCGCCTGCTTGGTCAATGCTTCTCCCGCAAAGCCCAAGATTGCCCCCACCGACCCGGTCTGATTCTCCAGTCACGAAGCGCCCGCAGCTCCGAGAGTATATTCCAACCTCATCTCACAGTCTGCCACGTCAACTGCTCTGCTGATGACTGTATCCATACATGATTGACCTCTTGTGCCCAAACTTTGCTTTCCCGCTAGATGCCGCGAAGCCAGTAGGATGGCTCTTGCAGTGGTAGTGATTGGGATCACGGTGCCCGGCGTAGGCTGGTGATAGACTCGGTCTGTGACAAGTGAGCTATGGTCATCCCTTCTATGCTTGACCGAAACCTTCGTATGGCTTGCAGTGGTGTATAACCCACTCTCCGCTTGGGCTTGTTCCCATTGATGGCACATCGGATGGTAGACGGACGAGGCTTCATGCGGGTCCGGACAGATGTCACAGTCTTCAGCACCCTACGAATGAGATCCTAGACGAACAAAAAGAGAAAGCAAGTAACCTTATCAGTGAGACCAATACATGGTTATAATTAAAAAACCTCTAACCCTCCCTCCTACGCAGCTCTTGTTCAATTAACAGACACTGCTAAACAACCAGGAACCTTTTGGCAAATTTGTGAAAAAAACAAAAACAAGAACATCCCTCTACCGTAACACCGACCCCCCCCTTAATACCCCGAAGGGGGAGCAGGTAGAGGGATGAAACCAGATGGAAGATCCGGTTTTTAATGAGGGGTGGTGGTTCGTGAGATGAAATCTCAGCCTTCCATTCTACCGTCCCAGCCTCGACGCAAGCAAGGCTTGAGCGTCATGAGCTGGAGACGATACCAGGAAGGCCGGACGTATGTCAATCACTATGGCATCGTGATTTCATTACGGATGAGGCTAAGAACGGGTTGAAGAGGCAGGTCTAGGGCGTGCGGAATGGACTGGTACGCCCTTCCAATGCAGTGTGGTATCCGTGTCAAGTTCTGTTCGTTTATATGGTGCTAAGGAGCTACATGCAACGTCTCATGTGCCCAACGAGAAACAGATATGGAAACACAATGAACAAAGTCAACAACGAGGAAGCACCTGTAAGGGCAATCGAACAAGGGTTGAAGCGACCATGCATTCCTGACTAAAACAGTCATGGGTAGCGCTAGAGCTCAAGCAAGGTATCATTGTTTCTGGCCAGGCCATGGTCCCAGACCTCCGCCTCCAAGCTCGAAAGCTTTGGCTGCTTTCAGCACCCCAAGGTCATCCCATCTCTTGCCGATGATTTGCATTCCCACCGGAAGCATTCCTTTGCCGGTCCGCGAAGGAGCCCAACCGCAAGGCACATTGAGCGCAGGATGTCCTGAAGCATTGAAAGGAGCGGTGTTATTTGTTGCGCCCACTGCCAGCTTGATTTTGTCCATGACAGTGCTTCCACCTTCAGATTCCGGTCGGAGGTCGGGATGCGGCAAAGCCACCGTCGGCGTAGTCGGCGTGATAAGAACGTCGTACTCCTCGAGAGCCTTGTCATATGCTGCTCTCAACTGCAACACATGTCGATGAGCCTTGGCCTGGACCTCCGGGCCAAACTTTTCTTTGAGGAATGTTTGACAGAATATAATGTTGATGACTGCAGGATTCGCGGTGGTCAAGAGGTCATACATTTCCTGGTCTGGGGGCCATCTCAGAGACAGATGCGGCATGTTGTGGTTCAGCACGTCCGGGGTTCTTCCGCCAATGGCCAATTCCGCCATATGAGTCCTTGTAGCGGCGGTCCAGATGGCAGCTCCTAGAAGGTGCACTGGCAATGAAATTTCGGACACCGTTGCCCCACTAGCTTCGAAATGCTTGAATGCAGTCGATCGTACTGTTTCTGCAACTTCCGCTTGGGTCCCAGGTGAAGTGAGAGATTCTTTGATGATGCCAACTTTGAGGCCCTTGCCAGGATTCTCCGCTGACGAAAGGCCTTTGGCATAATCAACGACGTTCTGCCTAAGCGGCGACTCCGGGGACATTCTCGGGTCGAGTCCATCATAGCCGGCAATCACCGTGAGCAACGTGGCTATGTCCTCCAACTTCCGCGCCATGGGCCCGGTATAGTCGATCATAGGATGGAGTCCAGCAATGCCAGTGTATGGGACAAGTCCATGAGTCGGCTTAAGACCGTAGATCCCGCAATACGCAGATGGCAGTCGAATGCTTCCAGCTTGGTCGCCGCCCATTGCGAGATCAACGTCCTCACCAGCTTCGTCTAAGCCTGGCACACCCGCTGCCCGAGCGTTGCCCAGGCCAACAAGACAGGCTCCTCCGCTTGTGCTGCCGCCGGCGTTGTGGTCGCGGAGCCATGGATTGTGAACGGGCCCATTCGCAGATGTGTACGACATAGGAGTCAACGAGTAGTTTTCGCAAGTAGAGGTGCCGACAATGGTGATGCCTGCTTCCAAAAGTCGTCGAATAATACTCGCATCAATGCGTGCAATAGGATATTTTCCGTCCTTGGAGATAAACTGAGGGAATGTGCCACAAGTGTGTGGCAAGCCGCCGACTGACATGTTATCCTTTATCACAATTTTGCGGCCTTTCAGGACATCTGAGAGCGGCTTTTCGGCCACGAGAGAGGCTTGATGACTCCATGCATTGTGGCTGTTGTTTTGGGACTTCCAATATTGTCTCCCGCCCACCGTCGGAACTGGCTCAAGACGTGGATCAATGTAGTCGGGCAGAATATGGACACTAGATGCTGTCATGTCTGCGGACTGTAAGACGAGAAGATAGGCATCTTCTTCTGCCTTGGACGAGATCTTGATGTTATTTTTGGCGGCGACATCATGGAGGACGTCGAGGGTAACACTCGACCTTGAACATGGTCAACACAGGACACATGCTGGACTGACGGTGGAAGGACTTACTGCTGCCCGTCGGCCAACGCTACAATGGACATGATGACTCTCAGCCTTCTCCCAGATAGTCTTGCTCAAAGGAAGAAAAGGGATGGGACTGCTGGAAAGGGTTGAAGCATTAAGGTGTTGGAGACATTACCGCTACACACGGGCATGTCCGAAGTCACAGCGTTGTTCTCCATCTACCCCATTTGAGTCTTGTATAGGACGCACTGGGTGCGTCGGGTACCATACAATAACGAGGATGGCATCTTATGAAGGCCTGGATTCTTACATTCTTCGTCCGAAGTGAAGGTTCGGCTGGAATTTCAAGCAGTCAATGGATCGTCCGAGGCTTTCGAGACTGATATTTCGAAACTTCAACTTTCAGCCCCTGCTGGTATATTCTCCAACCAGTTCCACTCCACGAGGACTCTGCCGAGGTCGACGTCCGCCAGCGTAGCAAATGTGTTGACTGTGACATCGATGTCTTTGGGCTTACAACCAGTGCACCTGTCTACCACCGTCAAATCCACGCTCTTGTTGTCCCGGCGCGCCCTGATCTTCTTCCCACATAGAGGGTTGCTGTTCGGGTCCCTGCCCGTGCTCACAGCATCAAACACGATATGTGATATCGCGACAATCTTGTCCTTATTACTGGAAGTCACACCGCATGCGCCCAGGGCGGGCTCATAGTAGGTCAGGTCTCCGGTGTAGGGGCCGCCATGTCCGGAGGGCAGGGGAAGGTTTTGGGTGCTCTTGCGCGTCGACAGCCCAGCTGCAAGGCCAATGATCAGAGCAATGACCGCCAGTGTAACTGCAATGGCTATGATGCGAGTTCGTCGCGGGAGTTGTCTCCATCGGTCCACAACATTCAATCGCTTGACGGGAGTAGTAGGTGGTGGATGCGCAGGCACAGGTTTGCGTCGTATGGTCGCAGTTCTGGCGGCGCCCAATGCTTGTTCCTCTTGTTCTCCCATGTCTGCGCGCTTCAATGAGGATCGTCGCACCCGGTAACTTCGTGTTGCTTAGAAGACGCTACTTGTCTGGCTAGGATCCGGCAGGCCCGCGGATGTCCTTGAGAGATGAGGTGAGGCTGTTAGGTTCGCATTCGCATATTCTACATTTTACCAGTCAGTATAGCGCAAAGCCGGCGGTAGAACCGCTCGCTTCCGCGAGTAGCATGAAGATTTCATTTGCGCCCTGGAGGGAGATTGAACGCAGGGAGTTGCATGCTCCGAGTCCCTCGCTTACCGTGGGCACATTGTGATTGGCTGTATCTCCCATCCCTGGCCTCATCTCGAACAGGAGGGGGCACCAGGGGGGTTCGTCGCATCGAGAAACTTGAATGACCGACTCAAACAGATATGGTTCTCTTCAGGACACTTCTCGACGAACCTGCAATGGCCGTGACAGAAGCCTGCCATGAGGTCGTCGGGCGCCGGCTACAGCAGACGGGTATGGTTAATTGACCCTCCAGGTGCAAGCTGGTAGTCGCATGGAGCCCTGTGTGGACAGTGAATTGTAGCGGCGGCCTTTGAGAACCTAGCCGTGTATATGATTTAACCTCAACCTTTAAGAAACGACTCTTTGTATTCCCAGCAGTCAAGCTGAACCACTGCAACCCAAGCAATGATGTCTCGGGTATAGACACTGCGACACTGACAGCCCGTCTACTTTTAATCTCGGACGCGTTCAACGCGTCGACAGTCGGAAATGACCTCATCGACATCAGCGCAAGAACCACCACTTGATATTGGAATCGATCTTCAAGATCATAATGCCGGCACCTGGCTCTCTCCGCCTGCTTCACCGTTCTCCGATGCAGAACTGCCTGTCATTTGTACCGATGACTTGGGCATGATCGCGGACGATGAGGCTTTTGCTGGAACAGACTTCAATCGGTCGCCTGCTGCAGCGGGAGGAAAGGCGGATGATGGAAACAAGAGAAAGTCTACAACGACGCGACGAAAAATCACCTATGGTTCGAAGCATTTCGTTAAGCAAGATCTGAAGGACGAGGCTGGTGTTTCTTCATCGCCAGCGCGGAATCGGCGGAGGGCAAATCCTGCTCAACAGGGTATCCGACGAAGGAGCAAAAGGTCCGCAAAGGGGGAAGAGGGCTATGGAGAGGATGATGGAAAAGAAGCAGAAGGACAAGGCAATCATGCGCATACCAAGCGACCAGTACGGCAGCAGCAACACGATGTTGATCAAGCAGCTACGCCTACAAATCTCGCCACACCACCCGTCACGCCAGCTCGTTCTCTTCCGCGGATCTATTACGGACTAAACGTCGACGACCTCTCTTCGGACTCCAGCCTTACGGATGTCCCTGACGACATCGGGCCAGACCCATTTTCTGCAGAAGACGATTCTGATCAGACAGCACCCTCGACAGTCCAAGCAGTCAAAGTCTCGCGCAACAAAAATCTCTCGCGCCGGCCAACTAAATCGCCATACTTTCCACACCCGCATAAACACAGGCCGACGTTCCTCTCGACATTACCCTTCCCACCATTGTCTCACGACACCTTTGGTCTAATGCAAGAACGGCTGTCCCATGACCCGTTCCGTCTACTTATCGCCACGATCTTCTTGAACAAAACTCCCGGCGAGCGCGCCATGCCCGTCTTCTACCAGCTGATGACCAAGTACCCGACTCCCAAGGCTCTTGCAGAAGCAACCGTGGCCGACATTACTCCAATCATTTACGGCCTTGGCTTTCAAAACCAGCGAGCGAGGAAATGCGTGGCCATGGCCAAGGCGTGGCTTGCGAACCCACCGCAGCGTGGCAAGCGGTATAGAAAACTCAACTACCCACGCAAAGGCGACGGCAAAGATGTACGGGAAGATGAAGTGCTCGACGACGATGAACATGACCAACGTGTGGCATGGGAGATTTCCCATTTACCTGGCCTGGGTCCATATTCGCATGACAGCTGGCGCATCTTTTGCCGAGACGAACTGAGGGGCGTCCAAGCGAAAAAGCAAGACCAAGACATAGGCAGAGACGCACAAAAATCAAGTCAAGTGCTAGCTAAGGCTGAACGGGTGGACAAGGAAGACGGCCAGGCTGGTGCTAATCCAGATCCAGCCTCTGCCGTGAGTGGGACAGCGGAGAAAGCGACGACTCGCAGTGCCGAAACCGGAGCTGAAGATGCTGTTGGAGGTAAAGATGTACATGAGGGTTCAATTGAAGATGCAGCTTCAGATGCACCTTTCGAGCCTGAATGGAAACGAGTCGTGCCCCTCGACAAAGAACTCCGCGCATACCTCACGTGGATGTGGTTGAAAGAAGGATGGGTCTGGAACAAGGAAACCGGGCAACGAACCAAGGCCCCAGAAGAGCTGCTTGCCAAAGCACGTGGCGGAGGCGTCATCGTCGAAGAGAGGGACTCGCACCATTTGGCAGTGAAAAAGGTCGATCTTGCCGAGGTGAGTGACCTGCAGAACGAGCGTCAAGTTGAGAGGACTGCTGGTGATTATCTCCCGGCGAACCTGAACATTCAAGCAACAACTTGAAGGGTGAAAAAGGTGAGCGTCTAAAATGAGAACTGGATGACGCTTCCTATACCATCAAGCCGCCGGCCAGCCCGCCAATATTGTTTGCCTCGGCTGGAAATGGGGGATTCAAGTGCTGGTATGGGATCAACCGTTCATGTTTTGATCCAGCGTGGAGTCGTGAAGCAGGCTCGGGGACGATCACCTCACCCTGGCAAGGGTACAATAGGTCAGGGATTTTGGCCCCAGAGCAGGGAAACAATTTAACTAGGAGGTGGTATGACCGTATGGCCTTGGCCACGCTTGATGAAGATGCGAGCAATTGACCCTGGCTTGTGTACAACCACACTGCCACTGTACAGTTGTGTACATGATCTGTATTAGCGTGTTTCTATATGGTTCTTTGGGTAGTACTGTAAATAGAAGTCGGACGGTGCGGACGAGAGTCATCAACAGGAGGTGATATTGGGGGTGGTCTGTTTGGAATCTGTTGAAATGCAGTACTACTACTGTATACTGATAGTAGTATCCCTGAAAGACCACTCACTCCGGGAGACCATATGGCAGACAGACTACATTATACAGCGTAAGATGAGACACGAGATACCTTATTGTCGTAGACACTGGCGTTGAAATTGGTCCCCGAATGCTGATCCTGCAGTGGGTCTGGAGTCGATTGAGCCGGGACGGGATAGGACCCAAGCATCAGGTACTGTAACACCTACCTACCAGGTAGGTGCTCTACATACAATATCGCACAGCACAACTAACGGCGCCAAACTCCAGGATGGAATGCAACAGGCACATATCTATCATATACTGTACAACTATCCAACAGTCGTTCCATCTCTCCTGTAATCTTTGCGAATCTTTCCAAGAACACTGCATTGATGGAGTCCTCTTAAGGTCAGGTGAGGTTACCTGGTACTACCTGGTATGATTGGGCCGTCATACTACCTCACCAACATATAGGATCATGATGGGGGTTCAAATAGTATATTGTCGATCACTGGCACCATATACCGAAATAGGAATCAGGTTTGTCGAGGCTCATAATTGGAGCATTCAGTTGTTAATGTTACTATGGGGCCAGAAATGGATCCACATCATGATCTCCAACCTCACCCTGTACATTGTAGGGCTTGTCTCGAGCTAAGGAGCCGACTCGAGCTTGACCATAGACACCTTGATAGGTACCTTGGCAAAAGGCCGTGTGGACTGTTCTTCCGACAGACAGCCTGACGTCGGCAATCCCGAGCTCATCGTCGACTGTACCTACCACCACGACTGTAGGTGTCTATGAAGTACAGCTAGACCCATCCTCTATAGTATGCCAGATCGGCAAACTTAGTACCGTCGCTTATTCCAGTGTGTGTCGGTACGGTACGTCTCTGCCACCACCCCTCGGGTATTCGGTTTTCGGAATCAACGTCTCGTCCTCACATCTCACGTCCAAGCCCACTGCTCTAGTAAAATAGGATACAGGTACAGGCTTACAGCTCAGATGTGGTGGTGGTTTGCCCTAAGGTCAGTCTCTTAGAGTCTACCGGCTATTATCTTACTATGTATACAACGTTGTACCACTTAGCCACTCACAACACCCCCAGACCGAGTTGAAACGGGCCGAGGAATGTACGGCCCCCAACGCTACTATTCAAGTTTTGGTACGGTACAATAATGGCACGTAGTTGTGCCTGTGGGCCGCAAGAGCGTTGTCGATCACCAGTACTGAGTACCTTTTGATAAAACGGAGTTGTTCGCACAGGCGCCCGACGATCACGCTGGGCAAAGAGAGTCTGTTGTTGACTCTGACTCTTTGTGATCTGATCCTGTAACCGGGTCCACGTGCACACCGATACTGAGCGATGAGCATCGGTGATTGAAAATACAAGGTGTAACGAGAATGGCGATCCTCGCCTTGGCAAAGGGAGCTGAAGCCTTACCCCGTACAAACACCGACACTCCTTCCTGCTGGACCCATAAAGAAGGTATCCAAGTTTCCAAAAGGTCCTCAGCTCAGGGTCGTCTCCGCTGCACCACGCCAAGAGTCCTGGCTCCAGACTAAAACCCCAAACTCTTCCCCCTTCCTCTTCGCCTCATGGGGCGCGCGATGATCGTTTCAACTTTCCTCGAGTCGTGAAGGCACATAAACAACCATTGTATGGTCTGATGGCAGTCTTGGACGGAGTCAAAACCGTTCAATGACGTAAGGATGAGCAGCACGATACCCGGTAAGGTACATGGTAGGTGGTACCGTCGTCTGTCCAACTCGAGTCCTGGGTGGAAACATCACTTCGGTGAACTTGAATAGCGTACAACTAGTTGAGTTGTATACCAAGCTGAGGGCAAGCAGCTGATGCCGAAGAGAAGACGGGGTGGCCGTATTCTTGAAAATGATGTCAGAACGGTATCATACTGCTCATGTTAGCGGACTCGGACCGGAGGCCAGCTTCATGCTAAGGTATATAAGAGTGCCCTTTGGTCGTGTCTTTAAGAAACTCTTCTTCAGTCCTCCAAGCTTGAGATAACCCTTGTTCAGTCCTCCTCCTCCAAGCTTGAGAGCCGGCCGCAGAGGAACCCAAACCCCTCGTCTCCCTTCAAAGATTGTTGTCGACTCCAAATCGGACATATATATATCCCTTCAACAAATCCAACCAAACAAACACCATTACCATGCGTTTGACCAATCTCATCGGCGTCGCCGTCGCGACCTTGTGCGCCCCAGCCGTGGTCTTGGCTGATTGCGGCAGCTGGGATGTCCGATTTTACACAGACGACGCTTGCGGCAACAATGTGGCGAATGCAAACAACTACTATATAGACTCTTAAATCCGAACTTGTGAATCGCTTTCCGGATTCTCCGTCGATCTCAAAACTCTCAGCCTCAGCGCCAGCGGTTTCGGTTGGGAAATCGCCCTGTATGACAACGACGACTGCACCTGCGATGTAACAAACCCTTTCGGCTGCCCAACCAGATACGAAATCCCCGATGAAGGAGACGTCGACTGCCATGACGTGGATGGCAAAAAGAGCTTCAGTGTCCAACCCGTCTATTCAGTCTATTGTGGTCCATGAGGGGTTTGATCGAGGCCATGGGCACGGGAAAGATCGTGGCCACCACTGCAGAGAGGAGACAAGGGCAAGGGCATGTTGGCCCAGGAGGGGGTCAGAGGGAATGCAAGGGCATGTAATCAGGGTCATTTGTTGTAGATAGAAAGCCACGCGATAAGTTGGACAAAGTGGTCCAATAGTCCAATTCAAATCGCCCGAGCCTGTCAATTGGCGGCCTGTTTGCACCCACATACAGTACCACTACTCCTTTCTTTGTGTCTTCTGCTGCCTGCTCTGATTCCCATCGTCGCAGAAAGGAAAGCAATCCTGGGAGACCGTGACCAAGTCAAGGACGGACTGCAATTTTTGGTTGGTGGTCTGAAATTTGATGCGGCGCCACTTTCGCATACCAGCGCGACTGAGCCGTTGCGGTTACTGGCCGGTCCCCTTGGAAAGGGACAGGAAAGGTAGAGACTTGGTTTAGTCCAGTACACACTGGTCCATAACTGGTGTGCCGATGGTATTCGCCTTTATAATCACCCGGTGGGCTTCCCAAAGTCGTGCAAGGTGTGCGCGGGAGCTTTCGGTTGGTCAGACCGAGGGTTTGCTCTGGCCTCGACATGACAAACTGTTGACTTTCCCAAGCGGATCAACAGCCGCCAATCCAAACCACACCCTCGCTCCAGTGATCGATGGTGAATCGTTTTAAAACAAGCGAGGTAGATCTGTGTCTTTTCTTTTTCACGCATCCTCATAGTGTTTTTCCAGAGTGCCAGAGCGCTGTCGCTGTCTCGGCGGTGGTGACACCAAGTCACCATTTGCACCTCCCGAATGCTGGGACGGAAGGGTATCGACATGCTCCATCCTCGCAATCTCCAGGTCCAAACTAAGATCACGACCGTCGGGTCGGGTCGAGACACTCCTTCGATTGGCGATTGAGGCGCGAGTGACATCGGTATTGACTTTCGTCAGATCAACAAAATCAGAGATGTCGGGGCCGTTTGTCATGCCGTAAGGACCGATACCTGTATTGACAGCAGCTAGTGGTGGAGGAGTAAAGACCGACGAAGTAGCAGTTGCACGTCTGTCACGGTTCTTTTCTCTTTCCTTTTCGGAGCGAGGCAGGGACGAGCGATGACTGTTTTGGCGAGGACGACCGACAAACTGAACGAGCTGGCCGAGAATAGCAAACTCGAGTTTTAGTTTGATCGAATAAAAAACAGGCTTGGTGGTTGTCTCAAGAATATACAACGACGCACATTCGAGGCCCAGAAGACCCAGGTCCATAATAATAATGAGGACATTGATCGCCATCAGCTGGTACATGAGCCTTTTTGTGTTCTCCTGGATCGAAGTTCGCAGGATCCGCACAGTTTCGGCAATATAGATGGACGACAGGATGACCTCTTGCACGAAGAAGCCGCACATCTGGATCTTCTCCATCACATTGTATCCGCGCACAAAGGTATCAGTCGCATCGGTGTGGCTGTTGGATCCGAAAGTGAGGACTGTGGTAGGCACGTGCAGCACCACGGCGTTGACGATGATCATCCATTTCGTCCATTGTAGGATTCGGTCGCCTGTGTCACCGGTCACGATGAGATGGAGACGCGACCAAAGGACCACGGCCTGGCCCGTCACCATCGGGTACCAGCCGATGGAAAGCAGAAACACGGAAAGCCATCTCCCTCCACCCGTCAGGATCGAAAAGTATTTGAAGATGAAGCCCAGCGAGTAGGGGATGATCCCGAGACTGGAAATCACCAGACTCCAAAAGTATAGGCCGCGGAACTTGTTGAATGTCCCGAAGATCAGGATCTGCAACTCCACCACGTTGTACATGGACAGACCGAGAAAGAAGGCAATAACCACTTTCAATGTGAGGCTGTCTCCGTCATAGCCGCCTGTGATCCCTAGCCCTGGCGAGTTCGGTGAACTGGAACTCGATGATATCGATTGGTTGCGTGCTGTTGATATCGATTGGTTGCGTGCTGTTGAGAGCATGGCCGCTGCGGCGCCTCAGGTGCGAGTCGTCGCGCTGGGAGCTTGGACATGGAGGCCTGCCTGCTCAGGTAGTGATGCTGCACTCGACCGAGTGATAAGATTGCCGGGTCAATGAACTGATATCTAGCCGCCGACAAAGTCAGGTTTGTTCCCATATCCATGGCATTGGGTCGCGATAGTACTGGCTCAACGCACTCTGATGCTCGCCATGGACGCCATGCCACCCACTCTACCTACAACAATATAAGCGCGGTTGTCACCCAACAATGACATAGAGGAGAAAGAAGGGTTCAAGGTTGTCAGTCTGGTATGAGGAGAAACGTCAAACCTTTCCCCAGCTTTCATTATCGAGTCTTTTCTGGCATAGTAATGTGTTCACTTACGACTTCCCGCCTCTATGGGTCGTCCCGCTTGCCCCATCACCACTGCCCTTCACACATTGGAAAAAGCTCTCCGCTAGCGCGATTTTGCGGCCATATCAAGAAGCGGTCTCGGTAAACGGTGCCGGAACCGAGAAAACCCTTGTCACATGACCGAACATCTCCTCACGTGGTGCGTCTCTGCCTGCAAAGCTGTCCTCTCCTTGATCCGCGTTCATTGATACTACCAAAGGAATGGTCCTAGGTCTGAGAAAATGCTCGTGCATACAATCTGGGTGAAGAAAGTCTATTTTATTGTCTTAAATGAATATCATCATACACAAAGAGAATGAATTTTGGCCCAAGGCATATTCATCTCTTATTTTTCGTGGATCTCACTGGGGCTTTGCCCGAGTATATGTTCCTATGTTCGCGGATAACGACTCTGGAGTGCTCATCAGATATATCTCTAATAGACGTTCTTACCGAACTATCGTGCAAATCGCATTTCCGAGGATATCAGGATGAGTGGCCTACGTTGCTCTGACATATCCGCTCTCGTCTGGTCCGTCTGCGTCGCTCGAATGCTTTTCCACAGGACGGGATTAGGCCGGAAACAAATAATGGTCTTCGACAGATAAATATGAGATTTCCACGACGTCCGTGGCCAAAGAAAACATCTGACATGAAGCCTCGAATTGAGAACGGCCATTCTGCCCTCTGTCCCCTCGGAGGAGAAGGAAGTCATAGCTCCCTGCTGGCCCTTGGTAGGATATATTCCAAAGACCCGGGCAGGAGCGGGAGGTTGCAAGCCTGAACCGTCCTGGATTACCGCCGGAGCGGATCGAGTCTTGGCCCAAATAGAGATTGCAACCTGGTTTGACCGACATGGAAGTTGCAGAGCCAACGCGCAGGTCGAGAGATAGCGACTGTGCTCCGGCTGAGAACCCATGGAAACTCTCCTCCTTGGTAGGCTTCTCGGAGTGCGTGGTCCAAGACTCAAGAGACAAGCCGTCGTATCGCTTGCCCTTGCCACGCACTTATGCTCGCCGACCATCTTGCACGACGGAGCAAGCGAGACAGTGACATCTCCGTCCCAAGTCTTGCCACGTCCACCAAGCGCAGTAAGCAGCAGGCTGCTCTGAAGTAATTAATCGGGTGTCATAGACCGAACTGAGACGCCAATCTTATAGCAGTGCGCAGGAAAGGACCAGCCATCCACCGCTGGGATTGCCATGGTTGACTAATGAGGATCATGGACAGATCTTGATCGCGTCAACCCGCTTCCGGCCTTCGTCTTGCTTCGCCGGCGCCTGTCCCTCGACGTGGTACAAGTGGCCCTTCGGACGTGCGGGCATGGTATCTCAACGTGTCCAACCAGTCACTTCTCATAACAGGATGATCCCAGACTCCATTCCCCTCTCTTGCGCCTTCAACACTCTCGTAACCAGTCTGTGTGTTGCAGATCGAACTCCTTGTGAGAGTAGAATAGTAGGACGGAGGCCGGCTCTCTCCACGTGTAAAGGTCCGTTCTGGACTTCCTCTTGTGGACGTCGTTTCGCCCGTCTGCAGCGCAGTTAACCCCGTCAATCGCGTAGAGGGGACCGAGACGATCGAGGAATCCGGAGATTCAGGACGAGCTGTTTCTGTTTCATTGCCTGAATCTGACAGAGCCGCTGTACAAACTTGGATAGAATGCTTTTCATCTGAAGGTGCCAATCGTGCTTGTTCTTGTTCTATCTCATTATACGCCGGCGGAGGGGAAGAATCGCGGTAATCGTAGTAACAATGCGATGTAGGGCGAGGTCTATTGTCGCAACGGTTGGGTCCGGTGATTGCGACGATGCGGGAGTGTCGACTGTCGGCTTCTCCTTGACGGTCGTGGGAAGTGCAACATGCAAACACGCCCTTGAGCCAAGTCATCTCTGCTGCAGCGTTCGACGAACCGCGGCGATCAAGTGGCGCAGTCAGAGGAAATGCTCCAATGCTACAGCCGGGTGATCATGGACAACTGAAGTGGATGGATGAGTGACGGACGAGGTTCTGGCTGACGCAAGCTTGTGGAGGCACAACTTGAATTGCACGGGCACTGCAGGTTAACATAGTACATTTAGGCAACCAAGCCAAGAACCGAAGGCACTGACTGATCATGCCATGCAGTGTCTAAGGTACATGTACCTAGGTACCAAACTTTCGATAGTATATTTGGGACCACGAACCTTGTACCCGATTCGCTCTCGTGGGTTCATCCTTGGATTAGCAAAGGGAAGCAGTACCGAGAAAATCAGAAAGTTGGAGGATGTAAGAAAGTAGAGTAAGACGCTATGGCCTCAACTGTGAATGTCTGTCTACAGCTATCATGGGTTCACTTTTGTCGTGCTTCAAGCCCAGTGTCCAGAAACTTAGTCTCCCGTGCCAGCCTTCAGCCACATGCCAGCGTAGAGTCTTCCTTCAAGAGCCATCTGGGTTGGTATCCTGAACTGCATGATGCAAAGGACCGGTGCTTAGATACGACTCCGTTGGTCGTCCAGCTTCAACCAGATCTTGCTTGCTGTAACCATAGTCCAAGTCCAACAGCTTCAAGAGTGGGGCGTATGTGAATCCTAACTCCGCCAGACCCTCCCCAATAGTGCAGTTTGGACGAATACCATACTCTTCACGAAGCATGCTTCGGAAATCCTGATAGCGACTGATTCGGCCCTCCCAAAAGTGCCTGGGAGTGTCTTCTCCGACGTCAACTCCGAGAACAGCTTTCGCCAACCGGCGAAAGCCCTCCCATTCCTGGTCGAAGCCTTCTCCTGTGTCGAGATCAACTTCCAACCAGCGGCAAACGATGTCCCATTGCTGTTCGAAGTCTTCGGTGTCAGGCATAGTTCCGAGTTCGACGCCACCATGGACAATCCTGGGATCTTCAAACTGTATGGACACAGGCGTCATTGCGCCTGCTTCGGCACACTTTGAGTATGACACAGTGAAGGTCATGCCTCGCTGTGACTTATCTTTCGATGCAGCAACTCTTGGCTCCCATTTCATGCCGCCATAGGTGTCGCAAATGATGTCTTTGATATCTACTATGGTCCCACGTACAAAAGTGAAATAGCGCGGCTCGTCCAACCATTCGAGATCTTCAGAATTGCAGGAGAGTTTGTTGACCACCGCAACATGTTCCTTATTGAGACCTTGAGAAAAAAGTCGCAGACAGTGAGCAGAACAGAAACTGAATTGAGTGATGTTGTAGAGAACTTGGCGACATTCATTGTGGATTGCACGGCTGACCAGAAGGATGGCTGGGCATTGTTTGTTGCAATAGACTGGACATGTGCTGTAGGGCGGAGGACTATAGAAACCGTATCGCCACTGCATGCGTTTATCCCAACTATGGTCATATGCATAGCACACAGTGTAGGATGTGTTTGCCGCAGCGGGAAGAAGGTAACGGTAGATTGACTGTCGCGCTATGAATGGCAGGTCAAGGAAAGTGGTGGGCTCTATGATTAGATCAGTTTAAAGAGACTTTTGCAGGCGATAGCCGCGATGCACTTACGCTTAATAGGAGCCATCACCTCATGTAGTTGTTTGGTGTTGACTGTGATGCTCTTGGGGTCCATTCCGCTGTCCATCTTGTCGTACTTGGGCTCTTGGACAGCAAAGTGCTGAAGAAGAGAGTGTCGCGGGCGGAAGGAAGGTTGATATAGGAGGGCCGGTATGTCACCAGCACAATAACACGATAGTGAGGTCGGCCTGGATCGTGACTGGTTGCACTTCGCGTTCACGACAAGAATCCCTTGACTTGATGAGCAGACGGCAGCTAGTGACACCAAGTGGTGACGCTCCTCTCTTCAGGAGTCATCACCACTTGTACATAGCAGTCGTGCGTGCTGACCTGACCGGGGACCGCCCGAAACCCATCATTGCCGAGGGCTGAATAGCTGTCAGGATAGCAGCAGCGAGTAGAGGGGCTTCGTGGCAATGCGTTGCCTCAACTTGCCAACCCGCTAGGACCGGAAACGCCTTACAGATCCTTTTGCAAGGCTTCCTCGACTGACTTGAACCCGTCAATCATGGCCTCAAGTTTCTCGTCAATCTTTTTGAGCTCATCCTTCTTCCTTGTGTTTTCTCTGACCAGGCCGTCCTTGATCTTTACCAGTTCCAGTCTCTCTTGTTCCATTTTCTCACGCTCTTGCCTCTCATACTCAATCCTCTTGGGCATCAACTCCTGCTCCGGTAAATCAGCATGCTCGGGAAACAGTGCGAGGTATTCATCGAGAGGTCGAATGGGTAAATGCATGTATGCATGACTGTAGGATTAGTGTACGAGAAACTTGTCTATAGCGAGGGATGACCTACTCGTAGCCCTCGCATGCTCCAATTTCTCCCATCAAGTGCCTTTGCTCATAATACAGGTTCTGTAGTTGCAGCAACAACCTATCCACCTCCTGCCTCGCCTCTGCCGTCTCCTGTTTCGTAGCGCGTACACCGAATGCCGCTTGACGATGTAATCCACGAAGCTTGGCCAAGTAGGCGTTGAGTATCTTCTGTTGTTGGGCAAGGTCAAGCTTAAGATCGAGGGATGGTGTAGGCGTCGAGGCGTGGTCTTCAACCCAGAAGAGAACCGAGAGAGTCTGCGCGAGCGTAGCCTCGGAGGTGTGCCGCAGTGTTTGAAGGGCCGGATCTGTGATCAGGTTTTCGATCGCCATTTTGAGACCCCGCGAATCTGTTGGTATAACTAAATCGACGGGTTGCAATGGTCGACGCGGGTGTCGGATGAGCCTGGAGGGTCAAGACATTGTACATCGTTGTACTTACGTGAAGTCGTCATCAACCAATCGGAGGCTCCAAATTCTCCGCAACAAATATTTATCGGCCATCAGTTTCAAAGATGTTACAGGAAAACCTGCAACTTGGATTCAGCCATAGCATATCCAAAATGGCACCAGATAGAGGCCCTGTGGAGGAAAATGCGCAAGCGTCAACCCTTCAAGCGCAATATGAAGGACTATCCATCAAAGAAGAAGCCGACAAGAGAGAAGTCTCCGTCTCAGACGCCGCCTCAACCACCCAATCCGAACCTGTTCCTCCACACCTTTCCCATGACCCTAGCACCAATGCAAAGCGAACAGATCCATTTCAGTTTGGGCAGCGATACCTCTCCGAATCGGATGATGTCTTTGAGTATAATGCCTGGGATCATGTAACCCCAGATCCAGATCACTACGAGTACTGCGAATCTCAGTACGCTGCGCAGCGAGCTGCACCAGTGTCCGAGTTCGATCAGGCACGGTTCAACGAGCATCCGGAAAAATGGTGGGACCTCTTTTACAAACAGAAAACCAGCACGTTTTTCAAAGATAGAAAATGGTTAGTGCAAGAATTCCCGGCACTGAAGGAAGTGACGGAGAAGGATGCCGGTGAAAAGGTAATATTAGAGGTCGGCGCTGGTGCAGGCAACACGGCGTTCCCGATCCTCAGGATGAATGAGAACCCGAAACTGAAACTACACGCCGTGGACTTTAGCAAAAAGGCCGTGGAGACCATGAGAAGCGCCGAGGAGTACGAGGCTTCAAATGGAATCATGCAGGCGGACGTCTGGGACGCTGCCGGGGAGCATCTGCCTCCTGGTGTTGAGGAAGGGACCGTCGACATCGTTATCATGATATTTATCTTCTCCGCTCTTCATCCCAGACAGTGGCAGCAAGCAGTCGTCAACGTCCGCCGTATGCTCAAACCCGGTGGGCAAGTGCTATTTCGAGACTACGGTAGAGGCGACCTTGCCCAAGTCCGGTTCAAGGCAGGAAGGTGGATGCAAGATAATTTCTACGTCCGTGGCGACGGGACTAGAGTGTACTTCTTCGAGAAAGAAGAGCTCGAAGCGATCTGGGGCGATGGGTTCGACGTGTTGAACCTGGACGTGGATCGGCGGTTAATTGTCAATCGACAACGACGGATCAAAATGTACCGATGCTGGATACAAGGTCGCTTTCAGAAGAAGGTTGAAGAGGCTTGAGAGGGTGTGGTTGTCAGGTTGCTGGCAAGACAAGGCTCCTAGAATTCAACAGTGAACGAATCGGAAAACGGGGCACAAGCAGCGTCAGCTCTGAATGCTGTCCCCTTCATGTTCCACAGCTCCTTGAAGTTGGACGAGATATCATCTGCCACAGACCCATGCATTGTTGTGTAGGATTGAGAGTGCTGGTTGTAACACCAAAGTTCTGTAACACGGATGCTATCCTGGCGGTAGATGTCCTAAACATCGACGGATCTTCTGGTAAAGGCACATGCGAGCAGCATTCAACGTTGTTGATGTCCTAACACTACCACTGGCATGTTACAATTGTACGGTGGCAAATCCAGCGACCAGTTAGACAGCCAATGGAATCCGATGCGTGTTGCATGTGAAAAGATGATGGACGACCAAAGTCTGCCCATCAGATATCACCAGCCGGAGAACGTTGTACTACTGCAGAGCCAGTGGTTGTGCTGCAGTGTCAGTGGTTGTACCGTACCTAGGTATCTGCGTTCATGGTTGGCGTGTAAGTTGTAAAGGGTGCTATAGACGCCGAATAATCAGAGACCAGCCACTCACCGGCTGCCAAGCTCAGCCTGAGGCGAGCCGCTGTTTGGCTCCGAGTCGGCGCCTGTCATTTGTGTCATTCCCATCACGTCCCTCATCCTTCGCCAGCGCCCGTCACAGATATTCAAATGACGTCGGCCTTTCGAGATCTGGACCCTGCGTCCTGCGCCGATTAATGTGCCTCATTTCGTCGTCAACCAAAACGTGCTCCATCCTCTGGCCTCAGCTTCTCAACCCACCTGCCTGTCGAGTACCCTACGCCTCGTAACACCTCTTTCAGTCCCTTGGAACCAGTCCTCATTACTCGCATTACCTCGACGACGGTGGCCATATATAGGAGTCCTTCACCGATAGACACGCCGGCCTCAAACTCTACCAACACTGCACCTCGCGCCACTCCTTTGCTCGAGAGGACCTCTACGACCGAGTCTCTTGCCTTCACCAGCGTTGTACAGTGTACATCTCCTTTAAACGCGAACCCCGCCATCGATTGCAAAGCTGCCGCATGACTTTGACAAGACAACATGTCCTGCACGGCGCCCGCGGTCACTCTCGAGTCGCACTCGACCAGCCGGGATTCCAGCCTTGCAGGTGACGAAGAGCGGCGTCCTCTGTTGTACCGGGGCAGACGACACTCCTACAATCCTTCGACACGGCGACAATCCAGCGTCTGTAGTGCCGATGCCGTCTTCGTGAGGGTCGACCTCTTCCTAACCGAGCTCAAAGGCCGACTTGAGCGACTGGAGAAATATCGGCAAGACAGTCTACTCCACTTTGATGCTCAGCTTGAGCGCGCTTACCAGGCCTTGAGAGATGTCCGGGACTCCTGTTCGCCCTACCATTCGGGAGAACTATTATGGGGTGCAGCACGGCATCGCGCTTCGATGCTCGTTGAAACACTAGAAACAAGATACAATGATGTCATGCCGACCCGGGAGACGCTCGAACATAAGGCCCAAGAAGGAATGCACCTGATGGAGACATATCTTCTGGAGTTGGAGTCTCGTGCTCTTGCACGCAAGAAACAGATTATTGACTCGGGCTGGAAAAGTCTCGATGACTCGTTAATTGCCACAAGGGAGATATTTGAGGAAGGTCTGGACAAAGCCCTTCGTGCACGAGACATGCTCTCCGATTCCATCAGCCATGCTCTTAGCCGCGCCGCTGAGACCAGGCTGATACACTACGATGACCTCCCGACGCCGTGGAGGAATAACCCACATATTCTCCGTGGTTATCGATTCAACAAGACCAAAATCGAGTGTCTCACTTCGATCTTCCTGCCCTCCAATGAAACCGTCAACATCTGGTCGCACGGTATCGGCCTGATGATTGTGCTTGCATTGGCCTTCTACTACTATCCCTCGTCATCGACATTTCCCCTATCCAGCAAATGGGATGTCTTGGTGGCGGCTTGCTTTTTCGCCGCTGCAGCCAAGTGCTTGATCTGTTCCTGCATGTGGCATACCATGAACAGTATAGCGGACAAATGCTTACTAGACCGGTTTGCTTGCGTCGACTACACTGGTATCTCATTCCTGGTGGCAGCCAGCATCCTGAGCACTGAATGGACCGCTTTTTACTGCGAGCCGGTCTCGCGTGCGGTCTATATGACACTCACCACGATTTTAGGGATCGCTGGGGTCATCCTACCCTGGCGGGAGAGCTTTAATCGAGCTGATATGGCTTGGGCTCGAGTGGCATTCTTTGTCACGCTCGCAGTGACCGGATTTGCGCCAGTCGTGCAACTGAACTATACCCGAGGTGCGGCCTGGACCTTCTATTTCTATGCACCAGTCACCAAGAGTCTGATGGTATACCTGACTGGAGCCATCATTTATGCAAGCAAGATCCCGGAGAAATGGTCGCCTGGCTTGTTCGACTATGTCGGAGGTAGTCACAATATTTGGCACCTTGCCGTTTTGGGCGGTATCTTGTTTCATTATACTGCCATGGAGGAATTTTTCCAGGGGGCATTCAAGAGGGCAAGCGAAGGCTGTTGTGTGGGTTGACGGCTCTTGTGAGCTGTGGTGTGTATCCAGCTGACGATGGTCCCTGTTGGTTGAAGGGTATTGAAGTTCGCCCTGCAGAATTATAGATTTTAGTCGTTTCAATGAAGCGAGATTAAGCATCGAATGATCATCAGTTGCATTAAAAATTGTTTGCTTCCCAGCCAGTCATCAGGGGCGCTTTTTTGGTGGCGGCATCGATATTGGACCCTGCATGACAAGGCCGATCTTTGATAGCCGAGTACGACAAATTTCCTTTTTGAGACACGCGCGCTTTTGACATACTATGTATTCTGTATCTCCACTTCTCTTCGTCCGAACCATGCAAGAATTACCACGATGAGGTCCCATGGTAATCTGCAAACAGAATGTAGCAGCCTAATGCCGGTGACGGCAAATACCGCGCTTCTCCTCCCCTCCTTCTTGCCCTCCTTGCTGTATCTCTCAATCCCACTTAACCAAAGCCAGCGACAATGGAGCCGGGCAACACTATGCCGCCAGAGTCGACGGTTGGCAAGCAGCAGTCTCCAATTGTGACTTGTCGGCGGAAGGGCCTCCAGACGATTCTCAAAATATCCTCTCAAGAAAAGAGTCAAGCGACTGGAAGGTGTTCATCGGTCACATCTGCCTTCCACTCGAGAAAGTCCCATACGAAATCGCGCATGGGCTGTATGAACTGCAAGCGGCGACGGGTTAAAGTACGCTTCGTATACACTTCTTGACCATCATTCCATATACTCATGGTTCTCAGTGCGATGAAAACAGGAATGGTGGATGCTTGAAATGTCGACGCCACGGCATTGATTGTGACTACGAGAGTCAAGCCTCGCCTGGAAATGGCGTCCTCAACTCAGCAAATGCCCGGTTGCTCAGCCCCTTTGACTTGGACAGGAGCCAGTCCAGTGCTTCAATCCCTGTAATACTCCGTGCTGCTGCACTGTCAACGCCGTTATCAACGCCGCTACGGGCGGCTCTTACACCAACATTCCCATTTGCGGAAGAGCATCCCAAGGGCATGATTCCAGTTCTACAGACCCTCCAACACTTTGACACCGTCACCTACTGTTCTATGGGGTCTGTTATTGCCCAGGACATCATCAAGGAATGCGTGCATGGTGTTGCGGTGGAGAAGCCATATTTGTTGCATGCTGTCAGTGGCATCTCGGCCGCACATCTCTGCCATCTCCTGCCTGCCGACCAGCATCCCGTCCAACACCGCCAAAGTAAACTGGCAGATGCGTACCATTGGCACAAAGCCCTCACGTTGTTTCGCCGCGAGCTATCCTCAGGCGTCAATAGGCAAAACATGGACGCCCTCATATCCACGAATCTCTTGGTCTGCGTCCACCAGTTTATGCTGACCGACCATCTTCCAAATCCAGGAAAAAGTTTCGTGTATGCCTCTCCTGAGGAGAGGTCCAAACGCACAAAGTGGCTGACGATCCAGCATGGATTTGAGGCTTTGAGGGATGAGCTCAGAGAACAAGTCTGGGATTCGGTTTGGAAACCAGTCCTGGTGGATGCGAATATAAGCCAGGGTGCCCCATTAATCTCCGTGGCACCAAAGGAGGATGAGGTACACGCCTTGTTCCTCGACATATGCCAAGTCAGCAAGCATTCATCCGCGGACAACAACCCCTACTACAATGCATTGACATACTTGTTGTTTTTGCGCCAGCTAGAGCCAACAATGAACACATTCAACAAGCTGATCACATTCGTAGGAGTCGTCCACGGCGAATACTACCGACTGTTGCTGGAGCGAGACAAACCTGCCTTATTGATCCTGGCACATTGGCTGGCGCTGATGACGGAGCTCCGACAATGGTGGATAAGTGGCAGAAGCAAGAGCGAGTGCATTGCCATCACCACCTTTTTGATGTGTGACAAAGACAGAACGGTTAGAAGACTACTGGAATACCCTGCGAGAGTCGTGGGGCTGGCAGTTTGATTCGGCATAGGCTGGCTGTCGTATCAATACGAGAAGTCTGCCTTTCCAGCCACGGGCTATGCTTGCAAGAGTCCACCTTCACGGAGCTTCCATAGTGATGTTGTCGATACTTACACGAACCACCTGCTTGCTTGCCTGGCGGACGAACAAGCCTGGAAGAACTTTATCATCACTGAATGTTCTTAGCTATGAGTGAGGCGATGCATTCGACCAAATGCAGGCTCACTGCTTGAACGTCTTAAGGTGTCCCTAATGTGAAGCAGGAGTGATAAGCTACCTACCTTTATGTAGGAATTCCGACAGACATCATCTGCAGTGTCACATCAAGATCAGCTCCACTACCGAGATCTGGATCTCCACAGCCTCGTCGACCGGCGTCATCCGAATGGTCGAAATGCCGCAGCCTTGCGCATGTGATAAGAGAATGTACCTCGGCATCCCCTCTGTCGAGGGAGACAAACAAAAAAGAACGACCACAAAATCATGATTTCCGGCTCCCTAGAGACTCTCTACATCACCTACATCAGAGAGACAAGATATCAATGACACAAACCAGATCGACACTATGTAGATCCGGGAAAATATCCACGCCTTTGGGGCGCAAAGGCTCAATATGCACATGTTACGGGCTTTATCAGAAAATTATCCGGCGCAAATGCACGAGCGGACAGCTTGTGGACTACGGGCCAGTGATTTGGACCCAGTATTAGCCAGCGACCAGCTCGATGGAGCTTTCCATCGTCGCCGAGGACGGGTTTCTGGTTCTCGTTCAGATACGGAGGCGCCGTTTCTTTTATGTAGGTCGGTTTCATGGATACGAGATACGACGCACCTATCGCTGTAGACGATCAGACCACCGAGCGATCCACACCGTCCATTGGTGTCTGTCACTATCCACGACACAAATGCTAGTGAACGCGGATCTGGATCGCAAAGGTTTGTTATTTTGTTGTTCATATAGAGCTCATAAGTTGTTCTCACTACATGTCCAACTTTGGCTTCAATGGCAGCTTGGTGCTAAAACTTGAACACATGAGCCGAGAGCACACAACCATAGTCGGACAGCGATGTCTTCACCAACATTAGGGCATTCTGAATTACAGGAGGTTCCGAACCGGTCCGCCGCTCGCTATGAACCCATCTGGTCCGAGACCGAAAGGCAACAACTACAGCGCATCGCGACAAATGAATCAGCGCGGTCGGTCAAGCCTGGACAACAAACCGCTCAAATACGCCCTGAAATCGACCCACTGAGTGATAAATTCGACCTGGGCGAATGGATGAAATTCAAGGTCCAGCAATTCGAAGCCGGCGCCATCAAAAAACGCCATACCGGAGTAATTTTCAAGGATGTGTCTGTCCACGGCTCGGCGGCCGAAATCAAGCTGCAGAAGACTGTGGGCTCGATTTTGACCACACCGTTGCACCTGAAGGAGATTGCTCAGAGTCGACGGCGGCACAAGACGATTTTGCAAAACTTCGATGGCATGGTCAAAAGCGGAGAGATGTTGCTCGTTCTGGGTCGACCTGGATCTGGCTGTTCAACGTTTCTGAAGACCATGTCGGCCAATTACGAGGGACTAGGCTTAGGTCAAGGAAGCTACATCAGCTACGACGGAATCCCGCAGAAGGTGATGAAAGATGAATTCAGAGGTGATATCCTCTATAATGGGGAAACTGAAAAGCGTGAGCATCACACCGATGACATGGTCAACTAGGAAAACTAACCAAGCCTCTAAAGATTTCCCCCAACTCACAGTAGGCCAGACTCTCACATTTGCCGCCGCGGCGAGAGCCCCGCGCAGCCGTGAGCCGGGCATGTCCCGAAAGGACTATATCAACCAAGTGCGGGACGTTGTGCTGGCCGTGTTTGGTCTATCACACGCAGTTCACACCAAGGTCGGTTCGGATTACATCCGAGGCGTAAGTGGTGGTGAGAGGAAACGGGTGTCCATCGCAGAAATGGCATTGGCGGGTTCTCCGTTTTGCTGCTGGGACAATGCCACACGAGGCCTAGATTCGGCGTCGGCATTTGAATTCGTCAAAGCCCTGGAACTGAGTTCGCAGATCTTTGGCACGACGCATCTGGTTGCAGCATATCAGGCATCTCAAGCCATGTACGACATATTTGACAAGGTCATTCTCCTGTACGAGGGTCGCGAGATCTTCTTTGGCTCAACATCTCGAGCCAAGCAGTACTTCGAGGAGATGGGATGGAAGTGCCCACCGCGGAAAAGCACGGGCGACTTCCTGACGGGTCTGACGAGCCCGCGCGAGCGAGAAGTGCGGGAAGGCTTTGAATCTCGTGTGCCTAGAACAGCCGAAGAGTTCGAGAAATACTGGAGAAGCAGTCCCGAGTTCCGCGCCCTCCAGGCCGAGATTGCGGCGGCAGAAGAGAAATTCGAGCGCGAGGGTACGACGGTGGAAGAATTCATCGAGAGCAAGCGGCAAAGGCAGGCCAAACATACTCGGCCAAAGTCTCCCTATACCATCAATAACGCGATGCAAGTCATGTTGTGCACGAAACGGGCATACCAGCGCATCTGGAATGACATAGCATCAACCGCGACCACAATCGGAGGCAACATCGTGATGTCGCTTATTATCGCATCTCTGTTCTACGGAACCCCTTTTGGCACTCAGGCATTCTTCTCCAAGAGCTCACTACTCTTTTTCACGGTCCTGCTCAATTCGTTGCTTACAGTCACCGAAATCAATGCCCTCTACGCTCAACGCCCGATTGTCGAGAAGCACGCTTCATACGCCTTCTATCACCCCTTTGCCGAAGCCCTTGCGGGAGTCATCTCGGACATGACGATCAAGATTGCCGCGAGTATAATCTTCAACACCATAATTTATTTCCTGGGGGGGCTTCGATACGAGGCCGGGCCCTTCTTTATCTTCTTCTTGATCAATTTCACCGCACTACTTTCGATGAGTAGCATCTTCAGGACGGTGGCGGCCGCGTCCAAGACGATCGCTCAAGCCCTTGCTGCAGCAGGCGTCATCCTTATCGCTGTTGTCGTCTACACCGGCTTTATCCTCCCACGACCCAATATGCACCCGTGGTTCAAATGGATTACGTGGATCGATCCCCTTGCCTATGCCTTTGAAGCGCTAATCGTCAACGAGTTCCACGGTCGAAACTTCCCCTGTTCGAACGTCATACCTGCATATCCAGGCTTCACCAACGGGTCGAGCAACACATTCGTCTGTGGTGAGAAGGGCGCGATTCCAGGCGAACTGTTTGTGAACGGAGACCGGTATCTGGAAGTCAGCTTCGGCTATAAACACGCCCACCTCTGGCGAAATTTTGGGATCCTCCTGGGATTTTTATTCTTTTTCCTGATATTGTATTTGGTCGTCACCGAGTTTAACTCGCACAGCACTTCGACGGCAGAGGCCTTAGTGTTCAAGCCGGGCCATATCCCAGCAACTATTCAGAAAGGCGTGGCGGAGAAAGGGTCCCACAGCGTGATTGAGAAGCCTCAGGAACAGGAACCCGAGGACGAACTTGATGCACTCCCCAAACAAGGCGACGTGTTCATGTGGCGCAATGTGTGCTACGATATCAAATACCACAACGGAGACAGACGGCTACTAGATGATGTCAGTGGGTGGGTGAAGCCGGGGACTTTGACCGCTCTCATGGGCGTGTCGGGGGCAGGCAAAACCACTCTGTTGAACGTCCTAGCCCAAAGAGTTTCTGTCGGAGTCGTCACCGGCGACATGTTGGTCAACGGCAGCCCTCTCAATGCGAGTTTCCCCCGTAGGACCGGCTATGTACAGCAACAGGACCTTCATTTGCATACCTCGACCGTCCGCGAGGCTCTGAGATTCTCGGCTCTCCTTCGACAACCGAAGACTACGCCCGTGGAGGAGAAGCATGCCTATGTCGAGAAAGGTGAGATTGTCAAAAACCGTGTTCAATTCAACAATATGACCAACCGCTAACCCGCCTCTATGCAGTCATTCGTATGCTCAACATGACCGAATTCGCCGACGCCGTCATCGGCGTTCCCGGAGAAGGATTGAACGTCGAACAACGCAAACTCTTGACCATCGGAGTCGAGCTAGCTGCAAAGCCAACACTTCTTTTGTTTCTGGACGAGCCGACGTCAGGCCTAGACAGCCAATCCAGCTGGTCGATTGTATCATTTCTTCGCAAACTAGCCGACAACGGTCAAGCAGTCTTATCCACGATCCACCAGCCGTCCGCGACGCTATTTGAGCAATTCGACCGGTTATTGTTTCTAGCCCAGGGCGGACGCACCGTCTACTTCGGCGACATTGGCCGCGACTCGTCTTTGCTGTTGGACTACTTTGAACGCAATGGCGCGCGCAAATGCGGCGCCAGCGAGAACCCGGCCGAGTACATATTGGAACTGGCAGGCGCCGGAACTTCCAACACAGCCAACAAAATCGACTGGCCGGCCGTCTGGCGCAGCAGTCCTGAAGCCGCTGCGCTCGAGGCCGAGCTGGACGGTCTACAGCGGACATTACTCGAAAAACACGCCCACGACGTCGACCGACCGGAAGACCATGCGGAATTCGCCATGCCGCTCTGGGACCAGCTGGTAGCCGTGTCGATCCGTGTGTTTCAGCAGTACTGGCGCACGCCGACGTACATTGGTGGCAAGTATACTTTGGGCATAGCATCTGCACGTAAGTTCGGAAACTACTTGTATTATGATTGCTGGGCTTTGGTGATGGCGATGGCTAATCTTCTGTTCTTCAGTCTTCATCGGGTTCTCCTTCTACCTCCCCGGGCACTCCATCCAAGCCATCCAATCTATGATTTTCGCAATCTTCATGATGACCGCCATCTTCGCCGCGGTGGTCCAACAAGTAATGCCACAATTCATCTTCCAACGAGACCTCTACGAAGTCCGCGAACGACCATCGAGGACCTACCACTGGGTGGCATTCATGGTGTCCAATATCCTAGTCGAGATCCCCTACGCTGTTCTGCTCGGAATCATGCTCTTCGCGGCATTCAGTTACCCTGTCTTTGGAATCGGGTCGTCTGAAACCCAAGGCGCGATTTTGTTGTTTTGCGTCCAGTTCTTTGTGTTCGGATCTACCTTTGCACATATGGTGGTCGCTGCATTGCCGGACGCCGAGACAGCAGGCCAGATCGCGACTCTGTTGTTTTATCTCACGCTCACCTTCAATGGTGTCCTGTTACCTTCCAAAATGTTGCCGGGCTTTTGGATCTTCATGTACCGCGTCAGCCCGATGACGTATTTGGTCAATGGGATTGCGACCGTTATCAGTGGGAGACCTGTCCGGTGTGCGAAATCGGAGCTTGCGGTCTTTCAGCCATTGCAGGGGACAACTTGTGCTCAGTACATGCAGCGGTATTTGGAGGCTGCGGGCGCCGCGGGCGGATACTTGAATAATCCGGACGACCGAGAAAATTGTCAGTATTGTCAGTTACGTGTCACGGATCAGTTTCTCGCGGAAAGGGATATTCATGCTTCGGATCGCTGGAGGGATTTTGGTATCTTGTGGGCTTTTATCGGGTTTAATGTCGTTGCGGCGGTTACGCTTTACTATGTTTTCCGGGTCAGGGCGTGGGGGAGAAAGCGTTGAGGCTGAAACTGAGATGAGATCCGGTCTCTTTTCTAATCCACTACTACCAGTGTGTGGGTGTGTACAATGTTGTACTTTTCATATCTTCGGTCTTGGATCTTCAGACGCAATCATGTGTGCCTGAGAACATAGATACACCGGCATATAGACCCTCTCTCGTTTTACATTGTATACTATATATAATTTATTCTTTGTCCAAACATGAGGTGGTCAATTCCAACGAGGAATTATTATGAGGCACTGCAATACAGGCAAGCCATGATAGCCACCTGCAATCGAGACGGCATAGAATGTCAAGCCTAGCACTTCATGAACAAGCAACCGGTACGTCGGACTACTAGCGCAAGGCTCCATTGGAACTCCCCATTTTCCTGTTCAGAAAAGCGCGACCTTTTGCATCGGCGGAGCAATATTACTACAGTACCCAATACTACCAGCACCGTATCATGCATATACAGGTTCAATTCCTATCCTTGATGATTTCCAAAAGGGTATCACTGATGCAATGCAATCATGAGAACTGAGTTTCCTCCCAATACGCCCAGTTCACGCCAGCCGTGCCTGAAATGTCATGCTTCGCGATGCCAACACCCAGGAGAAAAACTGATTCAAGCCTTGACGGCTTCCCCGTTGGTAACCGCCCCGTTCGTGGCCTCGCCGTTGGTTGCCGCAGGGGGAAAGGGAATAGGCCCACCAGGCGAGTTAGGCAGACGGGCAGTCAACACCTCGACGCCATCTTCAGTCACCAGCATGGTGTGTTCAAACTGTGCGGATCGGCTGCCGTCCGAAGTCACTGCCGTCCAGTCGTCCGGCCACGTCTTGTCCCTGTAACTGCCCAGACAGATCATGGGTTCGATGGTGAAAGTCATGCCCGCCTTGCACTTGCCCACGGCCTTGTTCTTCGCGTAGTGCGGGACGTTGGGTGCGCAGTGGAACAGCGAGTTGATGCCGTGGCCACAATAAGTTTTGACCACGCTCAGATTCTGGGACTTGGCGTGCTTTTCGATGATGTCGCCAAAGTCGGCAATTTTGACGCCGGGCTTCACGTGCGCGATGGCCTTGTCAAGACATTGCCGCGTGGTCTCGACGAGGCGCACATTGTCAGGGTCGGCTTTGGCCTTGTCGCCGATGTAGTAGGTTTCATTCAAATCGCCATGGTAGCCTTCATGGTAAAGCGTCACGTCGATGTTGAGGATGTCGCCGTCCAGCAGGACTCGCTGATCTGGGATGCCGTGACAGATGACCTCGTTTGGTGAGGTGCACACCGATTTCGGGAAATGGTTGTAGTTCAAGGGCGAAGGGTACGACTGTTCAAGAAGAAGTGAGTTAGACCAAACACTCTCTGAGAAGGGAAAAAAAAACCATCTTCTCAGCTTACGTTTCGTTCTATGCAGGCCTTATGCACAATCTCATCGATATAGTCGGTCGTCACACCTGGTTTCGCAGCCGCGGCGGCAATGTCGAGAACTTCTCTTGCTAGCCTGCACACCTTGCGCATGCCCGCAATCCCTTTCTCATCCAAGGCCTGGATGTTGTTTTTCCTCACATATGGATATCTGGGGATGCCGTCCTTCGCCCACTCGGGCCATGGTATCGACTTGGGGACTTCCCGCTTCGGAGAGAGGGGGTAGACAGGTCGTAACGAGCCGGTGAAAGGATACGTGGGGAATGGGTTGAAGTGGCCGCTTTCTGGATCAACTTTAGACACAACATTCGGAGGGAAAAAGTTGCGTAGGGGGTTCGTACTCTTATGGACGGTCTTATGCTCAGCCTGGATTGATAATACGTTAGCATATCATTTATGACCACCACGATCATGGCTTTCGAGCCTTTTTCTCATGCAGAGGAACGAAAATGGGACAACCTACCCAACTCCGCTTGAAACATTCTTGCGAGCAGAAGAAACTATCCACTCCCGCCTCTTTGCACTTGGGACATTGTAGAGTTGAGGCATCATTCTCGCAGTTGACGCCAGGACATTTGCGCGGCTGTGCGGCTGCTTGGTCCATTTTCTCTTGCAAAGACTCTATGCTCGCTTTGTATATATTCGTCTGAGGCTGAGAGTTGCCCGGAGTTCCTTGGGGCAGGGCACCGTTCGTCTGAGGCTAACACGAAGGATATGCGATATGCGTCGATGCGGCTGCCTCGGGATCTGTGCAGACCTAAAGTATAGTCGTAGGATATGCAAGCAACTTAATATCCCCGAAAGCGATTTCGAGCCAGGATTTGACAAAGTACAATGCTGGAAGATTGCATGTATTTCGCGAAGACGCTCCGAATTCTTTCAGCGGCAAGTGCCTAAACTTGAAGTCTCGCAACTTTTTGCGGCGCCGTGTTTTCTAGACCCACGCCGCTTTTGCCGCCACTTCCACTTTGGCGTCCGTGAGGCCCGCCTCGGCCCCATCCACCATAAATTGACGGTCTCGTCCCCCGGTTTGCCATCTGTGGACCGCGCCGACCATGGCACAGGCTTTAGCAATTGGCATATTTGAACGCATTTCAAACTTATAAGCCCATATATCCTAGCAAAATTTCTATAGGTTCAGATGATACGCCCAACCAAAGGCACATATTCGACCAGCAAAACTGCTGCGAACCAAGACGCAACGACATTGACGCATCCCGTGAGCAGTGTCCATAGCAGTGGCCCAAAAGAAGCAGGGATCCTGGAAGGATTGACTCCATGACAACCCATTAAGTGGTCAAGGTACAATTCAACAATGAGGCTGACGGGCGGATGGAGCAGAAGGGCCGCATACGAGTATCTTGCCAGGTTCAGTGGCCTTCCTCGGCGTTCATTGACCACCCAGGGATCATTGAAGTACTTTGAAAATGTACTTAGTAGACACGGCAGTATCATGGCGAAGCTCGCCTCGTTCCATACTGCGTACAGCAGGGCAGTAAAAGTCAAGCCACCCGTGATAGAATCGATGTCCAGGGGCGGCATTTCAACCGATGCGAAAGCAGCAGGGATATAGACAATCACACCAAGGGATATGGTGCTCAGTGCCAATGCGCAGATGAGGCGGCTGGCTGGTCGTTTCTGGACATGAAAAAGAAGGAAAGCGCAAGGGTCGTGGACTGTTTCCGAGGCCTGACCAAGGCCATATGCGAAGATGTACTGAGGAAGAAATGCGGGCTGGAGGTTCAGAGGACCGAACACGGCGCCAACTGGCCAAGCTTGTCGGACAGTGAAACTTAGAATGATGACCGCCATCCATAACTTCAAGATGGTTGAGGCGCTTCTCTGAGTGATCATGAGATAGGAAGTCTCCGTGAGATGTGTCAGAAACAATGCAACGGTATCAAATATCGCCAGCAGTACCGTATACCAGACCGGACCTTTGATGCCGGCCAACTTGACCCAAGAATCCCAGAAGATACTCCCGCTAAGAATGAGAAACCGTGGCATTGTTCGATGCCAGGCAGCTCCATTCGGCCCAAATGCCACCATCAGCACGTCCATCAATGGGTCAATAAACAAGGTAAAGAAGACGGCCGGTATCAATAGTCGATAGATGCGTACTTTCATGAAATGCGAAGACTCTCTCCTCTGGAGGCTGCGACAAATGGCAGATCTCGAGAACCAGCCAGACAAGAAGACAAATGAGCCCATGAAGAAGCTCTGATTCAGAGCGTTCATCGTTACAAGGGCAACGGAGAAAGGAGGAAAGCATCGCGACTTGTGTGGCCAGGACCCCAACCCGCCATAAGGAATTGCTGTGTGATGGATGATGACTAGAGCCGTGAGGGCGGTTCGCAGGTTATCAAAGTCTGCCCTTCGAGTCGGTTGTCCTCTCCTAGGAGGACGACGCGAGTCTGGTGCTTTCGCTAGCGAAGTCATCTCTTCGCGGATTTGCGCATCGCTGTTGCATACAAATAGATGGCGATTTTTGGAGGGAATTGAGACGAATGCTGGGTATGCGTAGAAGGTAGGCCCCCAAGCAGGCAGTAACAATATAGTCACGTGTTCATCAGCCTCGCCGGCACAGGGATTACCTGATTCGAAAAGAATCTCTGCCCTCCAGCACGCTGTAAGTTCATTAGCTGGAATCGAACTTGGTCGAACCAGTTGTTGATGTTGAGGGGTGTTCTGAACGGGCAGCGACCTGACATGGCTACGCCTCGCTTGCAAGCAGAGACTGTAGACCTCTAGCCATACTCCAGCTCGATCAGAATCATCCTATGTCTCTCGGAGTTGACTGCTGACCACAAAATCATGCTTTTCCAGCCAGAAGAGTGGTCTATAGCCGGTTGATCTCTGCTTAGCAGCATGTATCGGCCACTGTCCTTACACCGGCGGGTTGTACAATTCGCATGTTTGAGCTGTCCATATCCCGGAAGGATATTTGAGCTCTACCAATACCATATCCTGCTTGCTAGTATCTGCTCTGATGTCGGAGATACAGAAGTGTGTTTCCAGCCGTAACTCATTCCTGCAAACATTGATCATAACCGGATCGGCCGCGGTCCCGTTGAAAATGTCTTTTCAGTCAGAAAGAGCCGCGGGAGGGTATAGAGAGGCTTTGTTGCCACATACTGAGGCATCATGCAACCTGTTGCTCCGTGTCACCGGCTTGTTTCCATTCGAATTCTATTTCCGTTAGCTTGCGAGACTCCTTCGTGGACCAAGACAAACTTACTCTGACGGCACATGGGACAGAGTCCTTTTGATGACTCTTGTTGAATCCACGTCAAAAGACAGTGCTGTGCGCATGTTAGCCCTTTAATTCTAGCAGCACGGGGCAAAGGACGTACCATATGGAATGAATGGCCACATTTTCCCACAAGTAACGTACAGTCGTCGCCTGGGAATTTGCAGGTTGGGCATGTTCCGTCAAACTGTACTCGACAGATACCGCAGACTTCATCCTCGGGCATATCCCATCTCCATGTTGCAACTGCATGCCATTTTTTGATCTTGACCTTCATATTGAGGGACCGGGCAGAGGTGATAAGACAAGCGCAGGACGTAGGCTTAATGGGACAGGCCCGATTGTAAAGGATTCTAGGTAATGCTTAGCCACATGGCCGACGGTGAGACTCGTGCGGATTGAGAGTATGGGCGCAGGACTAGAGGTCTTCTTGTTGAGGAGTTAATAATCAGTAGCATCACATGCTGTGAATCGCGGTTGAAGTGCAGCCACTGTAGTTTCGTTTGGGCTCCCGAATGCGGCCAAAAAGATAAGTTCCCACTACTAGTACGTCAAGACGCAATTCACAAGTTCCGTGCAGTGAAGTGCGTGGGGAAACCTTCGCTCGGCTAAACTGCAGAGCTCAAAGAAACCTCCAGTTCCGATATTATCGCATATCATATGCAGCTGTTGGGCCTCTGTCCATAACCTGAGACGTATGTCATGAGTTGGAATTGTTATGGGCCTTGCTAAAAACGATTCAGAGATCTACTTTGTCCCTGGCACGGTGGAATGATCGGCTGATCGTCTCAAGAATGACAATCATCACAGCAACATCGCCTGTCTGGCGTCATGGAGCCATCCGTCCCCTCGGTGCCTTGTACAGTAGAACTGCCAACTCATCCGCGTCATTCATGCGGCGCGTGTTTTCCTCCTACCTGGTCTCGCCGAAAGAGCACAACGATGCACTTGAGAAGAACGCTTCCAGCACGGGAGCAAACGCCCCTAAAGTCATCCCTATCTGTGCCGCATGGTTCATGCCCAACGATCCGGAGAAGAGAACGGGGCTTGAGGTGTTCAAGAAGAAAAGAATTCCCACGGCAAGATTCTTTGACATCGACGAGATAAAGGACAATGAATCTCCCTACCCACACATGCTACCCACCTGCGAGGCCTTTGCCGAGGCCATGTCCAAGCTCGGAGTGAACAGGCATGACGAGTTGGTGGTCTACGATACCGAAGAGCTGGGCTTGTTCTCCGCCCCCAGAGTTGCCTGGACGATGCGAGTGTACGGCCACCCCAAGGTACACATACTCAACAACTTCCGAATTTGGTGCAAGGAGGGCTACCCTATAGAGACGGGACCACCCATGGTTCCCAACATCACCAAATACCCCGTCCCTAGCTACAACACGGATATGGTGGTCAAATTCGCCGAGATGAAGACGATCGGATACGATCAGGGCAAAGAGGGTTCGGAAGAAATCCAAATTCTGGATGCTCGATCCAAAGGCCGCTGGGAGGGAAGTGAACCAGAACCCAGGCCGGGTTTGAAGTCCGGACATATGCCTGGCTCGACCAGTTTGCCGTTCCAGGAGCTTCTAGATCCTGAGACCAAGGCTCTCAAGCCACGAGAAGAGTTGCGTAAGATCTTCGAGTCCAGGGGGCTCGACCCAAAGAAGCCCTTCATTGCGACCTGTGGTACGGGTGTGACGGCAGCCATTCTCGAAGCTGCCCTGAAAGAGGCAGAGTTTGGTACCGAAGATGACCGAAGATTGTACGATGGCAGCTGGACGTAAGTTTTGTCTCCATGACGACTTTTGAGGGCGGATGCTGACTTTACACAGGGAATGGGCGTCTAGAGTCTCTCCTAACAGTGGTCTGATAGTGTCCGGTGGTGCGGCTGCATAAGGTAGCCTTTGGTGCGAGATTGAATCGGGAATCACGATCTCCTGCGAGGTTCTTGTGCAGCATCGTCTTGAGGTCTTTGATGGTTAGCGATGGCGCAACGGTTTTTTCTAGGGCACACTGCGGTCTTCATCCTGCAAAAATGAGCCGTCCATTGGGAAACTCTTCTCGTTCTCCCCTATATTCCAGACTCACATGTACTCAGCCGAGACTCGTAGCCCTTGCACGACACTGTTGCCCGCACGAAACAGTATGGTATAGGGTGCCAGTGCGGTGTACAATGTACCGTGTCTTTGGGGGAAATGACCCGTCAGGTGGAGGGCTCCACTCAACTTTTGTATAATTACATACTAAATACCTCTAGTATCTCGCCATTACATGGAATTTATTTCTCTCCACGACTACCTACAGCACCACCACAAATAAAGCCATATATCACCTATCCCACCCACCGCACGCATCGCACCGGCGCTCTCGTGTCTCTCGTTTGCCTGTGCCAGAGCCCTCTGCGTAGCAGCTATTGTCTCTGTCTCTGTCTGTGGCAGGGTAAACGGGCTCTCATCTGGCATGAGCGCAAGTTGACATGACAGCGGCCGGGAAAGATGTCGCGAAATTTCTAAAGAGCACACTACGCCTACCGTCGACCAGCTTTCCACCAAGAGCCAAACCGGCCGATATTGCCAAATATCTTCCAAGATGCACCGATGACCTGTACGCCTGGCAGCGGCAGCACCGACCTGCCAATGCCACAAATACACCAGACAGCACGAACAACTCGAACAGCACATTCGTCCTGCACGACGGGCCACCCTACGCCAATGGCGAGCTCCACGTTGGCCACGCGCTGAACAAAATCATCAAAGACATCATCTGCCGGTCGCGGCTGGCGGAGGGAAAAAGAATCGACTATGTTCCCGGCTGGGACTGCCACGGACTTCCCATAGAGCTGAAGGCGCTGGAACAACATGGATGGGAACGCGGACTCGGCCAGGGCGTCGACCCCGTGGCGATCCGCAAGGCGGCGCGCAAGTTCGCATACAAGACGGTCGAGAAGCAGATGGCGGGCTTTCGGTCCTGGGCCGTCATGGCCGACTGGCAAAACCACTGGAAGACGATGGACAAGAGCTTTGAATTGCGTCAGTTGGCCGTGTTCCAGTCCATGGCGCAGCATGGACTGATTTATCGCAAGAATAAACCTGTCTACTGGTCCCCTTCATCGGGCACCGCTTTGGCAGAGGCCGAGCTCGAGTATCGGGATGACCATGTCTCGAATGCGGCGTTGGTCAAGTTTCCACTCCTAGAACATGATATACTACCGGCACATGAAGAACCGATCCACGCTTTGATATGGACAACTACGCCCTGGACACTCCCTGCAAATCAAGCTATTGCTATCCATTCCTCCTTGCAATACAGCCTTGTCAAGTCTGCCACTCATGGCCTCTTAATTGTGGCGTATGCCAGAATACCGTATCTGGAGGAGACAATTGGTGAACAAATCCAAATGTTGGTCGAGGCCATTCCCACCGACAAGCTTTTACAGAGTACTTATTCTGGCATGAGCGAATTTGGGCCCGGAGCGGCAAACAGGCCCATCATCCATGCGGATTTTGTGTCTGCACAAAGTGGTACAGGTCTCGTCCATTGTGCTCCGGGTCATGGTATGGAGGACTACGAAGCTCTCCAGCCTCTGATACAGACTTCCAGAGTGGCCGTTAGAGCGCCGGTCGACAATCTCGGTCGCTTTGATAACACTGCATCTCTTACAGATCCCAACATTCTGGCCGGGAAATATGCTTTCAAGGAAGGAAACCAGGCTGTTCTGGATCTTTTGCAGAGACATGGCCTTCTGGTTCATCGACATGAATATAGACACAAATACCCAATTGATTGGCGGACCAAGGAGCCTGTCATGATCCGTGCAACGGCGCAATGGTTTGCTGACATTTCAAGAATCAGGAACGACACACTGCACGCCCTGGAGGCCGTTCACTTCCTCCCCGAGACAGGTAGAAGCCGTCTCCGCAGTTTCGTGGAGAACAGAAGTGAATGGTGCATTTCACGGCAGCGAGCTTGGGGCGTCCCTATTCCTGCAATCTACCACAAGGACACCGGGGAAGCCGTTTTGACGTCTGAAAGCGTCGGGCATATCATAAAGGTGATTGAACAGAGGGGAATTGATGCTTGGTGGTCGGACGCCCACGACGATCCTGCTTGGATACTTCCAGAGTTGGTGTCATCAGGTTCTTCTGAATATGTTCGTGGCATGGACACAATGGACGTGTGGTTCGACAGCGGGACAAGCTGGACCTTTATGCTTAAGGATGTCAACGGCTCTATCCAACCCAGAACTCAGTCGGCGCCGCTGGCTGATGTTTATGTTGAGGGAAGCGATCAGCACAGAGGATGGTTCCAATCGAGTTTGCTTACCAATGTCGCCTACCAGAAAACCTTGCAGCAGAATGCTACCGCGTCAGACCCGGTATCATGCCATGCGCCGTTCCGCGTCCTAGCCACCCATGGCTTTACCTTGGATGAGCATGGCAAGAAGATGAGCAAATCCCTTGGGAATACTATCGCGCCTGATCAGATAATAACGGGTATTGAGGCAGCTTCGAAGACATCGTCAGCTACTGCGAAGACGCCGCCGAAGACCAAGGGAAAGCGTGAGCACCATCCGCTGGGCCCGGACGCATTGAGAATGTGGGTGGCCAGTAGTGAATGGACAAAGGATGTCGTCATCAGCGAAGTGGTCATCAGTTCTGTGCACAATGCCCTGGACAAGTATCGTCTTACCATGAAAATGCTCCTGGGGATGTTGGGCGATTTTGATCCGCGGATGCTCGTCCCTTATGAGAATATGTCATGCCTCGACCAAGTTGCAATGCTGCACCTGTACAAGGTTTGCCAGTCTGTGCGAAAAGCGTATTCGGACCTTGAGTTTCACAAGGCCGCTTCTGCCATGAATAAATGGGTGGTGGCAGACTTGTCAAGCTTTTACTTTGAGGCGGTCAAGGACATAATTTATTGCGACAAGCAGGAAAGCCCAAGGCGGCTGAGTGCTCAAACAGCACTTCACCATATCTTCTCTCAATTCCAACACATGCTTGGGCCGATCGCACCACTGCTGGTCGAGGAAAGCTGGGAGCACAGCCCTGAGAGCTACAAGTCAGAGATTGAGCACCCACTGAAGCTGGTTTGGGCCTACCCTCCAGAAGAATGGTACCGTCAGGACTTGGAGCGGGCGTTGCCGACGATTATGGCCATCAATTCTGGTGTCAAGGCCGCTCAAGAAACGGCTCGTAAAGAGAAGCTTATGGGCCAGTCGCTGGCATCGGACGTCAAAGTCCAGCTCCGCCGAGGAGTTGAGCTGTCACTCATCCCTAAGGACACTCTGAAGGAGATCCTGGTGGTCTCGGAAGTCGACGTAACTTGGCCGGAAGTTGTTGATAAGGCGGAGGAAGTTACCGCTGTTTCCGGCCGAGAATGGGTGCGTTCGGCTGATATTGTATCAGCAGAAGGGCAGATCCTCGGAGTTGCTCATGTCATGAGTCCCCACGGGGACAAATGTGCCCGTTGCTGGAAGTATGTGGTTCAACCTGAAGAACTGCCAAAGGAGTCCGAGTCCAGCGACTCCGAAAAACTGCCGCTCTGTGGGCGGTGTCTGGATGCTGTTGCGCAGTACCCAAAGTAGAGGACTGTACACCCATTGCTAATAGGTAGATATTCGTGTACAATTATTGTGTACTATCATGCTCTCTTCTCACTGGCGAACCTTATAACAGACCGCTCAAAACCCCGTAGTGCCAGTGTATGGACTGAATGTCAAGCCAGGCCATCATGTGATGGTCGATCCCAGGACATTGCATCAGTCACGAGTCAGGCCAGCTGCCGGTGCAGAAACTGGGACGATCATCGCCGCACTGCAGGGCGGTGCAGTAGTGCAGCGTAGGTCATGGGATGCAGTGTTTGTTCTTGACAGCTGAGGCTCAAGGGCAGTAGTAAAGTCCTCAAAATGTGAGTTGCATCAAACCATACTTGCTTTCACCTATCTGCTTATACCGCTCTGTAAATCCTTGATTAGGCGAATAGTCCGGGGGCGAGAGCAGGGATACTAGTATGTGCAGGGATCTGACTCGCATCGTTTCCAGCTGTATACAATTCCGTGGTTGGAGACCGGTCAGGGTGTTCTCCCAATACAATGCTCCGCAGACATGCATGGAAATTATTAGACCTCTTGTACCTATACAACATTGTACAGTGGTAGTACTGTTCAGAACGAGAGTCGATAGCAAGGCAGTATCGAGACAGCGAACTCCCGGACTTGTATACTTAGGAAGTTGCAGCAAAATAATATCATAATAATAGTGCAGGCCCTCTGGATTCACGGCTCAGTTGTACAATGTTGTACATCGTAGAGCAGGAGCTTTCGGCAGCAGGTCGAGGTCGCAGTCTCCACAAGGACTGCCGACGTCATTCGTGACGTCCAACTGGATCACTGTGGACGAGCACCTCGAATACCAGTGCAGAACATGATATGATGCAGAATGTCCAAATTCGCGGATTCGAGTCGCTGAGGCCGCCAAAGACGAAGTGCCATTCCTTTCTGTTCTTCGCGTTTAGAGGTTGTATGTGCGTTTGAGAATCCCGCAAGACGCGACTAATGGATTGTTCTCGTGATTGCTTTGCAGTTCGCTGTTGGTAGAAAACCAGACACGGTGTGTCAGCGCTGGCGGTCCAGGCCGCAGCCAGACGTGTCACTTGAATCCTCAGCAGGGAACTTGACTTGTCACGCGTGGCTGGTGCAAGCAGTTGACGAGATCATTGGCCCCTTCAGGCTGGCGCCTGCGCAAGCTAGGCCGCAATGGGCGCTACCAAGAAAAAGATCCCAGGAAGGTGCAGTATCGAAACATGGGGCGCCCCTGCCTCGGAGGGCCATGTTAAAGGTGTGCCCCGCAACTTGTGAACGATCTTCCCACTCTCATCGGACGCATCGGACATCTGCATTTCAAGCACTGCCTAGCCAGGAATCGAACTTGAAGCTCCTCCGAGAAGAAACCAAGGGCATGCAAGTCCGATCCAACTGATCACCACTGAAAATGCTCAAGACGTAAATATTCTGCATCGAACTAGGCGGCAGCACAGTGGCAATTGTAGCAGTTTGTGAGATGGGACACTGCACTGCTTCAATGGAGCGGCAGACAGGCGGGGGTGCTGTGAGCCAATGCCGTCAACGCGTTGGCAGGCCGATGGACGGTGAGGCGAGTTGCTACTGGAGCTCCTTCGTCATCACTCCTGTTGTCCTCGTCCTCGTCCTTCCTGCTACCGACCACAACCGACTGCCCGCTGGCAGGTGACTTCTTAGGAGTAGTACTTATGTCCACAGCTTCTTCCTGACCTCCCCTCTCTGTACCACTGTATTTCCTTCAACTGCTGCTTTCCATATTCCATCCATCCCAACAACGGTAAAACTGCGTACACATCTCCATCTATTCCACGGCCTACCGTTTTCTCGCCGTGTCTGTTGTTGCCATAGCATACCATAAAGTTTCATTGACACTTGTTTCTTCCACGATCTGAATTCACGTCCACAATGATCGTCTATCCAGATATGGCGAAGACGGGGCTACCGTCGGCCACCTCGTCGGTGGCTCCCATCCCTACCGTCATTCCGAACCCTACAATCTATGAACAGGCAGGAGTTGTAGGGCACCGAACCCTCTGGTATGCTAAGTTGTCCTCATAAGCCGGGTGCAGTTGCTCACAAAGTGGCAGGGTCGTAACGGTTCTGATGGCCCTTTCATCGCTCGCCTTCTATGGCATGGCTTACCGCGTGCCTGTGGTATGTTGAGGCTTCCCAGCAATCCGCTTCCGCCTTTACTGACCAGTTGCAGCAAAAACGGCTGTTCCATATCCTGACTGCCTTCATCACCACCTTCGCCTTTCTGTCCTACTTCGCCATGGCGACTGGAAGCGGATTCGGCTATACCAAATATACCGTGACTGAGTCTCACAAGAAGGTGCCAGACACACACCAAGTGATCAACCGTGAAGTCTACTGGGCAAGATATGTTGACTGGACCATCACAACCCCGCTTCTCCTGCTGGATCTGGCTCTCCTGGCCGGTCTTAGTGGTGCCAATATTCTGGTTGCCGTTGGAGCCGATGTCATCATGATCTTGACGGGTCTCTTTGCTGCCTTCGGCCATAACAAGGCACAGACATGGGGCTGGTATGCATGGGCTTGCATTGCTTATTTGGTCATCATCTATCAACTCGCCTTCAATGGACGGCAGGCTGTGGCCAACAAAGACAGCAAGACCAAGGCCTTCTATGGCTCCATTGCCGGTTTCACTTTGATCGTCTGGACTCTGTACCCTATGTAAGCGTCTCATGATTGGTCATCCCGAATATCACAGCTGCTGACAAGAAATATAGCATCTGGGCTCTTTCTGAGGGTGCCCATATCATCTCTGTTGATGCCGAGGTCATTGCATATGCTGTTTTGGACATTCTCGCCAAACCTGTGAGTAAAGCCGCTGGCTTCCGATAAAACATTCTAACTGGTTGCAGGTATTTGGTTTCTGGCTCTTGTTCACACATGACAGCATGGCTAGCACGTAAGTTGTCTCCATCAGGTTACTGTGAGCGACACTGACAACTGTAGCACCCCATCCCTTGAAGGATTCTGGGCCCATGGCTTTGGCACCCAGGGAGCTCTCCGCGTCGGGGACGACGATGAAGCTTAAGGGCATTTGCCGATGTCCGAACCCAACTTTGGCCGAGGATTCCCCGCAAAACCCTCTCCCAAAGAAGCAGGACGATAATGAGCACGGGGGACGCGGTGCAAGGATAATGACGAAGACGGAGGAGGAGTGGTAATGAGCGCCGATGCATATTGGGATCACCTTTGAAGTGCATCACCGTGCAGGCTAAATTGATCACAAGCATTTTCTTTCTCGAGCTCGGCCTTTGTCTCTCCGCAGCAGCTCGATGTGAACAAGCTAAGCGAACCAATTGTACACTAGCAACCTTTATTTCGCTGCATGACAAAAATCTGGCTGAAGGTTGCACGGCACAATGACAATTTTTTTTCCAGAGCCAGATCATCCGTCTTTCACCCTACATCTCTCATGATATATGCCATTCCCCAGGTTTTGTCACTTCCAACCGACCATAGCCATGTCTGTGGTGTGCTGCGAGGCGTTGACGCCGGCCCAGGCTAGGAAGAGCGAGTCGATCGCAGCCTCCCGCAACGATGGTGCGTCGGTTACAGTGTAACTGCACTGAACCTTTGAAAATCGCCATTCCCAAGCCTTCGGGTTCTTCGGGAACGCCTGACAGTGCTCACCTGGCGGTCAGCTCTTCGGGCCGTGCCGGAAATGGGCAATGGACTCTTGACTTCTTATATCTTGCCTAATGATATGTCTCTCTTTTCTCGGAGGAGGGTGGTTCATCTGTTTGAATCTTCTGTTGAAGTTGCGTGCTGGCTCAGACTGAGAATTATAATTACGCCACGACTTTCCTGCTGCAACCAAGAAAACAAACATTGGTGTTGACCAGGGATCAAGCATGCACTTCTCACTCTGTTTTGCCACCGCCTTGCTGCTGGCATTGTTTGGCCAGGTCTATGCGCTCCCACCACCATTCACTATCAGGTACGTACAGGGACATATAATTCTGTGACTGGGGCCACCAGTTGTCTCTCCTGGAGGCACACTTTGATCTGGTGTTGGTGGTCATAGTAGGGGGCAGTATTTGAAGACCTCTGCTTGAGGTGTATCCAATACTGAATTTTGAGGCTGACCCCCCGAAACCTCTGGCAGTGTCGGATCGATTGTACCAGGCTCTATCATACCAGGCGGACCGATTAAACCGGACACCACTCAACCAGGTGGGCCGATTATACCAGACACCACGTTGCCAGGCGGTCCAATTGTCCCAGACACTACGGTACCAGGCGGGCCTATTCAACCAGACCCAACTCAACCCGGCGGACCCATTCATCCACGCCAAATCACTCTGCCAGGCGGATCTTTCCAACCAGGCGGACCTATTCAAACTGGGGTATCCTTCCAACCAGGCGGACCTATTCAAACAGGAGGGTCGTTTCAACCAGGCGGACCTATTCAACCAGGCGGACCCATTCAGCCACGTCAAGTCACTCAACCAGGCGGCCCCATCAAACCATGTACATATACCGCGTACACCAAGCCGGACGTCAACTGGGGCCCAACATTTACCAGTTACACGCTGACGACGTATACGTACAAGCTGTACGATTGCGGAGGCTGCACTGCGATTGAAGTGCTTCCGCTGTTTCATATTCTCGTGGTAAGGTTCCTACCTACCTTATGGGGGAGAGGGTGGTGGTTCCTCTCCTCGCCCTTTCATTCTTTTTTCTCGGGGGGTTGTGCTTTACTAACTCGGTGCACCATGGGTGCTTGTTGCTTGCTTATAGGAAGTCAAATACTCCACTACTATCACAGCGTCGACGGCGACCACTGTGACAAGGGCCGAATGCGATGGGATCGTCTCAATCCAAGCAGCGTGATCGTGGCCATGATGCTATGAGGTGGCGAGGAGAGAAACCGATTTTGGGAGTGTGACTGACCACTGAGTGGCTGATCAGACTATATGTCTTTAATTCGTTCGGTGGACATCATGTGTCCCGAAGTCGAATGCAAGTATGTTGATGGGGCCCAGCGTAGTTGGTGACTGAGAATTGATGATGTTGATGAGCAAACAACTTGAACCAAGTAAAGCAAGAGGGACGAACAGGAAAGACAGAAAAAGGAAACGGAAACGATTCCAGCCGGAGAGGGATATATCGGTCCGGTCTATTGTGGCTATACTAGTATGTTAGTCCAGCTATCTATTTTATCTTACCTAGGTGACCCGGGTTTTGTTTCGCGATTACTGGTACGCTTATCTACCATGGAAGAGAACAACAGCCCGAGGCAAAGGAGGGAGGGAGTATCTATCTCTTATTAGCATGGATCTAATCGGTTGTGTCTCCTATGCTCCTACTTTCAGTCCATTGTAGAAGATATCCAGCACGACCACTAGTATCAGCTCATATCATGCTGTTCGTGTTCGAGAGCTGCTGCTTTGCTACCGCGTTTACCATAGCATTGCGAGATCTTGGTATCCACACCAAGCGCGGAGGCAGTTGGTCGGTGGCAGCCATCTGCGGCGGGACGGTCTGGCCCAGCACGACGGGTGCTGTTGTCACGGCTCACAACGCCCATTTGCCACACTCATTCTGAGGACTAGGCATATGTGGGCATGGTATTCCCTACCTATGTCAATCTGTATCAGCGCAAGAGGATGGATGTGCACCGGACCGCAGGGGTTCATATCGTCCCCCGGAATGAGAAGGAGGTTGAGCTTGAGAGGGACCGAAGCATCCTGCCTGGGTAGCCGCGGGCGGTTGGGATCCATGGGGAGGATGTCAAATAATTGATCAGGTCACATGTAGTATGGAATGAAGGTGGACAGTCAACTATATGTTGGACAATACCTGTACAGTCCAAGATGATGACCGAAGACCTGAAGACAAGCCAGCCTTGGACAACTTGAAGGGGCAATTTTCAGGCGTTGGAATAGCCATCCAAACGTGATCTGGAGACAGAAGGTGTTTGTCGGCGGAGCAAACGTGTCCTACCTTAATAGAACTTTGTCACAACTCCTCCATAAAATGGTGTCCTTGTACTGTGGTGTGCTTGATGTGCCTTATGTGTGTCTGTCGATAAGAAAGCTGTGATATGCACACGTGATCCTATCAACTGCACTTTGTGGCGGTGCAAGGCTGAGCCAATCCTTCGCCAAAGTCTCATTAAAGCCTCAGTGAAGCCTCAACGAACTCTGCCTCCCTCCCCCGAGGCTTCGATGCCCAAATGTGAAGTTTCACCAGCCAGAAAGTGGAGCACATCAACAGTAGTCGGTGGCCAAGGGCTCCATCAAGCATCTGGAATTGACATGACACTCAATTCCACTCAAGCGCCCGAGCCCGGTCTATCTCCACCTGGATATGGGACTTTCAAACATACGACAGCCTTCCGCAGCCCCTTTGCTTGCGAACTACTACCACTCCTCATCCAGCCCTGAGTAGAGCTCAATCCTCTCACAGCGAGACCGCCAGTACCACTTCGCCGTTCTGCATACTTGATTTCGTTCCCTGCGACTGGCGCCTTTTCCGGGCGTCTTCCCACTAAATCAGACCCAACCGCTCACACAAAACAACCCAGCCCCAAACAGCCGCCTCTCCTTCACAGCAAACGCCCTGCAAGCGAGTTGGACAGTGAAAGACGTCGCGGGGCTTGGTCGGAGAAACAAAACAAACGTGTCCTTCAGGACACAACAAGCCGACAGGCCTCCAATAGCAGCATACCATGCCCAAGTCTGCCGGCTGCGGGCCGGTGCAGTCATCCGTGAACATGCTAGTCCAAGAGATGGTGCTGGACAATGACTCGAACCAGTCTCAAGATATCTATGAACGACACTTTGCACCAATGAAATCCTCCAAGTCGGACGTTCCATTTCCTCCACTAGCCACGCCGCGAAAGTGCGCACCTTCAGTCACCTGCGTTACAGACCGGCCGGAACAGGATGGGCAGTCAATGGGAGTCCTCACGGTCAAAGCGACCAGCCTCCCACTATTGCAGTCAGACAATGATAGGATGGATGCGTCGATGCAGAGCGACGGTGATGGAGACGTTGTTCAAAGGCCTCCTGAACAAGCCAAGGCGTCGCTGCACGACCTTCCTCTCGAAGTGCAGGGCAAAGTGCTCGACTTCATCTTCGGAGACATGCACTCGGTATATGCGGCCAGCACATCACTACGAGGAAAGAGCGTCTCTTCTCTCATGCGACATCCTCGAAGAAAAGCAGTTGCGGACCTGGCTCTTGTGTCGCCTGCATGGCGAGACCTGGTCCAGGAACGAATATACCGACACATCAAGATCAAGGGCACTCGGGCGGGCCTCGCGGAATCAGCGGACTTTTTCCTCAACCACATGCACCTAACCAGGCTCGTGCGTCATATCGAGTTCTGGGTTCCCGTATGGGGAGACAAAGCTTCTTTAGAGGGTCAACGATCATCAGGTCCGATGATGGGAGGAGGGGGAGCAATGCCAGAGCGGAACGGGGGGTATCATCATTTCGCCAGCCAGACGAACGAGAGTCTAATCCCTGCCAACGACTTCTTGGGATACGGCTTCAAACTGTCGGCGTACTCGGCCACACTGTCGGAAATCTTCAGCCACATCAGCTGTTTCTTCCCGAACTCGCGCGTCTTCACCCTCGAAGGCGGCCACTGCAAGCAATCCAACATGATCCGACACTTCCCCCAGACTCTCTTCCCAGATCCCAACCAGCAGCTGGAGAAACTGCCCAACATCCGAACGTTCGCCATGCGCGGCGCCTGGAACATCATGCGGAATTACAGCCACTGGAAGACGATTGAGTTGGCCCTGCCCAACGTTGAAGAATGGCACTGTGGCTACGCAAAGCCTCGATTCGAAGCAGATGCCACCATCAACACCATTCTGCAGAACTTGCCTTTACAACTGCGCCACATCAACATTTCTCTCGATGGCATGTACAGCAAGGATCCGATGACGGTGGGATCCAGCTATTTGCCCGGTCAACCTCATTTGTGTGAGCGGTTAGGCAAAGCCCTGCCACATCTGGAGTCGTTGACGTTCACCGGCAAAATCTGCGAGTGTCTCTGGACTTCGGCATTGGCCGCGCTCTCCGGCGTCAAGGAAGAGCCGCGGCTCAAGTCGCTGGAGATTGTGGTCAAATCCTGCTGTCGGCAACGAGTCACGGATGTCGACCCGCAGACCGGCGAGACGATTGTCCACGAGCTCGGGGGCGTCATGGCTGACGGCGCAGGTATCACCAACCTCGTCTTCATCCGGGCGTTCGAACGCTTGGTCATGCATACCGTTGAGGCATTGCCTCGGTTTCCTCACCTCAACTACGTCCGCATCCGTTTCATCGACCTCGATTCTCCTTGCACCTTGCTCAACCCGTACTGGCAGCTTGAGGGGAAGAAGGTGTATGGGATCTGGAACGAGGAGATTGTGGAGCGTTTGAGTGAAGTGAGGCCGGATGTCGGGTATGTGGAGCTAGGCGATGGCATTGAATATGCTGGCTATCATCGAAAATCAAGTTCAGGTACTCCCAACGTCACCGGGGTTGGTGACAGCAACAACAACAACAATACGACAACTGGCGTGGGAGCAAGTAGTCCTACTTCGAGTTCGAGCGCCATGCTTGGGATCGGCTCTACTTGCAGTCTGTATCCGAAGCTGAAGCCGCGAAGCATCAAGACAAGCAGTTACAAAGTCGTTGCCGATGCGAGATAGCGTCCCACATCCAACAACGAGGTGACAGCGGGTGCAGCGTCAGTGGGTCCAGCCCAGTGATGGCGGGTCAGGGTGACGAAGAACTGAAGTTTTGAGATGTGCTGCCTCCAAGCACAAGCTGAACTTGAACAATATTTCAACCACCCCAATGATGTCGGGCATGCACGAGGGCAGCCTGGAGGAGTGCATTTTTCATCGCGTTTTGAATTCTGGCGGAGGCGTGGGGCTACGGGGACTGTTTTCGCGAGGCGTGACCGGGTGGGTGGGCATGAATGAAAGCATGGGTTTGTTGTTGGCTAGGATTCAACATCACTTCAAGGGGCGTTTTCTTTTTTTTGTTTTTCCTTTGCAGAAAAGCTGGTATGGGGTGGGAATTGTACTAGCGGCTGCCCTGAACTTGAACGAAAAGCAAGGACGGGACTGAGCGGAGCGGATAGGAGTCACCTTGCTGAAGCATCACCTTCTGTGCGTCTGGGGTTAGTGGCTGGCGGTTTGCTTTGCAATTGTCAGAGACAAAGGCGAGGCTGGAGGGATGAACAGAACTCAATTTGGGCAAAAGGGCTGATTCCAAAATCGAAGTAATAAACTCATTGAGCAATCGAAACTTGACTGCATCGAGGTGGCCGATATCCTTGACTTTATTACAATTTCCAAAAACTCGCGTAAACCTACAATACATGCACACAAAGGATATCTAACGGGTACTATCTCAGGACAACTGCACAAGGTGCATAGCGGAGGACAGGCTCATGGGTAGCCGAATTAGTCCAGCCATGCGCCGTTGTCCAATCCGAGCAGTTCAGGTACTCTTCAACACCCTGTTCCGCGGGCCTAGATGGACACTCGCAATACCGCTGATGTCGAAGTTGGTGTAAGTCGCCGGTCTTGTTGGAGATGTTTCATCATCTGCGCTTCCTTTTCCAGAAGTGGATTTTGTCGATGTGAACGACGTGGTCCCCGAGCCCCGAGCTGGTGTGCCCACAGGCTTATTGTCGACCACGTCCTGGGCCACGAGGCCGAGAATCCAACAATTGATGGCGAAGAAGGCCAAACCTGCGGCAAACAAGCCCGGCACAAAGGTACTCCTGCCCAGGAATTCGAGCTGGTAGGCTTGCTGTAACCAGGCCGCCTGGCCCAGCACCCAGAGCAGCAGGGCGGTCAGGCCGAGGGCGGGGCTTTTGGTCAGCGACGAGGCCGGCATGTATAATGGTAGGAAGATCAGATACCACAGGAAGTACTGGGAGGTGCAGACCTTGTTGAAGGTCACAAAGGCAAGGGTCTGGGCGAGCATCGCGGCCGGCAAGTCTCGTTTGGCCATTGCAAGTGGAATAAGACAGGCCGAAAGAAGTAATTGAGGGACAAAGGCGAGAGATTCGGATGAGAAGGCGGCCGCTGATGGGGAGGAAGATCCGGCAGAAGCAGCTCCGGCTCTCTGGGCCGAGGAAAGATATAGAAGAGTGTTATATGGAGAAAAGTTGTGTCGGTGGTCGATTCGGGTGAGATGGTGGAGAAAAGTGTGCTGCAGGAACGGTGGGCCGTACATGTTGTACATTAGCACGTTGAGCGCAGTGAAAGTGAGCAGCGACGTGGAAATCAACAAGATTCGGTCCTCGTTGAGGAAAGTGGCCAGTTTCTGTATGGTGTTGTTCGATGAGGAGTTGGGTGTCGTAGTAGTTTCAGGGGTTTCCAGCGCCCATAGCATGCTGGCTCCGTAGATGAAGGGGTAGATCTTGAAATGTACGCAAACTCCTAGTAAAGTCCCCGACAGTGCGATCTGTTTCGTCTCAAAGGCCCAGAGGAGCGCCATGACAAGAACGCAGAGAAAACCTTCGCTGCTCCCCCGTGTGCTGATGTTGGCGACCATCGGATTCAGAAGCCACACGCTGGCATATTTCAGCGCTTTTGTTTCTTCCAAACCCCGTCTCTTCATAACCATCAATATGAGCCATCCTGCAATCAGGTCCGATAGTGCAAACAGCACTTTGCCAAAATGGAACCAGTGCCCTCCCCAACTGGTCGGGAGGAGAATCCATGACAACAACGGAGTGTACCGGTACGTGGCCCGATCGTATGGAGATGAATGCCTCGCAACGGCCCGCGCGGCATCGGTAAAGACGTAGTAGTCGATGTCGGTGTATTTGATGGCTGACACAGAGTCTTGGTACACTCCGTACACCAGCAGGATTGCCCGTAGGAGCAAGGCTGTGGTGAAGACGGAGGTGCGGGAGGAGAACAAGGATTTAAGTAACGACGGCATTATGTGGGCTGCATGACTTTGGCTGGTTCCTGTTCCCTGCTCTTCAGACGGATGACAACCTCATACCGACCCTGATGAAGGAGGAGCGTGAAAAGGAGGACTGCACGGCGGAGGGCGTACTGCCTGCTTACACAACGTTCGTATACTGCAACCTCAATGTGATCCGAAGTTTGAACTTGAAAGTTCCCATGGCACGCGAGCGTCATAAAGCGGCGAAGGTCAACGTCAGGCATTTGAAAAGCGGCAGGACACTCTTCACTCCCGTATCTCTGCATTCAAGTTTACGCCGCATTTTTATGCTACAGCCTCGTCGTCTTCATTGTTGCATGTTCGATCGCCAGAAATGGGAGGAACGAAAAGATCGCACGACGGGATGGAGATCGAACGCTCTTCCGCATCAGCGGAACAAAGCTCCCCATTCATTCCTATGTTTGAGTTCTTCCGCTCAGAGTTGGACGAGCATCATGACCGGAGAGAGCGCATTATCAAAGCATCCCGCGATGTCACTGCACAGAGTAAGAAGATGTGAGTGTACGCTGCTTGAGAGTTATGAGGAATCTACTGACAATCCTCTAGCATATTTGCTCTACAACGGTATGCTCTTGTGAAGAAGCCCTTCAGCGTAACTGGATAACTTAAGTTTGCAGGGTGAGAGAATTGGGGCAACCCATTCATGCATCGATCCTCAAACAAATCACACCAATGCACTCAACGATCAAAGATCTATTGCAAAGTATTGTGCCAGACCTGCAAGGACTCAATGCTTTCCGCTACTCCAACAACATTTCTGGCGGCATCCAGGAGTTCATGGAAGCCGTGCTTTTCCAGCACTATCTAATTACGCAGGGCGTCATGACCTACGAGGAAGCAGCCGCTCAATTGCCCCAAGGCCTAACGTTGACTTATGAGGACTATGTTCTCGGTCTATTCGACATGACCGGAGAACTCATGAGGTTTGCCATCACATACATGGCCACCAACGGGCGGTTACCTGGTTCGGATGGGGGATCAAAGGCCAATATTCTTACAGATATGCAATCTTTAAGAAGTGAGCTAGAAGCTCTTGACCCTCATGGAAGTTATGCGCTATCGAAGGACTTTGGCCAGAAACTCAGGGTCACCAAAACTTCCATCGAAAAGGTGGAGAACGGCGTGTACAGCATGATTGTGAGAGGCAAAGAGCGGCCAAAGGGATGGCGGCCAGACGTGTCTCTAACGGATGGGCCAAGAGAAGCGGACGCGGTGGAAAGCTATTGAAAGAGTTGTTTCTTTCTGGAACTTCTGGTACTTTGCCATGTTCTTCATCAGTCAAAATGCTGGGCTGCGTCGAGAGCTGTTGAATCAATCGCGTCCGATATGGAGGGACTGCGCTGAACTGATACCCATTTAAGTAGTGGGTTGCTCACATGCTCTCTGCACCTATTCTTGGTCCTTAAGCGGATTCGCGTCGGGCTCCAAGATCCCTTCCTTGACCAACTGCTCCGGCTTGGGTCTCTGTTGGATCTTCTGTTCCAGGCTATCCGCTCTCATATGCTTGTCAAGGCTGCGTTGGGTCGCCTGTAGTGCGGGTGCGGCGTTGGAGTCTGGGAGAATGTTTCCTGTTATGTTGTAAGAACGAGCGGTTCCCATTCTCATTCTGGGGATGAGTGTCCTTACGCTCAATCAACTCCTCCCGATCCGGCCGTTTCTCGAGTTGCTTCCTAAGATTGTCAGAGTGTTGCTGACGTTCGAGTTCATGCTGTTTGGCCTGGAGGGCTCTAGTGTGAGTCAGTACACTTATTCCAACCAGATAGCACCATGGCCTTTCGGGCAGGCTACTAACGGAGCGGCATTTGTATCCAGCAGAATATGGCGATTCTTCAAGTCCTGCACATCGGGGCGGTGTTGTAAATGTTTCTCGAGTGAGTTGCGGCGCTCAACCGGAGAAATCGGCTTGTCGTCAACCGCGAGGTCGGGGGTATTGTCTTCGTTGAGTGTGGTGGACATTGCGAACTTTGGATGTCGTCTTCAGATGGAATTGAGGGGCAATGCGGGTTGGTGAGTGAGCAGGGAGGGCAACAAACAATTGAATAAATGCTTGCGCTGGTGTATCTGACGTCGCAGTCACGGGCCACTTCATTCGCAGGGATGAAGATGGGTTACCAATGACGATAGCAGCCCCGACGATGGGATTTCGGGGGATGCTAATCGAGATGCCCTGCTGATCCGCTCCCTAGAATCCACCGCATTGCACACAATAACCGCCCGGAACTCCACGCGTGCCGCTGCCACTGACAAGCTGCGGCGCCGATGCGCCTGAGGGACATTGGGTTTGGAGCTCTCTTGGGGGTTCGCGACTTGCACCCCGCCTGCGGTAGCCTGTGCCTGCTAGCACTGGACAGTAGTACAGTACGCCAACGGTCATCGTGGCGCCAACTTGAACTGCGGGATCGATTTCTTTAGGCATCACTGCCGCTACTCATCGCCTTCACTTCAGCTCGCGTGTCGCGTCACATCAAACATCCAGCTTGCCTGAAAATCTTCCCACCAAGCCGTTCGTGAGAAGGCTGTACCAACGCCCATCCCTCTCTACCATGTTCCTACCATGTGGATCCTCGAATCGAACGATGACTTTCTCCAAGGGAAGCGTATGTGGCTCAAGCCCGGACAGAAATATCTTTTTGGGCGAGTGAAAAGAGAAGGCGTCCAATTTGCGATTGACCATAAAACTGTTTCAAGAAAGCATTTTATCATCATCGTGGATCCTGTGAAGGAAGGGGATGCGGCACATATCCATGCCCGTACGAGAATCAGTATCGAGGACCAAAAGTCCAAGAGTGGAACGTCTGTAAATGGTGAAATAATCAAAGGAGTTTCCAAAGAATTGAAAAGCGCCGAGAACTCAATACGACCAGGAACATGTCCTCATGAGATCATCATCAGATGGCAACCATGCGTGCTCACCTTCAACCTTCTCAAGAAGGAAATCAAGGCCGGTGTCCTCAAAACCAAACAGACCAGAGTTCAGAATCTGGACATCAAGGCCATCAGCGACTTTGTGTTGGAATATACTACTCATGTCGTGGCAAACAAACGAAATACCGCGAAAGGATTGCTGGCTCTGGTCACAGGCAAATACTTGGTGGCTGACTCGTTTATTGATGCTTTGGAATACGCGGCAACCCCGACGAATCTGAGCCAGGAAGAGAACCTGTCTCTACTGGAGAGTGACTTTGACAGTGCATGGCCAGACGCAAAAACTCATCTTCCTCCGCCCGGGAGGGAGCCCACTATCCGCCCGCCGGAAGCATACCAGCCTGATACGTCTCGGAGTACTGTCTTTGAGGGCTACACATTTGTGTTCGGTGACCAGACACAATACGATAACCTTCTGCCAGTCATCACCAGTGGTCATGGAAAGGCACTGTTATTTAAAGTGAGCAATGGCGAATCGACCGCGGACGATTTGCTCGACTTTCTACAGAAAGCCGCAGGAAGGAAGCATACAGGCGGAACCAGGAACTGGGCGGACGCAAGGATTATTCTAGTGCGATGGCAAGGCAAGGACGATCTGCAAGATTGGACAAACGCCTTGATCAACCAGGCTGCTCTTCAGATGGATCAAAGAGCCATTGACCAGTCAGAGTTCCTCGAAGCAATACTGGCGAACGATGCTAGTTTATTACAGCAGAGCATTCCTTTCGAAAGCACCACGGATGGTAGGGTAGCTCCTCCACCGTCCGCCGCGAATACAGTGGTCACACAACCACGAACAGAGTCCGCAGAAATTGGTGAACAGCGTAGATCGTCGCTGAGAGCAGAAGCAGCACCATCCGAAGCAGCTCCCAGCCAGACTTCAAGAGTAGACTCCGTCCCAAAATCTGGCCCGTCCCAAGTCTCGTCTGTTGCTGCTTCTCAGGCCAGCAATGCCCAACAAAGCATAACCCGCCCGTTCCAAGGGCCCCGCTTCACTCAAGGAAGTCGGTTCAAGAATTTTGACGATGACTTCGACCCAGACGCTGTTGTGGAATACAATGACGACGAACAGGTCGCGGACGATTCCGAGTCCGGCGCCGATACAACGGGTCGCACGCCGCTCTCAAGCATAAAAGAAGAACCACAGTCAGCAAAAAAGCGCCGGCGAACTCCATCCGAAGAACCTGAGGATGCATTTGCCGAGGAGATTGATAACCTCCTGCCAGCGGCGACTGCCTTCAAACGAAGGAAACTCGCTGAAGCACGAATCAATGGAAATGTTGATGTTGATGATGTCAGCAACAGAAATGTACCGCGCAAAGCAGCAGCAGCAGCAGCAGCAGCGAAGAAAGTGAAGAAAGAACGAGAGATAGATGTGCGTGAAATTGCCAGAGCGCAACGCGAGCAAAATGAGGAGGCGGCCAGGAGAGAGGAAGAGGAGCTAGAGTCTGCACCACCCTTCATCGAGGAGACAGGCCCGGCGAACTTGGTCACTGTGGTTGCGATGGAGCTACCTGTGCGCAACAAACGCAAACAGACCGTAGGCACAGATGGTGATCCGAGTGAAAATTGGGACCCAAGATGGAACGGCCGCAAAAACTTCAAGGCTTTTCGGAGAAAGGGCGAGGCCCCTCAACGTCGAGGTCATGCGAAGAAAGTCATTGTACCGCTTGTAGAGGTCAAGGGAAATACCTACGGCCTTGGTGAACAGTACTGGGAGAAAACGCAGGAGGAAAAGGAGCAAGAAAGAGAGCGCAAGAAAAAAGAGGGAGCCAGAAGCCAACGGACGCAGAGTCAAACACAGCGCACCAACGCCAGCCGGCAGTCCAGGACGACGGTTGTCTCCGATAGCGAAGATGACGACGGTTTTGATGGAGGTGTCGACCACCCTGTGTCCACCAGTCCTGGTATGACACGGCTTCAGCGCGAAGCAGCGGAGATTATGGACCATGAAATCGACCCGGACACGCCCAGACGGACCCGCGCCGCGGACAGAAGCCAGGCTTCCAATACCACTGCACATAGCGGATCGGGGGCGGCGACGGCGGCTTCGGGCAACAGCAATTCGACCTCGATGCCTGGGAAGAGAGCTGGCAGTTCGATCACCAGCAGTGCCCGTGACAACAAAAGGCAGAAGACGCTGCCTGTCACGGTCCTCCGCGCGAAGGACAGCGATGAAAACGACAGTGATGATTTGAAATTCCGGTTCGGTGCAAAAGCGCGTCGAGGCAGAGCCGGTCGTGGCAGAGGGCAGCAGTGATCAGGAAGTAAAACCCTCGTCGCTGGGCATCTGCGCCCTCCGTGGCTCAGGAGTTTCTTTCAGGACGGTGAGATTCATGTCGTACCTAGAAATAGCTAGACTAGACAGCGGGTTTGAGTATTACAGTACTTGAACACAGCGGCCAGTTTCCTCGTTGGGCAGTCTTAGTATTGCTAGAGGTCTAGGGGCAGCGTGCCGTCTTGTTTTCATATTTCCCACATAGAATGGCATGTCTGTACATCAGGATTTCCCCATATCAACATCTTCAAATCTTCTTTGATATTCTTTTTTCTTAACTCATGATTGACAATACACCCTGTGCGCAATCCCGACAATGCTCAGTCCGGGATTGGTGTCGGTGCAGTCAGCCTCTCGCCGATTCAGCAAGCATCATCCTACACAAAAATTGTCAAGCAGTAAGTACTCTATTTACCGCCAATACGACGGAGCCCTGCCCTTAAGGAAGCCGTCCCAAGCCTCGTCGAGGACCTTGACCACTTCATCTGGCAAAGGCCCCTTTTCCAGGTCGGCCAGGTTCTGCTGCAATTGACTGAAACTGCTGACGCCGATGATGATCCCGTCATTACCGCCCTTGTTAGCCAGTTTCAATTGAGAGTGGTGGACACACCATCGCAGGGCGGTCTCGACCAGAGTTAAACCTTGCTGCTTGACCACGGGCTCGATATGTTGGAGAGCTTGGAAGGTGGCGTCTTGGAAATAACGTTCTCTGTACATCTGTTGATTTCGGTTAGTTCTGAGATAGGATTTTGGAAGCGATTTATTCGATTGGGAGGTTGGACAAAAGGAGGTTGTTGTGTGTACATACCTTGCCCGTTCGTTCACTGGTGTTTGCGAATCGGCCTTCTGAGGGGATCTCGGATTTGGACTTGTATTTTCCGCTGAAGACGCCGCCGGCGAGCTGTTTTTGTTCCGGGTGATCAGTAAGTTGTTCGAGGGAGATCTGGGGATGTAAAGAGGAACTTACGGGATTGTAGACTACCAGATCTAAACCATATCTGTGGCGCGAGGTATTGTTAGCACATGCAATCATGCCTGCCCAGCGTTGGGTTTGGTTCTCTCTCTCTCACTTTCTGCAACAAGGAATCAATTCCTTCTCAATGTCCCGTGTAATGGCATTATACATGGCCTGGTAAATGGTAGGCTTGACCCAACCTCTCTCGTTGGCGATGTTCCAAATCTCGGCGACTTCCCAAGCGGCATAGTTGCTCAGTCCCAACTGGACAAACTTGCCCTCCTTGAAGAGGGCGTTGCATTCCTTCAATGTGGCTGCGAACGGGATGCTGCGGTCCGGCGCATGCAAGTAGAAGATGTCCACGCAGTCGGTGCCCAGCTCTTTCAAGCTCTTCTCGAGGCTTGCCCGCAGGTTCTCCGGTCTATGGTCGCCCGGGTTCGTCGGGTAGCATTTCGTCGCGAGCGTCAGGCCGCGTTGTTTCCAGTTGGCCTCGCGTGTCCAGCCTTCCTGCTCCCCGCCCACGTAGCTTCGCGCCGTATCTATTTCGTTGTACCCCTGGGACTGGAAGTAGTCGAGGCATTTGTTATACTCATCCAAAGTCGTGATGCGCGAGCCCTTGGATTCCGTGTTCGGAGGCCCGAACGTCATCAACCCCAGAATCACGCGCGGACGCCCTCCTGTTGCCGTGGTCGACGGAATGAGGGGCATTTTGGCGGCGCGGGAGGTCGAGAAGGTAGGATGTCGGAGGCGGAGCGAGACGTTCGTGACAATGGTACCTAGAGTCAGTGGCCGTGGAATGCGCGGCAGCAAGAGTTGAAGCATACAACTAGAAAAGAAGAGAGATAGATCAAGAATGGCACATGGCAGTGAGGACAAGATCAACAAGTGTACTACAACATTGTGCAGCGCTACTCCCGCTCGGTGCCCCTCCGCCAACTCCCCATGATAAGGCAACAGCTGCAGTATGTCAAAAATCAGGGTTGTCCTATATTTAGATGACGCCATTGGCGGGGACACAACTACTACTGTATCACTAGCAGTAGCAAGGGAATGCTAGCTGGGAAATAATGGAGAGGAAGGATTCTGGAATCTGCACAGCTATGGGCTACGTGGGAAAAATTAACCTGCCGACCACTGATGCCGTATTTGCTGGCCTTGCCTGTGGGTTAAATGATTTTCTGGACTGCTAGTAGTAGACATTGGCTCGAGCCATGCTTCTTTCGCGGTACCACTGCACTGCATGTGTACAACGAGAACTTGAATGTTGTAATCTCGGGTACGAGGCTGAAGTTCCGTGCCTCGGCCAGAACAGGCCATCGTAATGAAGTGCTCCGCCGTACCTAAGCCCTTACTCTTAGGGTCGAGCTTTGCCTGCAACACGCAGATTCAGGGTGCAACTCGGCCTAGGGAGCCCCTACCACTGGCACTGGCACTGGCACTGGCACTGGCACTGCCCCTGCCCAGCAGCGAATTAATATGCCCAGAGACTCGTTACGCGGCAGTGGAATCCATCTTCGTCTTCTCCAAACCCGTTTATCAACTCTCGCTCGTTATTAGCCAAAAGCCGCTCAGCTTTGGGTACAATTTTGTTATTCCTGCAGATGACACTCACGCCGTCTCACACTTGCACGACCCAAGGGAAAACGAGGCTCCACCAAGACACCAAGACACTTCAACCCGTTCAAATCCATTCGTTGTGACCGGGTCTCACTACCATCTGTCCTTTCCTCACCCCCCCCACGGCTGACCCTACCTGGTGACCCTGAACCCTTCCCTCCTCCACCGCATGGATGTCAACATATGACAGCAGCGACTCAAATGCTGGCGACATCGTCTTCACTCCTTCCGGCACAGAGTCACCTCTCCCTTCTCTCATCGGCCCTTCGAAGCCCTCTGCGCGCCCAAAAAGTCCCCTTGGGCTATCCTTAACACCATCCACTGTTCGAGACAGGTTACCGCCGGATCGGCAGCACGAGCGGATTCATTTCGATGAAGAGCGGGATTCGGGCTCTTCTGACGACGAGATGGCGGTGAAGCCTTCAATGCACCGGCCGTCAGGCCCGCAGGCACACCTACCACTTCTGGGCGAAGATAAAGTCTTCCGTGGGAGACCACAGAGCCCACGGCTGCCTGGCACGAGCAGATCTCCGTTCGCATCACGAAGGAGCACATTTCGGTCCAGGTCGCCGACTTACGTTCAGCCTGAAGACGTGGTGCGGCGAAAATACATCTATGCTTCGTTCTTCCTGATCTTGTCCCTGGTGTCTTTTGTGGTCCAAACCGAGACAGCGGTGTACATCCAACACGAACTGAAATGGGACAAGGCCTATTGCATGATGTATTTGACTCACGGGTCCTGGATCTTTTTATGGCCGGTGCAACTTCTGATCATCCGGATTCAGAAGCGGAAACTGTCCTGGGCTGCATTCTGGCGCCGGCATATGTTTCTGTTAAGGTCTACTGCCCAGATGGTCCAGTCTCAAGAACTCTATCTTTCTCCCGCGGCGGCATCTGTCTCCCCATGGCCATACATGCTCAGAGCAACGGCTTTCATCACCACCTTCCTCACAATGGCCGGCGGATCGTGGTACGTGGCTGTCAATTTGACGTCGCCTTCCGACTTGACCGCGATCTACAACTGTTCGGCCTTCTTTGCCTATGTCTTCTCGATCATGCTTCTGAACGATAAACTTCGCCTCGACAAGGCCATTTCGGTCGGTCTAGCCATTATTGGTGTGCTGGTTGTTGCCTACGGCGACTCAGATGATTCGACTCCCGGGCCGGGAACGTCTAACCCCGGTGCGGAACAGGGGTTTGGGACGAAACTGATAGGCAATATTATCATCGGCATCGGATCCGTTGCATACGGCTTTTACGAAGTCCTCTATAAACGCTACGCATGTCCACCGGAAGGCACCTCTCCAGGTCGAGGGATGATCTTCGCAAACACCTTCGGCAGCATGGTTGGACTTTTCACCCTCACCGTGCTTTGGATCCCTATACCAATCCTGCATATCACTGGAATCGAGCGTTTCGAGTTGCCCAGCGGTCAGGCGGCGAGGCTTCTGGCCATCTCCACACTCTCCAATGCCGTCTTTTCCGGTTCTTTCCTCGTCCTGATGTCTCTGACATCTCCTGTTCTCAGCTCTGTCGCAGCTCTGCTGACGATATTCCTCGTCGGCATCACCGACTGGCTGATTACGGGTAAGCCACTCAGTCTGGCGTCACTGGCGGGCGGTGCATTGATCATCGTCGCATTCCTGATGTTGAGTTACGCAACGTATAGAGAGATGAAGGAAGACGAAATCAAGAGAGAGGCCGATTCGGACAAGGAGTTTGAGCCTGACGACGAGGACTTTATGCCCGATGATGACGTCGGAGATGAGCTCGGCCGACCCAAGCGGAGAGCCAGCGATGATTGAAGTCGAATAGTTGTTTAGCGAGCGGATGCCAGGCGCCGCCTGGTGTTTCGGAAGGCGCCTCGCATGGCGTGGCATTGTGCTGGATTTTGCATAGAGGATACCCCTTTGGGGAGGCGCACTGATCTTCAAATCGCGCCTCAATAACGTTCAGGCGGATGCTAGACATCTGCTATGTCTGCTTAGTTTAATGTAACTTCGAAGCCTATGGCAGAACCAATTGAAGACAGGTGGCCCTGGTCTGCCGGTCCAGAAGCACGCTGTGCTAGTACACTACCTAGAAGTGTCGTGGAAACATATGCCGTTACCATGTTACAAACAGGGTTGTCATTACGTGTTTCATCTCGTCGCTACTAAGTCGGCTCTGTCTATCCTACGGATGCGTGGAAAACCCTCGTCAACTTAATGCCATGGGATGGAAGGTCATTCAATGCGCTGCCAGTGCTCCAAAAACAAATCAATTGCTTTCATGTGAAGAAAAGCTTCTTCTGCTTCCGCACACAACTGGGGTCTCCAGAGCTCGAATTCGACGTGCCATTCATGACAGCCGCCTTTCTTTTGCCCACGGACCGGACGCTCCCCGTAGCTGACCTGGGTTTGGTGAGCAGACTCTGTCCATTCACAGCCATAATATCTTTTGGATTCCCGTTTCCAGCCGCAGCTACAGCGACATCGAGAGCGTTATCGGGAGTTGTTGCATCGACCTCAGCCACGGCCTCCTTGATCGTCTGCCGTGAGAGACAAGTGTCAAGGTGGCAATTGAAGTCGCGGTCGTTGGCTGGTTGAGGGAGCTGGCAAATGGGGCAGTCCCAGACACGTTCTGACTCCTTCTTGGTGCTGGGAGATAGTGTCACAACTTCATTTCTGATTTGTCCGTGTTTCGCTGCAGCACTGGGCGAATTAGGCTCGCTGCCGTATTTGTACCGACCGAAAGGCTCGTGCCAGTCTGCTGTCGACAACTCGGAGTTGTCGACGTCCTTCTCGCCCAAAGGCCTCTTTATGCGCTCTGGGGGTTGCCCTGCATCAGGCGTCGCTGTTCGCCGAGCTCTCTGTTCTTGGTCCTGACTCAGACGTTCGAGTTCGTCTATTTCATCCTGTCTCTCCTGCCGGGCGGCCTGTTCGAACTCGGAATCAGGCCAGACCTCCCATTCTCCATCGTCAATTGACTTTTCGCCCGAAGTAACTGTACTATTGGCCCCACAGCGGCGCCGGAAGAAGTTGGCAGTTTCTTTCTTCATGCTGACAAGGTGTGTACATCGAAGCCCCATAAGACGCAGTCTGAAGTCAGGTATATCCTTCTCCAGCTTTGCCAGCATGGGTAGACTGTAGGTGTACAAATCCTCCGCTCGATGGACCGCTCTTGGAGGAGCCACTTGCCGAGTGAAGACTTCATAGGTGTGCAGCTTGACTTTTAGGACTAATGTCCGGCCTTTGACACCCACGCGTTCCATGTCTTTCTCCAATTCTTCGGCTGTATGGCGGAGCTTCTCGCGGAGCTCCTGTTTGCCGCTCATCTCACGAAATGTGGATTCGGTGCCGACGCTTTTGCGTTCATATTCTTCGGCTGGCTGGACAACAGTGCGTCCGAGGCCCATGTAAGTCTGCATCAGGAATTGAAAGGCCTTTTCGCCGAAAAGCCTGTTCAAATATGCCCGATGGGGGTATATGTCTCCGCAGGTTTTAATGCCAATGGCGTCCAGTTCTCGTTCAAACACACGTCCGACACCGTTCACCTTCCGAACTGGGAGTGTCGAGATGAAAGACATGACCGCGGCTCGATCGTTGGGAAGACGAAACTGTCCATTTGGTTTGTTCTTGTTTGAGCAGATTTTGGCGAGCTTTGCATTCGGCGCTATGCCGGCTGAGATGGTGATTTGACATTTCTCATGTACTTCTCCTCGAAGTTGTTCCACCGCTGCATCCGGGTCAATGTCGTGGGTGTGGCAGTATTCGGTGATGTTCAGGTAGGCCTCGTCGATGCTGGCGCTCTCGAATCGGGGGTCGTATTCGGCCAGAATTGCCCGTACTTCTTTGGCCTTTGCCGTGTACTTGTCGAAATTGAGCGGTAGACAGATCAGTTGCGGACACAATTTCTTCGCTACAAAGCCGGCCATGGCGCTGCGGCATCCAAACTTGCGTGCCTCGTAGTTGCAGGTGGTCAGAACTCCAACCCCTACTGCCATGGGTACATTCTTGAGTTCTGGACGATCAATTTCCTCGACCGCGGCATAGAATGCATCACAGTCGATATGTACGACATATTGGCTCAGATCCCGCGACAACTCCAGCGACGCAATGTAGTCGTCCGCTCGACGTAGGTCCGACTTGAGGTCAAGCTTTTCCAGCTGCGCCTTGTGTTTGAGGATCCGTTCGATCTTGGTGGTCAGGTTTTTATCCTTGGCTTCTTCATTGTTGAAGAATTTTGAGCCCTTGGATGCTTCGTAGATTATCTCCGACACTCTCTTCTGATCCACAGCATCTTGCCCGGCTTTCGTCAAGGACGGTCCGAGAAGGTGATGTTTGAGGGAATGGTGTTGAGAAGCCGCTGGGACTGGAAGGGCAGCTGGAGGATCAGTCACTGTCGGCGAGCTTGCGGCTCTGTTTTCCCCCGCAGCATTTTGGTCGACATCGGTTGGCAAGATGTCGTGTGCATCACCCAAGGTCATTGCAGCAGGGATGCGGTACTCGGCATGTTGTATGTAGGCCTCAGACCCGTCCACCTTCTGCCTGAAATTGAATGGTGATGGTCGGACAAAGACTGAGTGACGCGGGAAGTTTGTTCACGAGACGCGGTGGAGCGCGTCAGAAAGAACGTATGCGAGTCATGGAAACAATCAATTAACCACTGCTAGTGCTGCCTATACCTTGTAGGCATCAGGATTGGCAGCTAAAGGTGCTAAAGCGGTCGAATGTGGTGGGTTTAGGCGATGCTAGACCCAGTGAGGCAGTCTGCTTTTAATTACGATTATCACTCACCGCAGCCCGTGCCCCCCGGCTTCTCGAGGATCCTTGTTGACATTCGTTTAACCAACACTGCAGTGCTCAAATCTTCCATGTTATTGATTGCAACGCCGTATGACTACCCTCGCCCGTACAACAGACGCTTTCTGCTCTCGTCGACAATGGTAGCCTCCTGGCACCAGACAATCACCGGTCGCTATCATGCGAGAGCGAGAGCCGCCCCAACGACCCCCGTCCCGTTCTCGACGGTCACCCCTCCCGACTATGCCGACAAATAAACAAACCAAACCGAACACTTCCAAACCACTCACACCAGCCCTCAGTTCGAACTTCCGCAATGCCAGAACTCCTTTGACCCCGCGAGTGGTGGGTTCTGCCCAGTCGTCGCCGTCGTTGTCCACCCGCAGGGAGCCTTTCGTGAGGTCGATTTCTCCTGGCAAATCCGATCAGGTGACAACACCGTTGAATGGCAATATCACGCCTCGATCGGGAGCAAGGCTATCACGAATTGGAACAGAGTCTCCTTCGACGCCAGTACCGGTCAAGAATACAAACAATGGGTCACTTGCAAACGAAAGCGCCCGGAAACAGCCATCGCAACCTGCCACAGTCCAGGCTCAAGGTCTGGGCATAAATACCCCGAAGCTGGCAGCTGGAACAAGCACACCTGTTGTGACTGTCCATAGAAGAATATCTGGTGCAAAGAGCATGGTAGAAAGCGATAAGGTCGTGTCAGCGAAGTTCTTTCATGCAAACGATGCGAAATCCACCGTCGGATCACCTGGATTAAGTGAAAGTCCTCGCATCTCGCCTGGTCGAGGACACTTTTTCGTGGGATCACCGCCGCTGAGCACCGATTCCAATCAGTCATCAAAGGCGGCAGCGACTACGAAAACAAATGATCTCGACGATAAATTCTTCAGGGCTGATGACATCGCGCAACATGCACCGTCTAAGCGTCCGGATCTTGTTAGAATAAAGACCGCGGGGGCGGGCAGTGTAACATCCATATCAAAAGGGCAGACTCCTCCGACAGGCACTCGGGCAATCCAGTCAAGCCCGCCGCTGTCTCCCAATAAAACCCAACGGTCTGTTGCTCCCCTTCCACCCTCGCCTCGAGGTGTCCCAGGGGCCCGAAGGACTTCTCCTCCAGCACTCCCGCGCCCGGCGTTGGATCGACCGAAGAGTGCGACAGGCTCGACAACTTCTCCTGCTGCTGCTGCTTCTCCAGGAGGCCACAGGAAGTCTGTCAGCTCAAGTTCGGTGGCAACCGCACCTGTCCGGAGATTCAGCGGTCAGCTGGCTCAGGGGCCACATTCTTTAGATCTTCGGCTTGCAACAAAAGATGCTGCTCGGCTACCCACAACCCAACTCCTGTCTCCCGCCACAACCAGCCCTAGATCAGTGAGCTTGGCTTCGACAAACACCATCCCCACTTCCGTCACAAGCGAAGCAGACCACTCAGAAGCGGCGAAGCCATCTCCAGCCTCGGTGAACGCACCTGAAAGTGCAGGAGAGCAAGCGGTGCCGCCGGTGCAACCTCAAAACGACGAAGCTGCCAACGCACGTAGGGAACGCAAAGTGCTCGATTTGGAGATATCTAATTCATCCCTGCTGGCCATCAACAAGACTCTGGAACGCGAACTACGCAAGCAAAGCGGCGAGCTGCGGAGATATCGGCGTCTCTCTCGCTCCGGACGACTATCTTTGGCAGCATCTACCCGAACAGCGTCAGGGCAGTCCAATTACAGTCTTGACACAGTTACTGAGCACGATGACGAAGATCAATTTCTTTCCGACATGGATCACGAAAGTGATATGGACGATCTGGATGACGAGGAAGACTCACTTTTGTCTAACGACTCCAGTTCCTTTACCAGCTCCACCGCCCGATCACGGCAACGTGCCAGGGACGAAAAGCGATTGCTTCTTGATCTTTCCAAACATCAACAGCTCCTCATTGACTCGCAGAAGCTCAGCCAGAGTATAAAGCGCTGCCTTACTGTGACGGAAGAGCTGATCCGCGATGGCAATAAAGCATTAGACTATAGAGTTGGAATCGGCGACGTGAAACTGGGTGGCAGAGTCTTGCACGATGACGAGCTCGATGAACGAGGGTTTGACACTGGGAACCCGGAGCAGGAGGGGGCAAAGGCACTTCTGAGTCCTGCTCTGGCAACGTCGAAACATGACGATGTCGTTCACCCTTGGCCTGCTGACCATGCAATCACATCCGCGACCGAATCCTCCGCCTTGGCTCTGCTGCAAGAGATTACCGACCGGTTAGAGACAGACACGGCTGCTGCTGCCACGATGGAATAGATGGATGGGTACAATGGGTGGTTCTCAACTCCCTCAAATGGGCATCTTGCGTGTTTCCGGCAACATTTCTGGTCGACATGCGAGACCCGCTTTTTCTCTCACTCACGAAGTTATGATAACCCAAGTTTGTTGGCATTGCGTTGCATTGGTATCTCGAGAGCGCGCTGGCCGGATCGGATCAGCATGACACTTTTCTTTTGTTCTTTTTCGCTTTTTATATTCTGCTGTGTTGGGTGTCACAGTGCTATACTACCTAATGGTAATCCAGCAAGACAGTTTTGATAGTCCCTGGAATTTTTACAGTTGGCTGCGGCGTCGTGGAGATGGCGTGTTGGGTTGTTTTGTTGTTAATGTATATGCGTTCAGATCCTGTCCGAAGATGATACCCCCCACAACCGCGAATTTTGCACCAAGATACTCGAGGTCTGATGGCTGCGCAAACATTGGAGGAATGTTAGTATTACGGTTACAGCTTGGAGGGGATCCTTGGTCAAGAGCAGTTCGCCTCTCACATCGGTATGATGGCATTTTTTCTCCCGCGGTGCCGGGAAAGAAGAGGAACAGCATAAACCTTCAAGCTGGTTTCAACACAGTACTGTAGGACAGATATACTCTGGCATTGGAGGTTTTTATATAATAAATCATCCAATCCATCTGTTTTATTCTCTCCCACTGCATTAAATCTATCCTGCCTACTCAGATCTGATCGCGGACCCAAGCTGTAAGGGAAAACACCTTTTCATACACAAGGCAATCATGCAACAACGACTGTGGTGGCACAAGTGAGTAGAAAAAGAGAAGAGAAACGGAACTGTCCTCATTATACAGGACGGATAGATCACAACTCAATACCCCAATACAAAAGCCACAAAAAGGGCTTTTTTCATCGGTACTGCAGTCAGTGGTAGATGGGTGGTGGGTGCGTAGGTGACAAGTGCAGAGAACTAGGATGACGCCGCCGCTGCGGCGGCCGGTGACGGCGACTCCTTGCGGTGATGTTTCTTCTCCTTGTCCTTTTCCTTCTCCTTTTTCTTCTCTTGTTTCTTCATGGATTCGGCCATGAGCTGCTCGAAGGCCATGAAGTCGCCTTCTTCGTCTGGATCCCGCTCGGCCTAAAATCGACAAATACAGTTAGCCGGAGAACAGAAGAAGGGATTGAACAAAAATGGTGGTCGAAGTGAACACATACCTGTTGGAAGATGGTCCCGATCAGCACCAGAGCATGGGCGCGCTCGATCCTCTTTTCAAGCTTCACGGTCTTATCATTCAAAATCTTGTCACAGACATCACGCAGGACGCCCTGGATCTCGAATTTAGACCCACGCCAGGCAGCGGCCAGAATCTTGCCCGTGACCTTACGTTCGTATTCGGCCTTCTTTTCGTCCGTCCAGTCGGCGCCCCCTTTCTCCTCGAGCTTGGCCATCTCTTCCATGGTCAATTGGGCATCGATGGCGGTCGAAATCGTCGTCCACGTCTCCTTGGCAAGGGTGCCCTTGTCCTTGAGGCGCGAGAAAAACCCTGAAATGCCGAGGAATTTCTGGGATTTGAGGAACGACGTCGCCTTCTGGCAATATGTCTGGCCAACGGCATGTAGGATCTCGATGCCGAATGACTCCATTTTCAGATTCTCGACCTCGAGTTTCGTCTTTTCTTGGAACGCCTTGGTCACTTCGGGCCCTTTGTCCGTCTCGGTCCAAACGCTGATGCGGTCGATCAGCTTTTTCGCCAGTGTATCTACCCGCTCCTCTCGCTGTTTTCGTCTCTCACGTTCGTACGCTTCAAGTTTCTCCCGCTGCTCTTTCGTCAGGCCGCCTTTCTTTTTCTTCTTCTGAAGGTCTTTCTCCTCTTGTGTCAGGCCGGCGGCGTCCATTCGTGCATCTTCCTCCGACCGGTCCATGATGGCTTGTTGACCGAGGTATCGTTTTTGAGGCGTGCTAGTTCCCGATGCAGCCTTGCCGGCAGCGGAAGTCGGTGCCTCATCGCCTTCAACATAAGCGGGTGGAGGCGCTGAGGTTGTGTCCGTACTTGCACCGGGACCAGTAGAAGGTTCGGATGCTGCTGCCTCTGAACTCTTTTGTTCCATGTCCGCCGCAGTGGCTGCTGTGGCGTCCTTTGCCTTTTCTTCGTGGATGTTTAATTTCTCTTCGGCATTCTTGGCCAGCTCCTCCTCTTCCATCTGCTCCATGGTAATGTCCATAGTATGTGTCAAATCTTTTAGCAACGTAAGCTCCCCGATGAGGTCAACAAAGGCGTCACCGCCGAAAATCATGCTGAAGAATTCCGCCGGGTCTTCGAAGCCTTGACTCGGCATTGCTTTTTCCTTTCCATATTTGTCGTAGGCTGCCCGCGTTTCTTTGTTGGATAAAACTTGATAGGCTTCGCCAACTGCCTGGAATCGAGCGTGCGCGGTCTCATCGCCTGGGTTTTTGTCGGGATGCGTGGTAATAGCCAATTTTCTGTACGCTTTCTTGATTTCGAGTTCCGATGCGTCAGGTTTGACGCCCAGCGCGTCGTAGTAGGATGTGTCGACGACCATGATCGCAAGGGTTTGGCAAGAACAAAAGGGCTTTGCAGGCTTCCACGTGTCTTTCACCCCTGCAAGAAGTTCGTTCTGCTGCACTTGTTTAGTTCTCTGGTCGGAGGGTTGGCGCGGCGATGCCAATCAGGCTAGGGAAGAACTGCCTTCACTCCGGTGTTTGACAGTAATCAACAAATTTTGAGTTGTGTTGCAAATGATTTCGAGGACGTTTATACCACACTGACACCGAGAAAAAGAGAGAGTGGGCTCCAAGACAAGGATATTAAGAATGCGGAAGACAGGATGATTGTTGTTGAAGTCGAAATGAAACGCAGCGTTGGTATCTAGCGGGTGACAAGATTTGGTGGCAGCCTTCGAGCCGCGTGTGCCCGATACAACTCGACTGCCAAAACTCAGTTTGTAGTTGTCCAAATCAACCACTGGAGCTGGCAGGTGAAGTCATCGGGCGCCACGAAATAATAGTCAGCATGCGCTGGCCAAAGCACAAGAAGTGTTCGGGGAGCTGAGCCACCTTACCCTGCTTCAGCCACACTGGCACCTCTGGTCAACCACTGCAGCAGCCTGAGCTTTTAGGCGGTACGGCGCCCCCAATGCCGGGTGTGCCCATTTTGCCCAGGCGTGCTGAGAGCTCTCTACAGGTAAAGCTCCGAGTCTTCGGCCCCTTCGGCCCCTTCAGCGGCCTTAGGCTTGGTGACAAAAAGATTGGCGGGTTATGACCCCCATACCATTCTATAAACCGCCAATCTTTTTGTCACCAAGCCTAAGCCCCCTTTCGCAGGCTGACAGGAGCATTATTATTGGCGGCACCGCTTTCGCCCACGCAAAACTGCTCTCTGTCTGTTACTCCCAAAGCTTGGCCGAGGATCTAGCGGTTGATCGTACCATTCGGTTTCTCAAACTTCCACACGTCCACAAAAACACCACGGGCATGCTACACTGTACATCCCAACCATGGTATCATAAGCGAGTCGCCGACCTGTACGCCGTTGTATAACTGCTTTCTCCGTTCCCCCCTTTCTCTCAGTTCATGTCCACCGTTCATTCACTGCCCAGACGAAGCGATTGCTTCCACCGCAGGACAGCAAGAGAATTGTCCCGTCTCAACGCTTGAGCCACTCCCACGATGCCGAAGCCCACAGAGATCTTATACTACCTAATTCACGTGCAGGAATTGCGATCCATCATTCAATGGTAAGTGCGCCTCACTTCTGTACGAAGGGAGAATATAACTCACCGTATCTAGGAAAGTCTGGCACAATCCTGTCCATGAAAGGGACGAGTCCACGGAAACAGAGTCCACAAAGCAATGTTTTTACTACTTGGACAAAACCAGTCGAAGTTTCAGCGCCGTTATCAAAGAACTACACCCCGACCTCCTGCTACCTGTTTGCCTTTTTTACCTGGTTTTGCGCGGGCTGGACACGATCGAAGATGACACATCCATTTCCCTGGAAATCAAGGAGCCGTTGCTGCGGAAATTCCACGAAAACCTCGAGGTCGATGGATGGCACTTTGATGGTAACAGACCAGAGGAGAAAGACCGCGAGTTATTGGTAAACTTCAGATATGTTGTTGAAGAGTACAAAAAGATGAAACCGGAGTACAAGGCCATCATCAAAGACATCACCGTGAAGATGGGGAACGGCATGGCAGACTATTGCTTGAATGCCGAATTTAACGAAGTGGGAGTCACTACCATTGCCGACTATGACCTGTACTGCTATTATGTGGCTGGACTCGTGGGCGAAGGCCTGACGAGGATGTTCGTGGAAGGAAAATTCGGTAACCCGGCCCTTCTGGATAGACCTAACCTCCACAGGTCGATGGGTCTTTTCTTGCAAAAGGTCAACATCATCCGGGATGTTCGTGAAGATTTCGACGACAACCGGAAATTCTGGCCGCGGGAAATCTGGTCGCAATACGTGGATGAATTTGAAGATTTGTTCAGGCCGGAAAACAGAGAGAAGGCTCTCAACTGCAGCTCCCACATGATCCTCAATGCGCTTGAGCACGCCGATGAGTGTCTTTTCTACTTGGCCGGATTGAGAGAACAGAGCGTGTTCAACTTCTGCGCCATCCCACAGTCCATGGCGATTGCGACGTTGGACTTGTGTTTCAGGAATTACGCCATGTTTCAACGCAACATCAAAATCACCAAAGGTGAAGCTTGCCAACTGATGATTGAGTCGACGCAGAACCTGCAGGTGGTGGCGGAGGTGTTTCGGAAACACCTGCACTCGATTCGAAATAAGAATCGACCAGAGGATCCTAATTTCCTCAAGATCAGCATTGTTTGTGGGAAGGTGGAAAAGTTTATCGAAACTATCTTCCCGTCACAAAAGGTGGACGAAATCATCGCCAGGGGTAAGGCGGATGAAGCCCGGGCGGCGGGCACAAAGGCGGATACCGAAGTGAGCGACCGGAAGGATACGCTGTACCTGTTCGGCGCAGTACTGTTAATGCTGTTCGTCGTCACAAGTTCTATGGTGAGCAAATTGTTCCTTTGTTCTCGAAACCGACATTAACTTCGTGGCAGATTCTCCTGGCGTGGTTGTTGGGTGCCCGCTTTGATGTTGCCTTCGCAGAATTGAAGAAATCCTTTGGTGAGTTGACCGGAGGGACGGTCACTGGAAGGCCGGGCCAGACCCAGACTGCGGTCAGCCCCCCTGGTCATAAAGAGCTATGATACGCTCGATGCCGGGGTTCATATTTGGCACTTCAACTTGTATATTAAATGCTAATACAACCACCTTATTTCGCTTCGTTACCCCAGAAGACCCTACAGCCCTGCGGGGCAAAGAAGTCCACTATCGCTGGCATGTCCCTTCCCAAAAGCAAGCACGGATGTCAAATTGCAACTCAGTCTCATTCATTGGCTGTTGTTGTGCCGAAGATGTGCTGACATCAACCACACATGATGCTCGAAACTGACAATTGACAGCCCGAGATATAATCTATGAAGGGACCTGTTACCTTCGAGCATACATTCCTGTACCCTTTCTATTATTCCGGTGGCCGAATTACCGGCGGGCACCTAGCACCTAGAGCTTGCTGTCAGTGGTGGCTGACCGACCAGGATCTCTTCATGTCTCTTCTTGCCGTGGGGATCACGCCACAAGAGGAGAAATAGAGCCCGATGACATGGTGCCTCTTGGGCAGTACTGCACGAAGACGCGCTCTGACTGCCTTTTCAACTCATGTCTGAGTGGCTTGGTGTAACAGTACGTCATCTTTACACAGAACGTGGATTTACATACTAGTACCAGCAATGTCTGTCCAACTTTGACGGTAACTTCATCTCACAGAGAGAGATTTGCGGAACAGTTATGATTTGGACGACACTGTACAGCGCATAGGGAGGGTTCGGTAATGGCACCAACCCTGAAAGTGTCCTAAAGCGCGTGAACTCCATAACCGGCCCTGCCCGGCCCGAGCCAGCAGGACCGTGTCTCTTCTCAAGGCTAAGGGCATTCCAGGTACGGAGGCAGGGGATAGCATCGAGAGATGAAGCGACCCTGGCCGAATACTGTATACTGGAACAATGTCAGTCATGTACCGGTCACCCTATAGTAGTACTGTAGATGAGAAACCCACGAAGAAGACCCGGGACCAGAGGTTGAGTGCGAGGAATACGCGTCCCGGAGTTCTGCAAAGAAACAACGAAGTTTTGCAGTTGGTGCTGCGAAGCGCCACAACGTCATCGTTAACCTGGAGTGCCGTTCAAGGTTCTGCACCCTCCCGTCAGCCTCAGGCTGCCAGTGCTCATCGAGATGCCCATCAACCCCTCCCTTCCCATCGTCATGGGCCTGAGGTACTGTACCTAGAAGTTGGATCTGAACCCAGCCACTGCATGATTTCCTATGATTGCCCTCAAGTTGCCGATGCCTTCAACCCTGAACCATCCCATCCCAACCCATCCGTTTGCCGGCAGTTCCATCACAACCACTGCCGTCTGGAACGTTCGGCTGGCGCCCTCCACTCCGTGCCTGGCGGATCGCATCCAAAGCGGAGATTCCGAGAGATTCCCTGTGCTTGTCATGTCCATCGATCAGTGTCCCATTATTCCCATTCCCAATCCCATCCCTTGCCCAGACACACGGCTTAAGCATTCAATGGATCTGCCCGGAATTGCTTGTTCAACATCGACTCCCGGCCACATGACCCACGCTGACCGCCCTGTTGTTTCATTTGTCTCGCGCATACTCCGTCCAGTCGGCGAAGTGGACGTTCATTAATCGTGAATAAAATGCCCAATTGGACTCCCTAGCAATAATAATGTCGGTGAAGCAAGCTACCTGACCTGTACCCTAAATGACGTAGCGCTTTCTTTCACTGCAGTTAGAACACCGCATCTCTCTGCCTTTACTTATTGATTATCAATTCCTTCCTGAGGTGCGGCTTTCGTGCATATACCGAAGCTACGTCGATCGACCAGACTACAGCCACTACCACCGGCGATACATACTAGACATTAACATTTCTCCTGTACTTGTATCATGTTTGCCCTCCGCTGATCTTTCCAACTATCTTCCAATCAACGAGGGCGCCTCAAGATTCCCGTTTGCCAATAGGCCGTCCTAGTCCTTTTCGTTCTGCAGGATTTCAAGATTCTGGACGCCCAATCTGTATGGTGCTGCAAGGCCTCCAAGCACAAGCCCTCGCACAGTTAACGAAGCGACGCACTATCGTGTAACGCTCGACTAGCCTCAGAATGGCCGAACAGGCCCTGGGACTGACCTTAAATGCGGTCCCAGTTGCGATCAAGCATCACGACAAAGTCTGGGATCCAGTCCACCACAGATGGAAGAAGATGCGAGGCCAGTTGCCCAAGGAAGATGAGGACATTTACGACCGAAGGATAATGGAAGAGAAGGGTCTAGTTCTGCGCCGACGGCGTGATGTCGCCCCAGACGAGGAAATCGTGGAAGTGGTCCGGCACAAAGGCGAAGTTCTCCCCAGGCGGCCAGGGCAGCGACGGAGGGCGAGCTCTCTGAACAATGAACGAGCCTTGGTGGGCGCTGGTGCCGGAGCTGGTGCAGGAGCACTCGCCCATCGTCGAGATCGACGAGACTCTTATTACGACTCTGAAGGGTCTGTACCACCCCGGTCTCGCGTGCGAGCCAAATCATCCACAGGTCGATCTCGGAAGAAACGAGGGTCATCCAGCGACTCCTCGACGTCGTCTTCATCGTCACTAGTGTCATCTACCGAGGAGGAAAAAATCTGCAAAAAGATACAACGCAAGAAATGGATTACTGCCGCATTGGCCAGTGTTGCCACCATTCATGCGGCATCCAAGGTGTACTCCTCCATCGAAGCTCACGACAAGCGCATGGAAAAAGTCCGAGAGGGCACCTTGTCTCCTGAGCAAGCACACAAGCAACAACGGGCCGCGCGCTGGCAAGATGCGGCGGCTATTGGCATTGCCGCCCTCGGCATCAAGGGCGCTGTGAGTGAGTGGAACGAGGTTTCCGAAGAACACGCAGAGCACAAAAGATTGCTCCTGGAGAGGGAGGAACACCATAAAAAACGTCTCGAACGGGAGCGGCGTCGGAGAGCCCGGGAAAGGGATGGTTATTACAAAGGGCGGGATGGTCATTGGTATTATGCTGGACCGGCAAGGAGGAGCCCCTCAAGTCCCCGTGGCGACAGTGCAAGAGGACGTTATCCTGACTCCGATCCGGGCAGAGACTCTGGTCGTAATCGCAGACGGACAGAGGACGACAGCGACGATGGTAGGGACCGGTCCCGGCGTGCGGTGAGTCGCCGTCGTGCAGACGACTACTGATTCTTTTTTTTTTCCGGCATCTACCTTCTCTGGGTGTACGCCAATTTCGGTCACGTGTCTATGTTCGGGAAGATTGTAACCGGCACGGTGCTGACGAACGTGGAAAGACCAGCAGAAGCTCGTCCCCCCAGCGTCTTCAGAAGAAACCGGAAAAGACACGACACACTGTCGGTCAACTCGGGGTTGATGTCTTGGACGCAGCGATAAACCCTTAGCAAGCAGTCAGTTTTCTTTTCGGCATTAGTTATAGCGGGTGTAGCATGGCACTGGAACGTCTTGATTCTGCGATTTCAAGAAATCGCCTGGGGTGCATTTTCAGCAGGGCTTAGAGAGCAAGGTGCAATAAAAGGCAGGTGTGGTACGAGATAACGAGGTTACGAGGTATGCGAACATGACATGGTAAGACCTACTCAAAACTCACAGGCTGATGCAGTATATCACCTCGTACTGGATCTATAGAGTCGTTTCACTTCTGCAATTCCCCTAAGACTACCTGTAGAGGCTCCAACTATACGAAGCCTATGACAAGGCTGCGATATTGCGGAAAAGCCAGAATGTTGCGCAGTAGTTGTAATCTTGGCGGGGCCATTGCTGCGCCGCCTGCCACTGAGTGGACAGCAGCAATAAGGTACAGTACAGTATACGCAGCCCAACCACAGCCACAAGCCCATTGCGCATGCTGCTGCCCGTGCTACGACGACTGCTCCCCTTCACACAAGGCTCCAGGCACGTCTGTTGTTTTTGTGCCGCTGACTCTTTGTGACCTTTCTTCTGCATGTCGCCAGGCTTTGCACACAGATAGTCCAACGCCCTCATCAAAATGGCCGAACCTCCCATTGGTAACCTTCGCTCCCGAACCCCTCTCATCAAGTCACCGCTGACACAGGCAACGTAGTCCTCGATGGAGGAACCGGCTTTCTCAAGGTCGGCTATGCCGGTCAGGTATGCGTGCCTCCTCCATTCAATCCCGGGAGAGTACAATAGGCTCACGTCGACCGTTTGGACAGAACTTCCCCGAACACCAATTCCCTTCCATAGTCGGCCGGCCGATTCTACGATCCGAAGAGCGCGCAGGCGACATTGTGGTCAAGGACATCATGTGTGGAGATGAGGCAGCGGCAGCCCGGTCAATGTTGCAGATCAGCTATCCTGTACGTGGAGAAATCGGGCGAACACAACGAGCTCGGAATGATGCCCGTGATGAAGGAGGTACGTACTGACAAGCAGTGTAGATGGAGAACGGCATTGTCAAGAAATGGGACGACATGCAACATCTCTGGGACTTTACATTCTACGACAAACTGCGCGTCGACACGACGGGCCGAAAGATCCTGTTGACGGAACCGCCCATGAACCCGCTCAAGAACCGCGAGCAGATGTGTGAGGTCATGTTTGAGAGGTACAACTTTGGCGGCGTGTACGTGGCCATCCAGGCCGTGTTGGCTCTATATGCTCAAGGTCTGTCATCCGGAGTGGTGGTCGATTCCGGCGACGGCGTGACACACATTGTCCCCGTTTACGAATCCACCGTTCTCAACCACCTTACTCGGCGTCTTGACGTTGCAGGCCGCGACGTCACCAGGAACTTGATCGCTCTCCTGCTCCGAAGAGGGTATGCACTTAACCGGACGGCCGACTTTGAGACCGTCCGGCAGATCAAAGAGAAACTATGCTACGTATCCTACGACCTTGCCCTCGACCAACGCCTATCCGAAGACACTACTGTGCTGGTCGAGTCGTATACTCTTCCTGACGGACGCGTGATCCGGGTCGGCAGCGAACGCTTCGAAGCTCCCGAATGTCTCTTCCAACCTCACCTCGTCGACGTCGAACAACCAGGCATAGCCGAGTTCTTGTTCAACACGATCCAGGCCGCCGATGTCGACGTACGCTCGTCACTGTACAAGGCCATTGTCCTTTCCGGCGGGAGCAGCATGTACCCTGGTCTCCCTTCCCGGCTGGAAAAGGAGCTGAAGCAGCTGTGGCTGACGCGCGTGCTGGGCGGCAACCCGGAGCGGTTGAATAAATTTAAAGTGCGCATTGAAGATCCTCCCAGGCGGCGACATATGGTGTTTTTGGGTGGTGCCGTTCTGGCCAACATCATGGCCGATAAGGAGAACATGTGGATTTCCAAACAGGAGTGGCAAGAACAAGGGCCTAGGATCTTGGAGAAACTGGGTCCAAGGTAAAATCACCATGATCAGCGCAATCTGGAAGAGCCAAGGGTATAAAGTACTGTTCGTGGACTGGCGCAAAGGTTGTCTATCTACCGGCTCACCAAGCTCCGAATGCGTCGTGGACAGAAGAAAAAAAACCAAACATGGATGCATAGAGAGTACGGTTGACGCGGTGCAGGCAGATGTCTCTTTCAGACCCGCTGACTCCATGGGAACTAAAGATAAAATAACACCATCACCCTGTCCACACAGCAAACTCATGTGTGTCTGTCTACGTTTTCCCCCTGGAAGTTGAGATCTTTATAGATTGAGCGAGGGCTGCCTCTGCTTAAGGTACTTGATAGACGGACCTCAATGCAGCCTTGAACTGTTCAGGTCGTGCAGTATCATGCTATACACCCAGTATCGTTCGCATGAAGGATGAAATTAACACGAGCCAGTTGAAGCATGTACTGTACCTCCCCAGCTCAGGCCCTTAGCCGTAAGCCATTATGATCTACCATATCCGTTTGTTTAATTCTCAGAAGGTCAGAAAGGACTGAGTGTCTACAGTTTCTCTATAATAATTATCTTAGTTCTTTCACACCCCAACTTGAAGTACTACTATACTAGCATGAAGTTATACTGTACTGCACGACGAGCATATTTATTGTCGAAGATCAAGCCAACAGTTAGGTTTCAAGTTGTACAGGCACTGTCAGGACGATCTTCAAAATCACCACCACGGGAGACGGCATCAATAAGCAAGCCCCGTGGGCCGGGTCATAGCGGTGGAAGCAAACACTTGGATCTGATACCCCTACCAGTATTCCTAGAATTCCTGTCGTTGCAGGTATGTGTTTCCCAAGGAAGTACAATGGGTTTGAGGTCAATCCACGCGGGTCTGCAAGCCCTTTACAAATGCAACCAATGCCATGAATGCATGCACCAATACTTCAAGCCTCAGCTGTCGAACGCCGCTTCCAAGCAATGTTCAGCCTGCCGCCTCACCACCCATAGCATTGACAACAATAACCGTACCCAAACAGACGCGGCCACCCATTTCGATCCCACGCAGCAGTTGGAGCTGCCACCTTCCGTTTGCATAAACAGTACCAAGAGCCAAGCCTTGACCTGGCCTCATTTCACTTCATGGTCTTGTACCACGTTTTGCTCGTGCTTCTTTTGCCCTTCGCGGATCGTTTCCGGTGCCACTGCCGCGTAGGGATCGGGATCCCCTGTATCCACCTCTGTCCCGGGTGTCCCCGTCGCGTCGTCCATGCTTTTGCCTTTCTCCATAATTTCCGTCTCTGCCTCTGACTCTTCCAGACCAGTCTCGGACACGGTATCCTCTTCACGCTCAACCGTGCCGACACGGGTGCCTTCGTAGATGCCACAGAACGGAGCACTCTTCCTCGCAACTTTCGGACTTGGTTCTTCGTGTGCCACCTCGGTAATCCTTGGCCCTGTCTCCTTCTCAGAGTACTTATCGATGAACGCCTCCTTGAGGGCTTCGTACAAAAAGCTGTATTGCAGTTCGTTCATGACCATCATCATCCGCTGCTCTCGAAGTGCATTGACCGTCTCGAAAATGGCGTCTTCTTCCTCTTTGCCGTCTGGTGTGCTTGGTTTGGTAGGGCCACTTTTGCCCCAGGTTCCTTTGGCAACGGTGTCTCTCGCCGTCGACGCTGCAGTGGCAAAATAGGAACAAGACTCGACCAAAATGCCTGCTTCCAGCTCCTGTAGCAGAAAATCTAGGGCTATCCAGGTCCCTGTGCGCCCAACTCCAGCAGAGCAATGGACGATACGAGGCGAATCTCCCGCCACCCTCTTTGTGACCTTGGTGAGTTCCATCAGCGCTTTCCGATCTTCCGCTTCCGGCTTTCCGAAGTCAGGCCAATTCTTGTAGAAGTAATGATAAATCTCCTTGGTTTCTCCGTCAATAGTAAGTTTCAATCTTCGAACCTCGCATCCAAGTCTGGTGTCCTCCTGGAGCGAGAGCAGCTTGACCTCTCCACATATACCTTGGGTTTCCTCGTCCTTCTGGCTCGATTGGGTGGGGCCCGTTCTATTCGAAGCGGAATCTGTGCCTACACCATCAGTATCGGCGGTCATTTCGGGGGCGTCGAGGAATGGGTCACCATCGCCCGTAGTTTCAGCACTCTCGTCTCCATTCCCATCTTCATGCGCGGCAATCGAAAGAGTCGAGGTTTTGTCGTCCGGGGGATAGTACTGCGCGCACTTCTCCTTGTTTCCCTCGTATAGCTGGGTAAGCATGACAATAACTCCAACATCCCCTGTAGTTTCTTGCATGACCATGTGCCAGAAATGGGAGAACTGGCCTTCCTTTGGTCCCTGGCTGGCGATGTATCGACTCTCCACTTGGGCCGCTGATGCAGCGAGCGGGCCTCCATTGCGGAGGAACGCATGCACGTTGCGACTGCTTAGCGTAATGGGAGAGGCATTCACGTAGTCTGAACCGCCGATCGGCTTCTTGAGTTTGACCCTCTGGGCTTCCCATGGTTGGACGTTGCCGTACCGGTTGCGACTCAGCACAGCCGGAGATCGGTCCACGCGAAATGGAGACGACTCCGGATTCTGGACCGCATGTAGAAGTCGATATCGTTGCTTCCACTCCAGATCTTGGAACGCCGCAGAGATCTCTGAGAGTGCGTCAGTCAAGGCTCAAGTGGGACTGGATGTAGACGACATTGTTGTTGTGATATCCGACCAACTTACCCTGTTTACTTTTATTCAGATACGGTGGGATCTTCACGGCAATATTCCTAGACTTGTTGAGTTCGTTCGTTGATCTAGTCGACGTTGAGGCACGGCCCGCAGAGCCTGGCCTAGAGGCTTCGACCGTGGTCTCCTGGGACCGCTGCCGCTTCATCTGGTGCGGTGGGGGGGTACTGATAGTCAAAGATTGCGGCATGATATTCGTGATCTCGGCGATCGTGGCGGCATCGGAAACGGGTGAGTCAGCCCGACTCAGGTTGGTCGATAGAGGGGGCAACGAGGAAGGACTAGTAGGCCGAGTGGCTGGCTTAGCTTTTGCTTTAGATCGTTTTCCTGAGCTGTGGATATGGAGGCGTTTCAGCAGTGACGGCCGTTTGGAAGTGCTTGGTGTAGCAGTGGAAGATTCCTCGGTAGAATGATCCTGAGGAACGGCGCCAGCTTTGTCGGTGAACAGCCTTGAGATGGTCGTGGTGAATGGCCGCGACGCTTGCGAAGGAGTGACAAGGGAGACAGTTTTCAGTGAACCGATGCAGACCCAAAGACGTCCTGCCACGACAGAAGAGAGGATAGTCAAGGATGATTGCTTTGTCAGTGCACTAGCAGTCGGGTTGGGGTCTGTAACAGGACGGTGCCTTCACCAGCGCTCTTGCCAGTCCAAAAAGCGATGATGCGGTGGTACCGCTCAAGTTGTTCCAGGCGGGAAATGAGCGGGTGAAAGACCTAGCCGGAACCTGACAATTTATCACAATGCAGTCACTATCTGCCCGCAAGCGAGTTGTAACGATCTGGCCGGATATTTCCAGACAAGCGACTACCGGGAACCAGATTGTCGTTAAGGGGTTCAAGACCGAGAAGCCGCAGCTGTTCAGTGCGCTAAATGGGGTTGAATTATGTTCTCTGGCACAGTCGAGGGAGGCAGCCTTGTGCTACAATGTGATATTTAATAAGAATTGGTTCCGGGCGACGGTGTATGTTCCAATCAAGACAAGATACAACTCGAACGAGGTGCATGAGGCTGAAGGGCAAGACAATGCGATGCGACGAACCACTGACCTCATGTTGCAGAAGACCAAAACAGACAGCGGTGTAATGACGCTGAAATATACCACCTTACCGGTCATGTGCACACTGAAACTGCTAAATTTGTGGTAATAGAATGAAATGCAGCTGCTTCCCGTTTTAATGCTTCCGCCTCTCAGCTGCCAGACGGTCGATCACGATACGGTTCCACACAAGCAAAACATGTGCAGTTTTGTCAGCCTCGATCGTGAACTGCCCGTGCCACTGGCATCCATTTATTGTTTCCGGGCAGACAGATACAGTACTATACTCATCCGTCGCCTCATCACCTTTGTACGCCAACCTCACGGGCCGCTGCCGTTGCCTCGCCTCATCCAAGTGCACACGAGACCTTCCAACCCATCGCTTGCTAGGACATTCCTTCAAGACAAACTGAAGGGTCGAGACACCTCTGAAGAGATTCGACATGACCTGGTGGCTGTGGCATTTTGAGGTTTGCCCATTCCCGTCTCCTACAGCTTCGTGCTCCCACCAGTTCTCGTGCCTTTTGTAGCTGACCAGTAAACCAACTCTACAGAAACGCCTGATAGACATGGTACGGTAGCCGAACTCATGCACTTACATATGAACTCGTCGCACATCCTTCAATACCGCCGGTCCCTTCTGCTCGCTTCTTTCGTGAGGCGTCTGCCGCTGACCATTGCCTGGCAATCGCACAGCTTCTTCGCAGTCCATCCTTCCACAAAGGCGTGCAAAAGGTCCACAAGACAGTCCACCAAATACAACATGGCAAGCCGCCCGAGTACTATGGCGGGACGCACATCGATTGTACGTGACATAACACCCTCCATACTTTCCCCGACCTCTATGGCCAAGTCATTCCGGGTTGTTGCGCATCCCCCGCGCAACCAATATGAGGCCCGAGGAGAAGAGAAAGACGGACACTGGAAGGCAAAATGCAGAAAGTCAAACTCACTCGTTTTTGTTCAGCCGAGCACGAAGCAAAACAAGGCCTTGGCCACTTTTTCAAGTTGTTCTGGGATGAGTTAAAATCAGGACACAAGCCGCAACCGCCGACGAAGAAATGACCACGATCGCCACCAGTCCTCCGACCACTCTTACGAACAAACCATTTAGGACAGAAATTTTGTCGAACTTTAAGCGAGGCGTTTTTGGCGGCAATTGTCCCTCTTGCGTTGGTCTTCAAGTAAATGGCGGGAACGCATTTCAAGGTGAAAAAAAGGTAGACTTTGGAGGCAGCTGCCAGGGTGGACCGCCTTCTACATCAAACTGCACATTGAAGTTGTTCATTCGGATCAATGATCCAACCACAGCGCAACTCCTCAGCGAGGGGTGAAAAAATCTCTGCAAATCACTAGCAAACATGCTCCTGGTAGGTGCTAAAAAAAAGGGCGCCTTGCCCTGATATACCCATCTCCTTGCTGTATAGTCACGGATAAGATTGGGTTGGCTATCTTCTCTCCCCGTAGGAGTTCGACCCTCATTCCATCCGGAGAGCAGACCCCCGCCATGTGCAATCTTGCTGTGTTGCTTTGTTTCGATGCTTCAAAGAACAAGATTGCCTCCCTCGACGAGTAATGGCGGACATTTGTATCGCCTTCAGAACGGCTGTCTTGCCCATTAACACTGTATCCTCTCCGTCGCATCTGAGTTGATACACTAAGCAAGTTTTGGGGCTGGTTTTGATTCACCTATTTCGGTCAATCGCTCACCACAAGAACAGTATGGCCATTTGATGTCATCAATACTAACGAAATGAGCTGTTGCGAACTCTAGGCAGACGGATACTCTAGTTGAGTTATGATCAAGGCATTGAACAAAACTTGTCACCCCAAAGAATCGTCTACATGAGCTTCCCCACTCTCCAAAGGGCTTGCACAAAGTGACACGATCCATATGGAACGCGCGAACTCGGCTGTCTTTCAAATTGATGCCCAACGGGACTCACAATCACCCACACAGGTTTGCAAGGCATATTACGAGGGCCCCGGAACTGCATTGAAAAAATGGCAATGTCTGAAGTCGGCATGTCGCAGCACCCGCCGACATTTGAGGTTGGACTGTGATCGGTGTGCAACGTTATAACTGTCCTCAAGCCACCAGCATCAACGAGCAGCCTCCCGCTGTCATATGCATGTCAAATGCAGTCGTGGTGTAACAGAGGTCCCCATTGCAACATGCGGCGCAAGGCAATGGGATTTCGCTGAACAATAGCAGCTGGTCGCAGCCATTCGAGAGGCAGGGCACAGCGTCTAATTGGGAAATTTTCCTTTCCTAGACGGCATTGTCACCCATCGGGAACAGGTGTTTGATGGGCTCAAGCAGAGCAGTCGCCGTGTCGTACTGCCAGTGGCAATCTGCGAATCTCAAAAGAATGCAGGGGATATAAGCACACTACATACCCTTCTGATCACATTTTCCTGGGTTCATGTCAGGCGTGATGGCGCCTCCCATCTCTTAAGCGCACTAGAGTCTGTTGGAAAATGGGGCTATGACAATTATTTGCCAACCTCTGGCCCTGTCTCCGCTCATTCTCATGTGCTGGGTAACACTGGATCAATCCAAGTGTTAATGCAAGCGATTGAAACAGGGGGTCAACAGCCAACCGTTGTTGGTTTCTTTGCAACCGGCCTGCTTGTCTCCGCATGACAGCCCATCCCCCGACAGCCACAGCCTTCCTCAGCACCAGAGCAGTTGGCCGGCCAGGATCTTCTGAGGATGCAGCAGTAGCAACTTCGGACATCCGCTCAAAGATCCTGCATACAGCACCTCTTTCGCGCCAAAGGGGTCCGGAGCTGGAATTGTTAGTGCACAGCCGACGATGGCTTGGAAAGCATGAAGGGAAGGCCACAGTTTCCTCAGGCGGCTGTCGTCGGCCTAATGGAATGGCCCTGCAACAGTTAGTTGCTAACTCTCACAGCGGACCAGATGGAAACTGTAATGGTCTTGTTGCACAGAGCCATACTGTAGGCTAGCACCGCCTGCTGCGCTCGCAAGCAACATCGAGCTTTGCAAAGCCACAGTGTCTTACACTTCTCAATCTCCCACATTCGTTAACGTGGCCAAAAGCTGTCTCGGCCTCGACTTGTTGCCGCAAAAAGGCCGTTCGTATGTCACCGTGCAAGGTAACCTGGGAGGTGGAACTTGGTCCACAACCGAGACATTAAGCGCCTCCAACGGATATTGATTATTACCGTAATCACTGTGCGCAGGCTCCTGCACAACCGTTGAGAAATTGTGACACAGCTGCATAAGCGAAGCCTGCCACAATGGGATGTATTCCAAGGTGACTACCGCCGCGCACCTTGGCAATTTCGGCCTTCGAATAGTGCAAAGAAATGCAGAAGCCAATGACAGCGAACATGGAGGATCTGGTACACACGCACCATCACACCTAGAAGGCGTGCCTCAAGGACTGCTTGTGCGACGTCGCTTGCGTGAGGATAGAATCCGTCGGCCGCCGGGACAGAACGGAGGCTGGATATTCGTTTCTCCTTCTTGTAAGTCTGAAGGCAAGGTTTACCGGTGTGGCTGGCGCTAGGACATGCAGGAGATCAATGATCGTGGGATCGCGCACGGGCCGCGACCCACGACCCAGATTGAGGGCCTGTTCGCACCCAAGTGCCGTAGCGATGCCGGTGGCACTCAGCCTTCAGAAGGATCAGACCACCTGTCTGGCGGGCCCGACGCCCGACGCCCAATCCCCGGCCGCGCAGAGTCGCATGGACTCCGGTGGGTCGGCTTGCAGTGCCAGTCTTGGGCGTTACCGATCGCGATTCGGACGGGTTGGAATCGGTGGCCACGTGCTAAGTGGCGTCCAGTCGATGACGGGACAAAAAGGAGGCAGCACTCACGTCCGCTCCAAAAGCCTTTGCTGCCTATCGACAGGACCATACACTCCCACGCTACAAGACTTGATTGTGTGATGCACCAGGGTACATTGTGGTCATGAGTGACGCCCTTCTGTGTGCCCTAGAGTTCAAGCTTATCCTGGTCCACAAGTGCGTACAATTTACTAGACGCTCGAAGGTACTGACCGTGCGGGCCACATGCCGCATTTTCATCAGATCGCCAATCGGTTACGGAGTGCGAGCCGAGATTCCATCACTCAAGCAGTGGTGGAGGTTTCGGTCAGGTAGAGATGGTTTGTTATTCTAAGCCCAGATTCCCTGCCATCCAGCGTCATTGCGGAGTAATGGATGCCCGTGGCGGTTCGATTGAGTTTCACTGACAAGAGCCGCTCCACGCATGTCAGACGTCCGTGTAGCACAGTCTCAGTGTGTCCACGCAAAGGGCTGTGTTGTTGAAAACCGTAGCTTGGGATGAAGACTTATTTTCGTGGAACGTGGTGAAAATATAGCCATCTGAAAAGTCCGAATCAGAAGCACATCAATCCAGGCCATAGCACGTTAATCTCGTGAGGTTAGAGTTGTTCGGGCTGGTCTGTGATCTCAGCTTGTCAATCACTTGTCCTGTGAATAAGCTCGATTCATTCAAGTGACACAACATTCCAGAGGTAGGGCCAGAGGTTAGAGGTACCAGGTAGGGACGGAGGATGCAAGATTCCTGACAGCTGTCAGCGTGCAACCACCCGGGTGGCACAAACCAATGCCGCAATATTTTCGCACATGTTTTACCAACAGACACCCGGGACCAAAAGCACGCTCGATAGGGTCAACGGTTCCATGTCCTTGTTGTAGCGAGCAATGAGGCATAGAACGATGAGGAGTGTCCATCTTCTGAACCCATTTCATCTGGACCGTTGCACTTCTCGCTTGGCCAATGTCCCCGACGCATTTCTTCCGAGCATAACCAGTAATGATTCATTGTGCTCCCGACCGTCCAGCCAACTAAGGGGAATAGTGCTCTCCTTTCAAATCACTGCAGAGATTACGGACCCAATATTGTGTAAGGAGGGATGCATCGTACTCACCTGCCAACCATGTTCACAGCAAAGGGCGGTAGAGATAGGCGAGCTGAGTTGAGGAGTCTGGGCACTCCTCCCAGATAGTTGGACTAGCATGCGTGAGAGGAGTTCGTCTCTCCCACAGTAGGTGGTGGGGAAGAGTAATGACCCGTAGATAGAAGTTTAAATGCTTCAAAGTTTCCAGGGTAAGGGATCTGGCTGCGATTATACGCGGCTGGCACGATCGATCTGGGAACGGGAAGGGTACAGACAGCAGGTGGATGTGGGCAATTGAGTTGTAATCTCCACGTGGAGCCGCCCGACCGTACTTACTGCCTTATTACTGGACAGTGTACACTGGCCTTCGACTTGAGCATTGGACGGGATAGCCGTACAATGTCGTACACAATTTTTGCCGTTCATTGCATTGCCGATGGGTGACGGTAGTCCAGCAAATGTCCCATTTGTTGAGGCAGAGCTCCTGCCCGAGATCACTGAAACGAGGGAGTTCAATAATACCCTTGGTGGGAAGCCAAGCGAGCATGAGCCTGGCCGGCGCAACTGTCGTTGACTCGTCAAGTGAAATCAGCCTACAGACACGGGCGAGTCGGAGTGTCGGGTCAGACTACCAGGTAGGATCAAGATAGCTGGAGCCATATTGAAACTCGCCCCAGGAAGCAACTGCTGAGTGCCTAGAGCGGTCGGTAATCTGGTACCTACCTTGCAGGTGATGGCTTGGCGGTCTTGTGTCCTATTCTCGCATTGAAGGTATTCAGGGTCTTTTAGGAAGCGATACAGGAACAAAATGGGACAAAACACTGAGGTCACCAAATGTCAGGCAAAGCCAAGTGCAAACTTGAGAGAATGCCTAGTAGCGCGTGTAAGGTTCATGGAGTTTCGAGAGGCTTGTAGTGGCGGCTGAGGCGTCCTCGCTTAGCATGGGATGAAGCAGGGTGGTGGAGGTGTTTTCCCTTGATTGTGAAGGGGCCGGCCCCAAGCAAGTCGAGTCGAGCGACGCGAGGGTCTGAGCGATTGACTAAGGAGACCTTCCTCGATGTAGTAATCCTATCGCTGTCAGGCCGGTGGAGGAACGCAGGACGCAGCTTCGGAGATATGTCGCTGTTGGAGGCTTTCTCAGCCTCATGATGGATCTGACACGAATCTCAGACACTCGCGTAACAACGTAGGAGGATTGAATGCACGGCGGAGAATAGAAGCGCAGGAAGGGGAAAAGATGTTTTGTAGTCGCAGCTGCGGCAGATCGCGGAGAGGAGACTGCAACGAACTGGAACAATGGCAAGTTCCTAGATCATGCTTAGCACGGCCCTCAGGTACCTGCTTTAGGCGCTGGGTCTCCACCAGGCGAGATGTACTGGCGGTCCTTGATGGGAAATACCGGCCCTTCAAGTTTTCTGACCAAGTCACCGTGCGAGCAGCAAATGTCTTGACATGGCTTGTTTTCGTCTCAGCAGTGCCCCTAGGGCAGTAGTAGTAGACTAGCCGAAGGCCGGCCCAACTCGAAGTGATAAACTTGAAGGTGTAGACCGCCTTGGAGGAAAATATGCACTAGGTGCGTAGGCGACCAAGGATCGAGTTTCATGCTGTAACGGCATAGCTACCTTACCTAGGGACTTTTAGGTACCTACCGAATACCTAGTATCTGGGACCTGTATCTTCGAGCACCAGTAGGGCACCCATCCGACTGGCACCATCTCACCCAGATTGACTCTCTGTGTCGATTCGATTATCTGCCAGATACTGTGGACACATCTAAAGGTATAGAGTGATTATGGGTGTGGCGGACCCTAACTTGAAGGCGTCTGTCGATAACCCAGGTAGGGATGTATGGTGTGCTCATACAAAATTGCTCCCACCCACACCACGGCTTCCATCCAGCCCAGGTCCCTACCACTACCGTAAGCATGTTGAAGTCCAGCCATGCCAGAAGAGCGTACAGTGGTATTTCGTCTACTAGTAGGGTGTCACAAAGGAATGCAATCCCTGGAGCATACCATGATCGTGCTCCTCGTCACCATGACTATCACCATCATCGGCGGCGGCGCACCGCATCGCCCATCCACACCCGCCCCCCCTTCTCCCCGTCTACCTGATCTACCTGATTCTGGGCTAGTAGCATCGCCCATCCATTGCATGATCACCCGCCAACCAGCTAGCCAGCAGCCCGCCAGACAGGCCCAAGGCCCCAGGGAAGGCCTAAGGAGCCCCAGGCTCCAGTAAACCCTGCCCCTGGGCCCCTGTCTGCGGTTTGTCAAGATTCAGAGCAAAGCACCCAGCGCTCCACCCGCTTTGTCTTGTCCGGGCAGGGATCCAAACGCTATCTGCCTCCAAACCGAACAGACACAACTCCCCCATCGCAGCAGCAGCGAAACCAAACCTGGGCTCTGAATCCACCTGGCATGCTTCCCAGAGTCTTCCCGACCCACGGCGCCCTCACAACTGGCACTGATGTGTCTTTGTTAGCAATACCCGCGTCAGACCTCCCTTGGTGGCTCGTTGGCGGTCCCGGGTGGCATCTGACTCGTCGGCCCATCGTCCAGTGTCCACCGCGACGGCCAAAGTGCCCACAGCCCTGCTTAGTGCGATCTCTCGATCTTTTCTCCGCCCACCTCGCTCTCTAAGACTTGCTCATCTTCCCATTCTCACCACCGTCACCATCCTCTCGACCCGAGGCCCGTCCAATCCCGCGACTTACTTTCCAGATCTCCCATCTGACCATATCTACCCTCATTCCAGACTTCCTTCCACGCTGAATATTCCATCAAGGTCGTCAACAACGCATCTCACCCTCTCGATCGTTCGTACGCGTCTCCCTGACGAGATCGTGGGCTATTCGATCGAGCCCCGGGAAGCGGTGCGCCGGAGGAGGTTCGCAGCCACGCCCATCACCCGCCCGCAATCTGTTGCTACCCCGATAGTTTCGCATTCCGAAGGCCGATAGTTCCAGTCGAGAGGCACTGAAGAAGGGTGTTGGTAGAACATTCGATCGGTAACCATTACTCACACATCCAGTGGACGGTCGGTGCACGCCACGGGGGATAGTTGGTCTCGAGATAATCGAGTGATTGTATATTGAGGAGGAATACCGGGCTCGTCTGTCCACATGATCGAAGGGGCTGTAATCGCGGCATAACGATCATTAGCTGCTGAGAGAAATTTCCACGTCGATGGCCACGATGGCGACGGTTGACGCTGGTGCCAGGCCTAGGTATGCTTGACTTCTGCAACCCGAGCTTCTCAAGAACTTGAACGGACGCTGACTCCAGGGCACAGAGACACACTGCCTCCTATCAGTCACCTTGACATGGCCAAGCTTAACAATGAAAAGAACGACCATGCCAGGTTTTCGCTGACGAATGGTCTGAGCATTTCTACTGCACCTCTGGCAAGTCCAACGACAGCAATGTACCCCGGCCCTCCGCCGCCTTATTCTTCTGCTGCTCCTGCAACGGGATCTAATGGTGCGATGTCCGGTTACATCTCCCCTCCCGAGTCTACTACAAGACGCTCTACACGAGATGATGGCGTCTCTCCAGCCGTTTCCAAGTCGTTACCTTCCATACATGAAGCACTTGGAGGCGATCAGCCCATTGCGTTTTCAGGGCCATTGTCCGCTACATCGCAACACCAGTCTCTTTCAACGCCTTCGACTGCGGCCCCTCCATCCTTCTCGGAAGGACCCAAAGGCCCTGCAAACCCGTTTTCTCAACCGCCGGCCGGGCCACCGGTGTTGAGGGATGTCTTCTCCGGGTCTCAATCCAATGGCATGGCACCATCAGATTCGCAGACTACGGCACCATCCTATCCTCCTACGACCGCCCCGGATCCGCGTCAAACAGTGTCTCAGCACTTTGGGTATCCCGGATCTCCCAGGTCGCAGCCCCCTTCCACCTTCCGATCTTCTTCGTTGGCGAATACATCTTTCAACAATCACAATGATCAGCAGCCTGCCGCTTCACCCCAGACTTATGAGCCACCTCGGCAACCACCACAGTCGTTTCCGTCCTATAACAACGCTCCGGCGACGACCGTGCCTGCTCCTCCGCATGAGCCATTCCACAAATTCTCGGCCGTGCCCAAACCGCCTGATCCTCGGGCGACTTATCGGAAGACTTCCGATGATGTCCAGTACAGTGAAACGGTAAAGAGACACCTGGACGTGTATGACGCCCAGTTAGGATTCAACGAAGTATGCGAACCGCGCCTGCGAAAGATGACAAACAGCTAACATGTTACAGATCGGCGAGGCGTCTGCCCGGACTCTTGACTTCTCACGCACCTGGGGTCTACGGTATCATCAAGGCAGTCAATCAGGTTACTTTCACGAGTCATTGCCAGGAGTGGCTGAAGTGGACGAAATTCTGCGGCATTCGCACCGGGTTGTGGAGAATTTGACACACCTGCGGGAATTAGCCGCTGCCCAAGAAGCCGCCTTGTCTGAACAGCGTGCCCGACAGACCACTCGCAACCATCCGGAGGAAGATTATACCAATGTCCCAGAAGAATATAGAAGTGGAGGAGATGCCAAAAAACGTCGAGGAGTAAGTATCCTGATAGGTAGCTGCTGCAGCGAAGCTAATTCATTACAGAAAGCAGCACCTCCTGGACGATGCCACAGCTGTAACCGTGCCGAAACGCCGGAGTGGCGGCGTGGCCCTGACGGAGCTCGCACACTGTGCAATGCCTGCGGCTTACACTACGCCAAACTTACTCGGAAAATGGGACACAACAAGGCCGCCGCCATGACAGGCTCCAACCTTCGGCCCAAGAACCTCGACTCTACCAGACCGTGAATGTCGGCCTTGTGTTGATGGCGACCTACAACAGCGGCCCCAGAATCTGACGAAGATAAGATATTCTTAACGACGAAAATAATTCTCGGTATATACTCCATCTCGTTCAGGAGACGATGACCACGATTTCATTGGTGAATACAAGGGTTTTTCTTTGGACGAAAATGTCTCAACAGGAGTTGGCGGCAGTGTGTGATAACAGCATTGCAGTGCCTGGCAACGTACGAGAGCGGCGCATTCAATGATGTGACTGTACAGAGGGCAGCCTCGGTGAGGGCACGACCAAAAGCTTTCTTTGGGAACTTGAACGGAATGGATTGGGAATGGATTGGCGTAATGTGAGCATTCGGACGCCTTTCGAGAGGCGTCTGGGAATGCAATGCTTGGGGCATGAGTTTTTGGCCGAAAGCAGATGGAAATTGTTTCTGATACCCCCAATGAGATGCCTTATTAGAGGCACATGGAGCATTTTGGGCTCAACCAGAATATGTTTTTTTGATGGTATTTGTTACGAGTCAACAACAACAAGATAGGATTTACGGGGGAATGGGTATCTGTCTGTCTGTCTGTCTGTCACAGCTGAAGCGAATTCTATGGTGTGCCAAAGTGGTCGACAGAAGCGAGGGGATCATGGCCGAGATGGATTCATCCGCTGTCCGTGGTTGTTGACACTTTGGGATGGGCCAGCTCAGCCGATGCTTCTCTGTCTGTCCGTCTGTCAGCCACCTCTGCAGAGCTGAGCGGTGCCTTGCACAAGCACTGACTGGCAGTGCAGCAGCAGATGCAGTGGCGGCAAAACCAGGATGGCAACAACAAATGAGAGACAGTTCGTTCATACATTGCAGACAGCAGGTCTTGCAGCATGTTCACACACACTCTGACTGGCGTTGCTACTAGTATCGTTCTCTGTGCTTCCGGGCATTTGTTCCCGCCAACCGAATCAAGTGGCTCTCAGATTCGATCATGGTCGCTGGCACTACAGCTCGAACAAGTGGCACTTGTGGTATCTTTGGTTTAATTACCTTACTACCAGGTACTGTACCATGCCGTATGAATCCGAGCCTGGGCCTGAGCCCGAGCCCCCTTACAGTTGGCGGTTGCTCACGTGTCTAGACTTGTAAGCCGACGGTCCGGGGGCGAAAACCGCCTGCCAGGACGACCAGTAGCTTCTACCAGTCGTAGATGCGTTGACGGACGAGTTTCCACTCCTGTTAGACGATGCGATGGATCGAGATTGACGGAGGCAGGGCGAAGCAGTATTCGTTGTATTTGGTGAGCGCTCCACCTTTCGGGTCTCCCGGTCGATGCAGTAGTGAGGATGACTAGCGGACAACAGGCACTGCAGTGCGGTGATTGTGTTTCATACAGCAGTGCAGTTGCTGTAGCCACAAAGCAGAGGGCACCCAAGGAAATGACAGACGGCTCAACCAACTTCATCCGAACTTGAACTCCTATACGCCGCGAGGTAAGGTGTCGTATGTACAATGTTGTAAGTGGTGGTAGCGCCACTGCAGCAGCACCACTGCAGCAGCACCACTGCAGGGCCTCTCACCAACTTGCAAAACCCCCAGTCGCTCGGTGTTGCATCGAGTGTGCGAGTGCCAGTCACGGTGTCCCAGTGTCAGACCACTTGTCCAGCCCTCAATACCGACCACGAATGAATAAAATACACGGATGCAATCCATGCCTTGGGTGTTGACTCGCAAAGGCGGCAGCGATCCGGCATTCGATGACATGCTCTGCTGCATTGCACAATAATTGCACACCTTCACCTTGCAGCTTCGACTGCCCTGCAAGTCCGCCCCGTCCCATCGCATCCCATCCGATCCCACTGGAGCCGAACAGGCCCCTCGTCGGCCTTGACGACCTGTTGGTTGGATAGGTAGACGAGAATATGGAAACACTTAGCTAATTTACTACGGTACTGTACTAGTGGGTAGAGGCTGGAGCACAGCACAGCAAGGGTCACTGCAGCTGTGAGCAGATCAACAGACGGCGCCCGTTGGGATGTCGTCTCGCCCGTATTGATTGATCAGCACGCCGCTCACGCACGCACGCAGCCATAACAACCGGCTCTCATCTCGTCTGGTCTCATTACATTATGTCTTTTTGCCGGACAGACGGGGCCGACAAGAGTCCCTGTGTTGGTGCTCTGGATGCCACTACCTGCTATGACGCACCCAGTCAGTCTTGCAAGTCTGGACAGACAGATAGTCCGATGCCAGACGGGAAGCGGGAGCGAGGATGCTACCATGCTGACCACTGAGGGTGCTGTCGTTCCGATCCTGGGGGCACACAATCCAGCTTGCAGTGGTGTCTGTCCACACCATGGCCGCCCGTGTGTGGTGGTGCTGTCAATTAATGTACAGTACTACTAGTATAGCCGTACCCTGAGAGCACGATATCATGGACAGCCATGTTTGACGAGACGATCCATCCAACCAAGTTCATGCATTTGCCCAGCGGGTAGGTAACGATCTATTCATTCGGTAGCCCACTGCAGAACAATCTAGATCGTTTGAACATCTTTGAAAGTCTCCCCTATGTGCAAATAGACGGACGGACCTTATCTACATACCCTCATCTCATGGTCCGGGGGAGCTGGAGCTGCTGATCGGAAGATCTCCGGAGTAGTCCGCTGGCGATCGGCTGGATCTGCTCGGGAAGATCCCTTATGCATTGGGAAGCTTCTGCCCAACCTCCGAAGGGGATACGACGCCGTAGAGAGATTGCAAAACGCACCGTAGTGCTGGCTGCTGGGTGTTGCTTTGTTGTCGGGTTGTGCGGTTGCGTGAGCGGAATGGGGGACAATATTCGATGAAGAGGGACGCAGGTGCCTTTGGGAATGAGCATACTGTACGAAAACCGAACTTGAATCGTTTCGGTGGTGAGCAGGGGTTCACTCGTGTCTCGTATACAATAGTAATGGCGGTGACTGCCCTTCAATTACAACTACAATCATTCGAGTTGGGGGCGACACGAACAATAATCATGAAATCAAGGAATCTGTCGTCGTGGTGATTTCCAACTGTGCTGTTCAAGTTCTGGACCGTGACTGTCAGTGACCATCGCTCCCTATACCAGGTACTACTACTCGTCAATCGGCACCAAAGTCCAATTTCACATGAGTGACAGTGCCGATTTTCCGTTCCATTGTCCCCCTGTGTTTGATCGACCGTCTCGCTTGACCACTTCCATCACAATACAAGTGACAGTGCGCGGCGTAGAAGCGCCGTTCAAGCAAGGCTTCAGGGACTCGTCGCAGGACTACAGGGTACGTATTCGCGTTCGTATACTATCCTTCCTTTAGCATGCAAGCCTCCAACTCGAAGTGGTGTTTGAAAAGGCTGGAGTCTCTCATGGACGCTTCCAGGCGCAGCCACCGGCACAGATTCAGAAATCCCATGCCGCAGCGATAGGGCAGAGACAGGGTTGAAGCAAGGCGCATGCAGTGCTGCTGCAGGGCGCAGGCTGCCTACAATAATAATGTCTACTATATGAGTGATTGGGCGTGTGATAACGGCTTGATCATCCCAGCATGAGGAAGCCCTTGTCTCAGACCTCGATAGCACTGGCAGCCTACATTGTATCTCCCCTCCGTCGGCACAACTAACTACCTTACTGCTAGCTACCACCACACGACTACACCCACTATTACGAAAGGGCATCTCTCACTGCCATCCACCATCCTGCATCCGGGACCCTCGCAGCGAGCTGCCCTGGGAGAAGGGAGAGCCCTGCATCGCTGAACCAACTACATTGTATGCTCCTGTGTTTTTGGAACACGCCCCGCTCCGACACAGTCGCTTACCGTCTTTGCGATGGCCTGGCGCGCGCCACATCTGCCATACTACTACAAACCGACCCTGAAAATCAACGCCATCGTGCTGCTACCGCGAGAAACATTGAATACTTGAGACGTACGTTCTTGTACGGTTACCATAGTAGTATGGAAAACGCTCTCGTAACAAGGCGGGTCCATCGGTGGGCGAGCCGTTGGCGGTCAAACTTGAACAACAACAATAGCCGGACGTTTCCATCCAGCTAACCCAAACCTGGCTGCTGGGTGCCCTTTGAAGCAAGGAGCTTTGGGCAGCTGCTCTCCACTCTGATCCAAACGGTCCCAAACGTCCCCGCGGCGGTGCCAAATGATGTTCAGCCGTACGGCTCCAGGGGGTCGTTTGGGAGAAAAAATGCTAGGCATCCCATTCGTCAGCCCACACCCACCCATCTCTCTCACTTTTCTTGAAAGCTCCTGTCAAAATACGATTGAAGTCTGGCGTGATCGAAGATCGCTGCCGTCTTTTCCCACCCTTTGCCCGCTCGCCTCAACTTGCTCGGTGCACTGGCCAGTACTGGGCTTCTCTGAAGCTTTAACCGAGATGAGATGTGCAGCCAAATCGCTCGAAACGGAAGTATCTCCATGATCTATTCTCCAGAACGGCGTGCCTGGGCACGGCATCTGCCATTGTCTTGTCTTTTTTTTCCACCTGACTCGTGCTATTTCTGGTCTGACGCTTTGGAAACTTCCGCGATCACTGCAAGGGATGGGCAGCTCGTGACATGCTTCCGTGGATGCGGTCCACCAACTGTCTTTGAAAATCCGCCCTGGGTCAGTGAGATGGAGATGGAGAGAGAAGACTGCCTCTGTGAACATCACTTGGCAAAGCCCTTTGTCTCTCGTGTCCTAAGCAGGATGAGGAAAATGTACTCTTTCTGTCGCGCTAACTTAACGCAGCCTTGGGGGCCACATAGGGGCTACACTGCTAAAGTATCCAACACCATATCCCAGTCAAGAGTGACAGATCTTCTGGGGAAGGGGAAGTTCCTTAGCCGAGATGGAATATTCCGCAGAATTTGCTCATACGCTATACAACAAGGCATTTCCGGACAGCGCTGCCAGTGCCGAGCCGCCGGGACTTTGTTTTGATGCCAGGCGCCGGCCTAGACAGCTCGAATCGAAGAGTTCAAAACGGTCTCGGTAATCGATCAGACGAGCAACCCCCCAGGACCCGTGCGCCTCATGAGAATGAAACTTGAATATGGACGGTCCCATCGCAATGCTGGCCCAAATGTAATCACCGAGCCGAACGACAGCAGCAGCTTGTTCCGATATACTATGCCTCAGCCTTTGAGAAATCAGGGTACTGGATACATGTATTGATGGGGATATGCGCCGGTCAGTCTGCTGACTCTGTCCTTTTGACCTCTGTAAGTTGTTTGCGGTAGGCACTGTGCAGTAGGTACTGTAGATACGGCGCGCGCTGTCCCGGAGAGTCGTCCTTTTGTTCGATCTACTTGCTCCTACTTGCAAGTATGACCGGCCGCGGACAAGAACGAGGTCATGCTGGATCTTCCTTCACATTGCTGCTGCTGCTGCTGCTGCTGCTGCTGGTGCCATAGCTCACTGTGTCGGGACGAAAGTAAGGACCGCCAAAAGAGAGGAGACGACAGACAGGAACAGGAACAGGAACAGGAACAGGAACAGGAACAGGAACAGGAACAGGAACAGGAACAGGAACAGGAACAGGAACAGGAACAGGAACAGGAAC